GGCTGCCTTCGTTGTTGTTGTAAGAGGCTTACAAATAAAAACTCTTCTTTTATCATGTCGTCTTTCACATAGCGTACAAAAACAGCAAGCTGGCTTAGATCAGAAACGTCTGTGGTTTCGTCGAGTTGAAGGCTGAATTTTGCCGGGCTTGAAATCAGATCCGCGACTACTTGAGCCAAGATGTCTTTACTCATGTCTTCTATTCTGTCACTGACGGTGTCATTTGAAAGGGGAATTTGGGATAATTTACCTTCGGCCGCTGTTCCGAGTATCAGATTCGCCATCTTTAATGCAGCTGGTTTCACAAGTGTTTCACCAATGGTGTGTGGCTTGCCCTGCTTTGCGATCAGGTAAGCAACTTCGTACGATGCTGTCAGGATCGGTTTGTTAACAGGTACAAATCCAAGAGCAGGCAGAGTGGCCCTTTCATCGAATCTGGCTCTCTTCACCCTGAATTCAGCAAGTGTTGTGTTCTTGTATTCCCCGTCTCCATGCAGCTTCAAGAAGTGTTCCTTTAGTTTTGCCGGTGCAAGACTAGAGTTGCTCAACTTGGCGTTGCAAATCATGCAGATAAGACGCTCACTCCCATCATGTTCCGTGATACATGAGAATCCATGTTGTACATATTCGTCCGACCACTTTCTTCTTTTGCCCGACATAGTTAGTATGGATAAAATATTAAATAAATCACACGACGTACGACAACAACAGTCACACGTTGACTACTGAGTACGCACTAAATTCCCCGCAGCGCTGATTGGCCAAGCAGTGTAGCATGATCCTGTGCAGCCAGTGATGGCCAAGCGGGCCGTGTGTCATCACAAATTTACACAATAATTCAAGTGTGTCCGGACCTCCGTGGCGGGGGCTCTGCCGAACCCCTGAGATCGACTCACCGAACCCCTGGGGTTCGATCGAACCCAGTTTAAGAACCACTGTCTCATAGGTAGTGATTCAAGTTGCAGTTTATTGGCAATAGCATTCCAGACACTGGGGGCATCGACTGATGGATGAAGGCAATTTTAAAATATCACCATTTAGATCCCAGTTACGGTATCACGATGCATGGTACAAAGCAGACAAACGACCTTCTGGAACTCTAGAATTCCTTCTGGAACTCCTCGAACTCGTGTAACATCCAGAAACATGAACTCCCCAATACTTTGCAATGGAGATAAGGATTTGTGCAGAATGGGTGCAAACGTGTTGTGGCTCCGATATGGATAGGGAGAAAGAATCCGAACGTGTTACATGAGTAGTGAGTCCAACTAAGTCGCAGACGTTCCTTTTTACAGGCAACACATTTATTTGTAACACAAAGGGGTAACTGCCCCTTCACCAGATACAGCCTAGGGTGGTGACCAACCAGCTAACTAGCCGAAACAGAGGAGTTACTGCTACGAAGGGTCGGGCCTCACTCGGGTCCGCGACCACGTGTTTGCCTTGTAAGACGTAGAGCTTCCAGCTTGAGATGTAGAGCTTCAGTTGGTGGACGTGGAGCTTCCAGCTTTTAGAATGCAGCGACCCCGGTCCCTCTCAGGGATCCGCCTAATATTCCCCCACGGGTCGGGGCCGCTCCGCCCCTGGCCCCGCCCGCCTTCTAGCTCCCTCTCGAGAGCTCTCCCCGGACACGTGATCACCCCCTAGTCCCCTCATCTGGGGGCCTCTCTGTGGACACTCTAGATTACGTGTCTGCAGGGTCAACCAGAGTGCCATGGTCCGAGGCAACCCTGTCCTTGGGCTGACACTCTCTCGCTCCCCCTCGTGGGAGATTGCACTGCACGCTATGCGTCGTGCCTGCGCTATCCCAGCGCTCACCAAGCCCCGCTAGGGCTGGTACTACACCCACCGATGTCAATGCATCACACGCCACGGCCCTAACGGGCGGGCACCATACAGTGACATCTCTGATGTCACATCAGGACAAACCTCATCATTGATTCCCTACCAGCTTCAGCCACCCAAGTGACCGTCTGAAATAACCAGTTAGCAACCATGACGTGAGAGCTTAATACCTAAGCGGAGGAGGATTGGACAGTCATCAGTCATAAAGCAATACTGCCCAAAGCTGCATACCTTAAGAAACAGTATCCAGCCGAGAATGCCTGACACCAACACTGGCCGAACACTGGTACCTATTTATTTTAATTTTTGTTAATTTTACCAGGCATGGCCCACTGAGCTGTAGAGGTCTCTTTTCTACTTGCACATTCAAGCTGGGCTGGGGCCATGCCGAGCTATCGTGGCATGACTCAGAAAGCAGGTCACTTTTCCACTGCGCAAGCCGAGCCGTGCCGCCGTCACACGCTACGTGTCGCCACGTTTGAGTAGCCAAACGCAACCGGCACCCATCATCGGCTCTGCCTCGAGCACAGCTGGGCCCCGAGCCAGATCCAGACGTCTTGTGAGGCCAGTGCAGTGCTGCTTGGTTCTAGCTCCGCTCTGCAAATAGCCAGTGGAAAAAGATCCGTACTGTACTGGCCCTGCGCTGGCACGGGGTTTGGATGTGCAAGTGGAGTAGGAGTGCAAGTGGAGTAGGAGTACAAGTCGCTGCCTTCCATATCACAGTGCCGCATTGCAAGAATCACATGGGGAGATACACTTTTTAACCATGTTGCTAACGTCACCTTTAAGACGTCCAGGCCTATTGTCAACGACTTATAGAACTCACACAAATAGCCACTCTGCTCTTCCTCTTAGGTAAATCGTGAACGCTCTTATTGCATCAAGAGCTGATAACCTCCTTCATGATAACAAAATGGCTGGGGGGCAGAATATAGGCAATGGGGTTGGCGGTGAAAGGCAGCTGTTATCTTAGGCGGTTTACACGACGGTCGCCGTCATAGGTTTACTGCAGGAATGACTGCAGCCACACCCACGCTGGCGAGACGCACGCAAAGTCCACCTTGGGCCATGATGCGCTTTGTTCACTGGCGGAGCCAGTGGGGGGGGGGGGGGGAGTGGCACGTGCCCCCCCAATGATCCGATCGAAATCCTTCATTTAGATCGGATCATTTGGGTTTATTAATAATAAATCGGCATTTGCGACCCCCACTGCCAGTGTAGCATATTATTACGTGCCAGGGAATCTATGAGATGATAAGACAACAGTCTGAGTCCATAATTGGTAATAAGTAACGGCAAAGCATTTAGAAGTGATTCACAGAATTGTGCACAGTTGCGTATACAGTACACGACTTCCCTGAAGGCAAACACCTTCAGCGAGCGCGATGCCGATCACACACGGTTCGAATTCGACCCTCGATTGATGGCTGTGCCATCGCCGCACACGCGTCGAATAAAAAGCAAGGGGCAAGTCTTTACTTACTAACTCCTATCATTTTTCAGTGCTGGAGGGGTTGCCCACCCTGACCTGAAAATCTTGACGTAGGTAAAAATATTCTCTGCAATCCACGGGTTTTTATCAGAGATTTGTCCACGAGGCAATTCAAATTTACAAACACAGACACAATTTAAACCGAGAGGATGGTTTCAAATTAAGCAATCATTGGAAAGATGTTCTAAATCAAAACAAACCTTAAACTAATTTTCAATGGTACAGTATATTTATTCAAATAGTGGTATCCCAAACTTTCACAGCAGCTTATTTCCCTTCACACCAACATTATGTAAACTCCCCCCCCCCAGCACCGTGCCGGTCCAGTACATCATTTTATGCTAATTCCTTTGTCAAGGCCTTCTTTTGTTTCCTCCCACACAGCTTAAAGAACGCGACCTGGGCTTGCTGTCTTCACTCCAACGCTGTCCTCTGGACAGTCCAGTCCCTTCACCTGATGAAGGCCACTTGTGTTGTGGCCGAAACGTCGTGAATTTTTTGTTATTTTATTTTTACCTACGTGACTTTACCGAATAGAACGAAAGAGTACTGTATTGTCTGTTGAACTTATTTGATGCCTATTGAAACACGTGCATTTATTCTGATACGCTTTAGGTAATACTACAAACGTTTTGGAAAATGTTGGACTGTGACGCTGGCACAAAATGGCCTACCTTTTTTTAACGTCGCAGGATCTTTGACATCCACCGTGAAGCAGACAGTGCGTGGTATTTTACGGTGAATAGACATAGTGTTTACCAGGGCGGCCTGCCTGAATCCAACTGTGAACCTCTGCAAAAAAAAAAGCGACGAGCGTCCTACTGCTGGCCCACCCGCATCACCACCCATCCACTTGGGACAGAGACAGCGAAGAGGCATCCACAGGAGCCGACGCAAAGTCAACCGACGTACGGCAAACGACGGAGAGGAGGAAATCGCTCGGAGCAGCAGACAGACTCGGCGCAGGGGGAGCCGAGAATAACAGCAGCAGAGACAGGAAGATATGGAGGGGACTCTCATGGGCAGCAGGAGCAGAGACTATTTGGAGATGACGATGAAGAGACAGCATTCATATACGCAGGAACTTTATCATTTAAAATGCAAAACACGTTTTTACATGCCCGCGTTACATTTGAATGTAAATGTTATGTTTACAATTCCAAGGCGTGGATACTGTGGCGGCGTGAAATGCGCATGTTCACGCAACGCAAACACGTGGCTGGTTAGGCAACCTGCGGTCGCTACTTATGCCAATGAGCCCGTTACACAGTGGCTAGCGTGGGACAATCAGCAACCAGGCGCTTATCTGGGAATTGCTAAAACATAAACAAAAACTTGATTTGAAGCTTTCGTGACTGCAGGAATTACTCTGGTTCTTTCGGTAAAGTCACGTAGAAAGAAAATAAATTAAATAATAGAATACGACGTTTCGATTGCAACAAAAGCAGTCGTCATCAGGTAGAACTAAATTTGAAAGAGAGACAAAACACAGACACAGAGACACACAGAGACACATAACATAGACACACAGAGAGTCTCTGTGTGTCTATGTGAGTCTCTGTGTGTCTATATTGTCTATATTGTGTGTCTCTCTATTTTGTGTCTCTCTCTGCTTGTGTTTCTGTCTGTGTGTCTCCGTGTCTGTGTTTTGTCTCTTTTTTTAGTTCTACCTGATTACGACTGCTTGTGTTGTTATCGAAAAGTCGTATTCTATTATTTAATTTATATTCTTTCTACATGACTTTACCGAAAGAACCAAAAAGCATTAAAAAAATCCAACCCTAAGTTTTCAATTAACCAAAAGATAAATAATCCCAGGGGTCCCTTACTTTGTTAAAGTCCTACAAAGACACCGATGAAATGATGCAGGAGGAACCCAATATTTTATTCCGAGTCCATGATAAATGCCTCAAAGTCGTGGTCCAGGTCACCGACCAAAGCGTCGACAAAGTCGTCGACAGTCGGCCTCTTCTGAAGCATCCCTGCAACAACAGCGCCCGCGTTATACTCGAGGGCACGGACACGGCGCTCACAGCCACCACAAAGCTACTCGCCGAGATTAAATTTTGCATTACAAAGCATTCGCAAGGTGAAGTGCACACTGCGCGAGTTAGCCTTGGGTGGGCCCGATGCGTTGTGTCATTTGGGCAGTGGCAGCGCCTCAATAGATTTGCAGGGTTGGCGAAACTCCGCTGATTTGCGACGCAAGCACAAGATTCACGCTCGTTTCGCGAGAGTCGAGGAAGAGGACTTGGTGAGAAGGCGTTTCAGTATTGGGCGTATGGCTCGAGGCGAGCAGGTGACCACAAACAGCGAGCGAGCAAGACAAGGGCAGACCCACCCATCGCACAGCCAAGCAACTCGTCTGGAGCGTGACAAGACGACGACGAGCAGTGAAACATTAATTATTATTGTTATTATTATGCGAGCCACCTGTGGTTGCTTATTTACCCAGAAAAGCCTCACCAAGTCTCAACTCATTTTTAGGAGGGTCCTGCCAAGTTTTCGCAGTACGGTGGGCGATGATTGCCGCTGTGTATAATCCCAATTGAATAACACGCGGTGCGATAAAATAAATTTGGCCAAAGAGCGGCAAGCGCGCCGGGCCACATCACTGCCTTGTGACGAATATTTCCAGCCGATTTTATGAATAGAGCATAGACTGGCTGAGCATGCGCGACTGCTGTTACATCCAATAGGCTTTGCTAGAGTAGAGAGTATTTAACTTGCAAGTGACGAGGTAGGCGAGTGCTAACGATCATCACTGTGTGATGGCAAATAGTGAAGGCCAGTACCTTCTACCATCAGTATCGGCTCTTTCCCTCCTCCATGCGCCAACATCTCGTTGCGATATCGGTCCCCAACAGCTCTGAACGAGGACACACACAGGCATAACGAAGTTGCGGGTCACGTCAGGAAGTTAAGCCAACATTCCCCTGTCATCAGTCACATGAAACATGTTAACACACGTACTAGATTCTGCGTTAAATGGTGGTGAATAACTGTTGGTTTCAAATACATTTGATGTCCTCAACATTAAAACTGACAAACGATTTCAGGAAAAGGTTAAATGTACAGTATAGATTACCGTGTGAGTTGAATGATATGTGAACTGGTCCTGGGACCTCTGTGGTACTGGGCTCTGCATCACAAACTATCTGTTAAAAGCTGCACTGTACCAGTCGAAGGGATCTCGGTTAAAGCACTGCCGCCACAGCATGCTGGCCACAGCGCGAGACAGCAGGTAGGAGTAGTACTTGACTCCGTAGCCCACCAGGTGGCTAAACCTCAGCTGCCAAGCCTGCGTGAACACCACCCACGTACCCAATCACCACACGCGTACCCGATTACCACACATGGGTCATCGTCATACCCAACCAATCGCCACATCCGGCCAATTGCCACACGCGGCCAATCACTATACTCGTACCCAATCACCACGTGCGACCAACTGCCGCATGAGTACCCAATCTCCGTAAGCGTACGCAATTGCCGCATCCGTACCCAATCGCCACACGCGACCAATCGCTGCACGTGTACCCAAACAACGCACACGGTCAATCACCACACGTGACGAATCGCCACGCACGTATCCAAACACTGCGCACAGCCAATCACCATACGATAAAGGAATGGGATCCTTCTTCAGTTCACAGCATGGTGAAGTATGGGTTTATCAGGCAGTACATCAGCTCAGGGGTTTTTGGGTGGCGTTATCAAAAGTGGGTTCACGCTATCACTGACACGGCACTTTTCTTACAAGGACCATTCCCGTACACTCTGCCACACACAAAGAATGGTGGAACAGGGCAACTCCTCTGGTCCAAGTCAACGTGGGGCACAATACAGAACCCGGGAAGTTCCAGTCAACTGCTTAAACAAGACACACGGTGAAGGATCACAAACCGCACATGACAGTGTAGATTCGCTTGGTCCACCATATAGTGTAATCGATGGAAATGTCCTCAGTCCGTACCGATACAAAGGGTGGCCGTGGCCGTGGAACTCACGCACAGACGCACGCACGTTGGCTAAAGCGTGGCAGCACCTAATTAGCAATTCTGCTGGGGCTAAAGCTGAATAGCCAAGGGTGCATCAATCTGACATTGCCGATTCGCGATTCCCTGCTGCGGTCACTCTGTGCACACACACACACCGTGTTGGGGAGACGTAGGGCAGGCCGTAGTATTTTGCATGGGTCTCCATCAGGGTCTCGGTGGTGGACTTGTCGAGAGGGTGTTCACCATGGTAGAGCTGGTCCAGCATGGAGTAAAAAACCTGCGAGACACAAGAGTTCAACCCGCGACCCTCGTAAATGATGCGACCTCGCTACGTCCATTTGGCGTTCTCTAACACGGCTATAGTTACAAACCGAACAGCCTTCGCTTCATGGTCATTCGAATAAGAATACACCACATAGACCTTTAACTTCACTGACATAATAAAATACAATTTTTACGTGTAAAATGAATTTTAATAATGAAATTACTTTTAACGGATGATGCTCGCTCTGAGACGGGATTTAAGCAGGCTAAAAGCTGCTTAAAATGTTTGTTTGCATGTTTTGCCACAAGTAATGCAATCTGTTTAATGCAGATTTGATGCCTTGCAAAAGGTTCCTATTTGGTGTTTGAACATCTTAACACCTTTAATATTTCCAGAAAGGGTCAAACCTATTCTTATTTTTTCATAATTTTTGAAACTGGCAAAAAGGTCCCATAGATAGGATAAAAGTGTCCACTTTTGTTGCAATGAACGATCCAACAAAACGAAGACACGAGCCAGGGAGACGCCACCATCAGCGGCATCACTAGGATGCTCACCAGGACCACCGAGCCCTCTTCCTCGCAAGTGCCTGGGCACCAGCGTGTGGGCCCCGCCCTCTAGGGCAACGCGGCTTGCATTGCAGCCACAAGCATGGGTAAAGTTTGTCCTTGATGCCAAATCGGCGCGAAATTTTTTACCGCAGGTTTACGAACTCTACTTAGTTCAATATATATTGATTAAATTATAAAGGTTGTTGCAAAAAAACACGAATGCTAATTTGTGTTCAATAATAGTCCCTGGTTACTGCATATGGCAAATCATAAAATAAATATTGGTAACTTTGTCATGCGCATGACATCAGACTTGCAATCACTTATACAGATGTCTTCCGCTAAACTTTCCAGATGATGCATGCATATTTGACATATTTCACACCTCTGATTAGCACGGTTGGCTACATAAGGTGCAAAAGAAGTTCAACATACATACATTACAAAACTTTTTAAAATGTATGTCATTGGTTTTACAGCCATGAATTGGTCGAATATTTGGTTTAATTCCTTTGTCAAGACACCTTAATCCCTCTATCACAGCTTAAAGGTCGTAGTCTGAGCTTGGCTCTGTTTCACTCCAGCCAGTCTTCGAGACAGACTGGTCCCTTCACCTGATGAAGGCCGCTTGTGTTGTGGCCGAAACGTCGTGATTTTTGTTGATTTATATTTTTTACCTATGTGACTTTACCGAATAGAAGCAAAGAGTCTGGCCGGGAAGCTTAAATGCATGGCGGCCGCCAATAAACGGGACTGGGACGAACACCTCCCCTATGCTCTGTTCGCCTACGCCACCACGGTACACACATCTACGGGACAGACCCCGTTTCTAATGATGTTTGGTCGCGAGTCTCGCCTGCCTGCAGATCTGCTGTTCGGTGTCCCTCCGCCGCAATGGGAGGAGGGGAGTCGCACCGTGGAGCACCTAATGGAGACCCTACGAGGAGCTAGGGGCCGGGCATACCCGCAAGGCGAGGCTGCACACTAGCGGCAGGAGCAGGGCGCCCGACCCCGAATGGAGCCCCCTTTCTACTCGGCGGGCTCTAAGGTATAGCTGCACACCCCTCGCGTCGGGGCCGGACAGGTGGGGAAGGTAGCTACCTACTGGCGGGGAGCCTGGACCGTGGGACGACAAATCTCCCCCTGGACGGTACTGATTCAGGGGGGAGAGAGAGGCTGGGAGATGGTGGTCAACGTCCGGCGACTAAAACCATGGAGGGCGGCCCCAGCGAGGGAGAACCCCACCATTCGAGTACCCCGAAACCCCGGGGTCCCCACACCCCCCATACCCGGGGGCCTCGCACAGTATATGGGCCCCACGGAGCCCCGGGCCCCAGGGGGTCCCGACCCGAGCCAGGGAGGACGGGGGCGACGGCCCCTGAACCCTACCGCCCCCGAGTTTGTCTCCCAGCCCGCAGGTACCAAGGACCGAAGAGAACCACTGGTGTGGAAGAGAAGACCACCGCCGGAACCCCGAGAGAGGGAGCCACCACCGCCGAGGCCAGCCACGAGAGCCGGACAAGTCCCGCGGACCCCACGTCGCTACCTCGTGGGGGCAACCCAGGCGAGGTGCTCCAGTCAACCCGGGACGGGGACTGGCACCTCGGGGGGCTGTGTGGTGCCGCCGCAGCGGAGCTGCTCCGTCGGGGCCGTGCCCACCGCCGTGACGCCGCCACGGAGAGTGACGACACCGACGCTGCGCCCTCGCCACCCCCGCCATGAATGCACGCATACCCCACGTAGAGCTGGGAGGGAAGGTCACCTGGCCGACAGGTTTTCATCCAGAAGCCCCTAATGGGAACAAGCTTCATGGTTTCCTGCGGCCGGGAATTGGGCGACCTACCCCGAGACTGACCAACACCGCGGCGCCGTAACCTGATATTATAATTGCATGGTTACGGCAGGGGCTGTAAAGCCACCGCGGATGGGGCCACACGCACGCAGCACGGGTCAGTGGGCGGGGAGCGAGAGAGCAGAGAGCAGACGTCGGAGAGATCACTGCGGCGACGTCACCAGCGCTGGGATCCGAACATCAAAAGGGCGGGAAAATCCGAGCCCCTGATTGGACGGGAGGCCAAGGGGGCGAAACGGCGGAATTCCTTTGTTGTAGGTGGGATAAAGGAAGGGGGATTCAGGCAGTAAAGGTAAGAGTCCTTCAAGTCATCGAAGTCAGCGGAGTGTTGGAGCCGGCCGTTCGAGTCGTCCGTGTGACGAGCTTCAACGCAGCCAGGCACAATCCTCCACAGAGACGACCCACAGCATCGCCCTTCTACAGCCTCCGGCGCCTTAGATTGGAAGTCAGCGTAAGGGAGAGGTGAGTTTGGGTTATTAATCAGAGGGTAGAAAGTGGAGCGCCAGGCAGAATAAATTGAGTCCAGGATCCCGAAGGATAGGCAGTTAGGGTCTGCTGACTCACACAAACACACGTAGTTTAGCGGGTTATTCGGGGAATAAAACCTGCAGTAGAGGATAAAACTGTGTCGTGTGGTCGCTTGAGTGTGGAAAGTGGTGGGTGGAGTGCTTTATGTTCGTGTGCATACGCGGCTGTTTACGGCGAATAGGAGAGTGTCGCGTCTGGTGTTCGCGCACACGCGTGGCCATTTAAACGGCCTTTAAATCGGGGCGGAGTGTCTCCCTTCAATCAGTGGCGTGTGTACGGTGGACACCCCTGCCCTCTAACCCCTGACCCCAAGCACTCGCAGGTGATTGGTGTACGGAGTCGGGCAGGTGGCAGAGTCGGGTTTATTAGCGCCTGGGCACGTAAGGCGTGTATGCGAACGGATCCCGGGGGCTATGCGCCGGCCGGGGAGTCACTTCGGCGCGCCGCACCCCTTTTGTTTACGCACAAAACGGAGTTTTGCCTCGCGAGCGTGCCCACCGCAGCACGCCCACTACTAAGACCGCGTAGCGCGTCGTAACCGTAAAGCCGTCGGCCCTACCGATTGAGACATGCCTACGCAGGCAGCAGCAAAGGCGGGAGCACAGGGGGGCGAGGAGTTGGGAGTCGGTAGCCCGAACCCGACAGAGCAGTCGGGGAGTAGCAGTGAGAATGAAACAGAGGAGGCGGGGGGCAGCAGACCCCGCATCGTAACGGGGGAGTCGGGGGACAGCGGCCCCGACAACTCGGTGCAGGCGAGGGGCAGCAGCCCCCGCAGATGTTCCCCGGGCCTCTTCCCCTATGGACGGCCCTTGGGGCAGGAGACTGAGCGATCGCAGTCCTGCTGCAGTGGTGGTCGGCACGCTGCGCTATGACCTCGGCCTGCGCGAGTTCAATTCCCGGGCGTGGCCAAGACCTTGACGATGAGGGAAGTGTTTGCAGCACAATTGGTCGCTAGTTCGATATTCAGTTGCTACAGCATTCGCATTTGCACCACCTTGACTTATAAAACCAACTGTTGTTACGTGTAGCTGGCCAGTTGTGAATTGTTACACAACCGTCACTTTGACTGTCAATCCTTTAGTAAAAAGTTTCACAAATGGAAAGTGAATATCACCTGAACATCGAACTCGCAACCAACTCCACTGCCGGCCAGCCGTGTTCGTGGATTCTGCACCTTCTGCTGGATTCGCACGGCCTCCAAGACCACCTCCTCCCCTCTCTTACTCCCCCTGCCACCCTCTGCCCGTGTCGCCTGCTCCACAGCACACGACTGCCAGTATGGATTTTCCCAGTCCGGAATTCACAGTCCAAAGTTACAAGTTCACGTCCTGGTCACGGTCGGCTCATGGTACATCTTAACCCTCCACTGGGATTAATATAAATAAGCGTGAGAACTCAGCAGTAGGTGTGTTCGTCATGTGTCCTGCCATAGGAATGTGGAATTTGCATGATCAGGTCAGGGGCCAACTGGGTGGTGCACGCCTGTAATCCAACCCTGGCTCGCCAGAAGGCAGTACAGTGAGTTAACTAATCGTCATCTGTACGGGGATAGAGTGTTGCCTCCTCGCGCGTGTGATGATGGGGGGGGGGGGGTTCTATGGGTGATCCGCCTTCTTTTCACATGTGTAAACCCTCATAATTAATAAATTGCCGAAAACACCTTCAAAAACAAACCCAATGTGGCAGGGTCCACCTACAAAAATTCCTACGACTCAACGTAGCTCTCCTGGATGAATAGGCAACTGTAGTACTAACTGCGCGTTGTGGACACTACGTAGACCATCCCGTTGTTGTTGACCATTTGCCCTCGGCAACTATCGCTGTGCAACGTGGATACAGCCGAAGTGCTGATACGTCACCCAAGTCACACGCACCTTTGCACACACACCAGCACTCACCACTCGGCAGGCATACTCACCTCTAACGAATTATTCCTCTTAATATGGGTCCCAGTAGTGGTCAAGGCGATGGTGTGGGAGGAGGGAGGCCAGGAGAGGCTGAAAATGTAGGAACAAAGATAATGAGACAATAACTTTCAAATTAATGATAATGGGAAGGGTTGTGGGGAAAGGACTGGGCTGGGAAGCAGTGCATTGTGAATAGCACCAGCCATCTCTAGCCCAATATAGGCCAGACCACGGGGAAGCGAGGCAGGCCCAGTCTCTACAGCCGCCAAGATGTATGTAGAACTTCTATCGCAACGTACATAGCCAACCGTGCTAATGGGAGGTGCGGGAAGATGGAGCCCTTCTTTTTATCATGTGGTCCGAGGGTTGCCACCTGTGCTGGTTTCCCCAAAGGCGTCTTTTTTTTTTAAATAGCTGCTGCCCAGGGAAATCTGGGACGTGAAAGTCGCAGCTTTTGTCAATGGCACAATAATTATAGACCGCTCAACAAATTTACATGTGGAACTCCTCTCTGCCACTACTCTTGAGAGGTTTCTCTTTCCATGGTCTGTCCCGAGGTCTTTGTTCAGAGTTTGAAAAACATGTCGCCCACAGATAACGGCAGAGGACCTGGAGGGGAATTGCACTCTTCCCTCTTCTCCCCCACGAACCCCTCAATAAGCTAACACATCTATTCAAAGGGCATAAACATACACGCGCACATACACACATGCAACTGGGCCATTGACAGCAGCATTAAAAAAAAACTCGACCCAAGGTTCAGCGTGCTGTAAACTCGCCCATCATGCCATCTCTGTCATCTCTCCATCGCGGTGGCGCGGTTCTTGGCCGCTGATTGCCGTGTGAACTGCCGCACGAAACTTCTCTACCAACGCGATTTTATGGTGCTGCGGTTAGAGGTCGGTTAAACACACTTCGCCATTGTGTTAACTTTGACTCGAGAGGCCAATTTCATAATGAAAACAATAAACACTGGACAATCGAGTTTTTAAAAATAAATTGCCGATGGAGCAGTGACCATGTACTGGTGTTTAACATGTTTTTTTTACATTCATTATGCGTGTATGTTGAATTTATTTCACACCGTACGTAGCCAACCGTGCTAATTGGAGGTGTACAGGAAGGAAAATAAATTAAACAAAAAAAGCAGTTGTTAAAAAATTCGTTTTCAATCTAGATTTAAAAGTGCATAGCTCCAGTGGCTTCCGATTACCGGAAGAGCATTCCAGATGGCCGCAGAAGCGCATCTGAAAGCACGCGAAGCAATGATCGTTTTGGTTGCTTGTTAACCAAAAGCCGCTGCAGTGGAATGATCACAGCTGTGATCAATCAGTTTCAGTTTCATTTATTTGGTACAGCCCTGTGAACCATTCGGCTCTTGAATCGGGTGCAACCACAAAAAAAAACATGAACAAAAAACATCTTAAAGTGACTATGTGACTGTGCAAACAGAAAATCCAGGAAAAAAACAGCAAAATATTCCTGAAAAAGCACCGTACAACAACGCTGTGCAAAAATCCCAGTGGGATGCAAGTCAAACAACAACAATAACCACAAGACAACTTAAATTAAGGCCATCAGTCTAACTCCATACTACAACAAACATGGCCAAACCAAACAACTTCTCGAAATCACCAAAATAAAGTCATAAATGCAAACAGTGATCATAGGGACCGTGACCGAATTTTTAACAATAAAACTACGTAAATAACATGTAACAAGAAATCCTAGAGCCATAGCTGGCTGCATGAGTCACTCCACAAAAACAGGAGCATCAGTCGGAGTATCAAATTTTTCAATGCACCTTTAAGATAAGCACACTAAATCAAAATACAGATAATACTTTGCAGCGGTCATCCGGAGCAAAACATTTTATTTTATTTTAGGCCACTGAACAGCAGTGGCAGCTATGGGTGTACAACTCCTCGAGAGCATATTATTGGTTCTTTCGGTAAAGTCACGTTGAAGGGAAACAATAAAATAATAAAATATATAAAACAATAAAATTCTCACGACGTTTCAACGTGACTTTACCGAAAGAACCAAGAATATGAATCACTGCAGTCACGAAAGCTTTAAATCAAAACTCCTCTAGAGCAGTTTTGAGTGAAGATCTCATAGATAGTGATTCAAGTTGGAGTTTATTGGCAAAAGCATTCCAGACCCTGGGGGCATCGACTGATGGATGAAGGCAATTTTAAAATATCACCATTTAGATCCCAGTTACGGTATCACGATGCATGGTACAAAGCAGACAAACGACCTTCTGGAACTCTAGAATTCCTTCTGGAACTCCTCGAACTTGTGTAACATCCAGAAACATGAACTCCCCAATATTTAGCAATGGAGATAAGGATTTGTGCGGAATGGGTGCAAACGTGTTGTGGCTCCGATATGGATAGGAAGAATCCGAACGTGTTACATGAGTAGTGAGTCCAACTGAGTCGCAGACGTTCCTTTCTATAGGCAACAGATTTATTTGTAACACGTAACACAAAGGGGTAACTGCCCCTTCACCAAATACAGCCTAGGGTGGTGACCACCCAGCTAACTAGCCGATACAGAGGAGTTACTGCTACGAAGTGTCGGGCCTCACTCGGGTCCGCGACCACGTGTTTGCCTTGTAAGACGTAGAGCTTCCAGCTTGAGATGTAGAGCTTCAGTTGGTGGACGTGGAGCTTCCAGCTTGTAGAATGCAGCGACCCCGGTCCCTCTCAGGGATCCGCCTAATATTCCCCCACGGGTCGGGGCCGCTCCGCCTCTGGCCCCGCCCGCCTTCTAGCTCCCTCTCGAGAGCTCTCCCCGGACACGTGATCACCCCCTAGTCCCCTCATCTGGGGGCCTCTCTGTGGACACTCTAGATTACGTGTCTGCAGGGTCAACCAGAGTGCCATGGTCCGAGGCAACCCTGTCCTTGGGCTGACACTCTCTCGCTCCCCCTCGTGGGAGATTGCACTGCACGCTATGCGTCGTGCCTGCGCTATCCCAGCGCTCACCAAGCCCCGCTAGGGCTGGTACTACACCCACCGATGTCAATGCATTACACGCCACGGCCCTAACGGGCCGGACAACCATCATCGATTCCCTACCAGCTTCAGCCACCCAAGTGACCGTCTGAAATAACCAGTTAGCAACCATGACGTGAGAGCTTAATACCTAAGCGGAGGAGGGTTGGACAGTCATCAGTCATAAAGCAATACTGCCTAAAGCTGCATACCTTAAGAAACAGTATCCAGCCGAGAATGCCTGACACCAACACTGGCCGAACACTGGTACCTATTTATTTTATTTTTTGTTAATTTTACCAGGTATGGCCCACTGAGCTGTAGAGCTCTCTTTTCTACTTGCATATTCAAGCTGGGCTGGGGCCATGCCGAGCTATCGTGGCATGGCTCAGAAAGCAGGTCACTTTTCCACTGCGCAAGCCGAGCCTTGCCGACCTCACACGCTACGTGTCGCCACGTTTGAGTAGGCAAACGCAACCGGCACCCACCATCGGCCCTGCCTCGAGCACAGCTGGGCCCCGAGCCAGATCCAGACGTTTTGTGAGGCCAGTGCAGTGCTGCTTGGTTCTAGCTCCGCTCTGCAAATAGCCAGTGGAAAAAGATCCGTACTGTATTGGCCCTGCGCTGGCACGGGGTTTGGATGTGCAAGTGGAGTAGGAGTGCAAGTGAAGTAGGAGTACAAGTGGCTGCCTTCCATATCACAGTGCCGCATTGCAGGAATCACATGGGGAGATACACTTTTTAACCATGTTGCTAACGTCACCTTGAAGACGTCCAGGCCTATTGTTAACGGCTAACAGAACTCACACAAATAGCCACTCTGCTCTTCCTCTTAGGTAAATCGTGAACGCTCTTATTGCATCAAGAGCTGATAACCTCCTTCATAATAACAAAATGGCTGGGGGGCAGAATATAGGCAATGGGGTTGGCGGTGAAAGGCAGCTGTTACCTTAGGCGGTTTACACGACGGTCGCCGTCATAGGTTTACTGCAGGAATGACTGCAGCCACACCCACGCTGGCGAGACGCACGCAAAGTCCACCTTGGGCCATGATGCGCTGTGTTCACTGGCGGAGCCAGTGGGGGGGGGGGGGGGGGTGTGGCACGTGCCCCCCCAATGATCCGATCGAAATCCTTCATTTAGATCGGATCATTGGGGTTTATTAGTAATAAATCGGCATTTTGCGACCCCCACTGCCAGTGTAGCATATTATTACGTGCCAGGGAATCTATGAGATAAGACAACAGTCTGAGTCCATAATTGGTAATAGGTAACGGCAAAACATTTATAAGTGATTCACAGAATTGTGCACAGTTGCGTATACAGTACACGACTTCCCTGAAGGCAAACACCTTCAGCGAGCGCGATGCCGATCACACACGGTTCGAATTCGACCCTCGATTGATGACTGTGCCATCGCCTCACACGCGTCGAATAAAAAGCAAGGGGCAAGTCTTTACTTACTAACTCCTATCATTTTTCATTGCTGGAGGGGTTGCCCACCCTGACCTGAAAATCTTGGCTCCGCCATTGGCTGTGTTTGATTTTTGGGTACTGTATTGTCTATTCTAGATTTGAAGCTTTTGTGACTGCAAGGATCCATACTCTTTGGTTCTATTCGGTAAAGTCACGTAGGTAAAAAGGTTCTCTGCAAACCCACGGGTTTTTATCAGAGATTTGTCCACGAGGCAATCCAGATTTACAAACACAGACACAATTTAAAGCGAGAGGATGGTTTCAAATTAAGCAATCATTGGAAAGATGTTCTAAATCAAACCAAACCTTAAACTAATTTTCAATGGTACAGTATATTTATTCAAGTAGTGGTATCCCAAACTTTCACAGCAGCTTATTTCCCTTCACACCAACATTATGTAAACTCCGCCCCCCCCACCCCGCCGGTCCAGTACACCATTGTTATGCTAATTCCTTTGTCAAGGCGTTTTTTGTTCCTCCCACACAGCTTAAAGGACGCGACCTGGGCTTGCTGTCTTCACTCCAACGCTGTCCTCTGGACAGTCCAGTCCCTTCACCTGATGAAGGCCACTTGTATTGTGACCAAAACGTCGTGAATTTTTTTTTGTTACCTACGTGACTTTACCGAATAGAACCAAAGAGTACTGTATTGTCTGTTGAACTTATTTGATGCCTATTGAAACACGTGCATTTATTCTGATACGCTTTAGGTAATACTACAAACGCTTTGGAAAATGTTGGACTGTGACGCTGGCACAAAATGGCCTACCTTTTTTTTAACGTCGCAGGATCTTTGACATCCCACCGTGAAGCAGACAGTGCGTGGTATTTTACGGTGAATAGACATAGTGTTTACCAGGGCGGCCTGCCTGAATCCAACTGTGAACCTCTGCAAATAGAAAGCGACGAGCGTCCTACTGCTGGCCCACCCGCATCACCACCCATCCACTTGGGACAGAGGACAGCGAAGAGGCATCCACAGGAGCCGACGCAAAGTCAACCGACGCACGGCAGACGACGGAGAGGAGGAAATCGCTCGGAGCAGCAGACAGATTCGGCGCAGGGGAGACGAGAATAACAGCAGCAGAGACAGGAAGATATGGAGGGGACTCTCATGGGCAGCAGGAGCAGAGACTATTTGGAGATGACGATGAAGAGACAGTATTCGTGTACGCAGGAACTTTATCATTTAAAATGCAAAACACGTTTTTACATGCCCGCGTTACATTTGAATGTAAATGTTATGTTTACAATTCCAAGGCGTGGATACTGTGGCGGTGTGAAATGCGCATGTTCACGCAACGCAAACACGTGGCTGGTTAGGCAACCTGCGGTCGCTACTTATGCCAATGAGCCCGTTACACAGTGGCTAGCGTGGGACAATCAGCAACCAGGCGCTTATCTGGGAATTGCTAAAACATAAACAAAAACTTGATTTGAAGCTTTCGTGACTGCAGGAATTACTCTGGTTCTTTCGGTAAAGTCACGTAAAAAGAAAATAAATTAAATAATAGAATACGACGTTTCGATTGCACCAAAAGCAGTCGTCATCAGGTAGAACTAAATTTGAAAGAGAGACAAAACACAGACACAGAGACACACAGAGACACATAACATAGACATACAGAGAGTCTCTGTGTGTCTATGTTGTGTGTCCCTCTCTATTTTGTGTCTCTCTCTGCTTGTGTGTCTGTCTGTGTGTCTCCGTGTCTGTGTTTTATCTCTTTTTTAGTTCTATCTGATTACGACTGCTTGTGTTGTTATCTAAAAGTTGTATTCTATTATTTAATTTATATTCTTTCTACGTGACATTACCGAAAGAACCAAAGAGCATAAAAAAATTCAACCCTAAGTGATTACATGAATTCAGGTTTTCAATTAACCAAAAGATAAATAATCCCAGGGGTCCCTTACTTTCTTAAAGTCCTACAAAGACACCGATGAAATGATGCAGGAGGAACCCAATATTTTATTCCGAGTCCATGATAAATGCCTCAAAGTCGTGGTCCAGGTCACTGACCAAAGCGTCGACAAAGTCGTCGACAGTCGGCCTCTTCTGAAGCATCCCTGCAACAACAGCGCCCGCGTTATACTCGAGGGCACGGACACGGCGCTCACAGCCACCACGAAGCTACTCGCCGAGATTAAATTTTGCATCACAAAGCATTCGCAAGGTGAAGTGCACACTGCGCGAGTTAGCCTTGGGTGGGCCCGATGCGTTGTGTCATTTGGGCAGTGGCAGCGCCTCAATAGATTTGCAGGGTTGGCGAAACTCCGCTGATTTGCGACACAAGCACAAGAATCACGCACGTTTCGCGAGAGTCGAGGAAGAGGACTTGGTGAGAAGGCGTTTCAGTATTGGGCGTATGCTCGAGGCAAGCAGGTGACCACAAACAGCGAGCGAGCAAGACAAGAGCAGACCCACCCATCGCACAGCCAAGCAACTCGTCTGGAGCGTGACAAGACGACGACGAGCAGTGAAACATTAATTATTATTGTTATTATTATGCGAGCCACCTGTGGTTGCTTATTTACCCAGAAAATCCTCACCAAGTCTCAACTCATTTTTAGGAGGGTCCTGCCAAGTTTTCGCAGTACGGTGGGCGATGATTGCCGCTGTGTATAATCCCAATTGAGTAACACGCGGTGCGATAAAATAAATTTGGCCAACGAGCGGCAAGCGCGCCGGGCCACATCACTGCCTGGTGACGAATATTTCCAGCCGATTTTATGAATAGAGCATAGACTGGCTGAGCATGCGCGACTGCTGTTACATCCAATAGGCTTTGCTAGAGTAGAGAGTATTTAACTTGCAAGTGACGAGGTAGGCGAGTGCTAACGATCATCACTGTGTGATGGCAAATAGTGAAGGCCAGTACCTTCTACCATCAGTATCGGCTCTTTCCCTCCTCCATGCGCCAACATCTCGTTGCGATATCGGTCCCCAACAGCTCTGAACGAGGACACACACAGGCATAACGAAGTTGCGGGTCACGTCAGGAAGTTAAGCCAACATTCCCCTGTCATCAGTCACATGAAACATGTTAACACACGTACTAGATTCTGCGTTAAATGGTGGTGAATAACTGTTGGTTTCAAATACATTTGATGTCCTCAACATTAAAACTGACAAACGATTTCAGGAAAAGGTTAAATGTACAGTATAGATTACCGTGTGAGTTGAATGATATGTGAACTGGTCCTGGGACCTCTGTGGTACTGGGCTCTGCATCACCAACTATCTGTTAAAAGCTGCACTGTACCTGTCGAAGGGATCTCGGTTAAAGCACTGCCGCCACAGCATGCTGGCCACAGCGCGAGACAGCAGGTAGGAGTAGTACTTGGCTCCGTAGCCCACCAGGTGGCTAAACCTCAGCTGCCAAGCCTGCGTGAACACCACGCACGTACCCAATCACCACACGCGTACCCAATTACCACACATGGGTCATCGTCATACCCAACCAATCGCCACATCCGGCCAATTGCCACACGCGGCCAATCACTATACTCGTACCCAATCACCACGTGCGACCAAATGCCGCATGAGTACCCAATCTCCATAAGCGTATGCAATTTCCGCATCCGTACCCAATCGCCACACGCGACCAATCGCTGCACGTGTACCCAAACAACGCACACGGTCAATCACTACACGTGACAAATCGCCACGCAAGTATCCAAACACTGCGCACAGCCAATCACCAAACGGTAAAGGAATGGGATCCTTCTTCAGTTTACAGCGTGGTGAAGTATGGGTTTATCAGGCAGCACATCAGCTCAGGGGTTTTTGGGTGGTGTTATCAAAAGTGGGTTCACGCTATCACTGACACGGCACTTTTCTTACAAGGGCCATTCCCGTACACTCTGGCACACACAAAGAATGGTGGAACAGGGCAACTCCTCTGGTCCAAGTCAACATGGGGGCACAATACAGAACCCGGGAAGTTCCAGTCAACTGCTTAAACAAGACACACGGTGAAGGATCACAAACCGCACATGACAGTGTAGATTCGCTTGGTCCACCATATAGTGTAATCCATGGAAATGTCCTCAGTCCATACCGATACAAAGGGTGGCCGTGGCCGTGGCCGTGGAACTCACGCACAGACGCACGCACGTTGGCTAAAGCGTGGCAGCACCTAATTAGCAATTCTGCTGGGGCTAAAGCTGAATAGCCAAGGGTGCACCAATCTGACATTGCCGATTCCCTGCTGCGGTCACTCTGCGCACACACACCGTGTTGGGGACATAGGGCAGGCCGTAGTATTTTCTATGGGTCTCCATCAGGGTCTCGGTGGTGGACTTGTTGAGAGGGTGTTCACCATGGTAGAGCTGGTCCAGCATGGAGTAAAAAACCTGTGAGACACAAGAGTTCAACCCGCGACCCTCGTAAATGACGCGACCTCGCTACGTCCATTTGGCGTTCTCTAACACGGCTATAGTTACAAACCGAACAGCCTTCGCTTCATGGTAATTCGAATAAGAATACACCACATAGACCTTTAACTTCACTGACATAATAAAATACAATTTTTACGTGTAAAATGAATTTTAATAATGAAATTACCTTTAACGGATGATGCTCGCTCATGAGACGGAATTTAAGCAGGCTAAAAGCTGCTTAAAATGTTTGTTTGCATGTTTTGCCACAAGTAATGCAATCTGTTTAATGCAGATTTGATGCCTTGCAAAAGGTTCCTATTTGGTGTTTGAACATCTTAACACCTTTAATATTTCCAGAAAGGGTCAAACCTATTCTTATTTTTTCATAATTTTTGAAACTGGCAAAAAGGTCCCATAGATAGGATAAAAGTGTCCACTTTTGTTGCAATGAACGATCCAACAAAACGAAGACACGAGCCAGGGAGACGCCAGCATCAGCGGCATCACTAGGATGCTCACCAGGACCACCGAGCCCTCTTCCTCGCAAGTGCCTGGGCACCAGCGTGTGGGCCCCGCCCTCTAGGGCAACGCGGCTTGCATTGCAGCCACAAGCATGGGTAAAGTTTGTCCTTGATGCCAAATCGGCGCGAAATTTTTTACCGCAGTTTTACAAACTCTACTTAGTTCAATATAAATTGATTAAATTATAAAGGTTGTTGCAAAAAAACACGAATGCTAATTTGTGTTCAATAATAGTCCCTGGTTACTGCATAAGCTAAATCATAAAATAAATATTGGTAACTTTGTCATGCGCATGACATCAGACTTGCAATCACTTATACAGATGTCTTCCTCTAAACTTTCCAGATGATGCATGCATATTTGACATATTTCACACCTCTGTTTAGCACGGTTGGCTACATAAGGTGCAAAAGAAGTTCAACATACATACATTACAAAACTTTTTAAAATGTACGTCATTGGTTTTACAGCCATTAAGTGGTCGAAAATTTGGTTTAATTGAAGGGGGGGGGGGGAAATGCGTTTGTGCACAGCAATAATGTTTAAAACGTCAAACAGCGTTAATAGCTCCGTCATTAAACGTTCTGGCCGCGAGCCACAACACACCCCCCCTTTGCCTCACCTGAAGCTGTAAATCCGACGACGCGCACACTTTCTTCGACTCGCACAGACGCGTGACCATGCTCTTTGACAGCGGCTGGAAAAGCAACAAATTAGAGTAAAAAAACCAGTGGTGGCTTCACAGAAGACAACCGTGATATAATTCTACACCATCGAGCATTTGTAGAAATCCTCAAGGCCGCTGGGTCACCGATACGAAAACGTGATACCCTAGTTCACTGCGCATTTGTTTCTCTTGCATACAGTGAGGGCAAAAAGTATTTGATCCCCTGCTGATTTTGTGCGTATGCCCACTGACAAAGAAATGATCAGTCTATAATTTTAATGGTAGGTTTATTTGAACAGTGAGAGACAGAATAACAACAACAAAATCTAGAAAAACGCATGTTAAAAATTGATTTGCATTATAATGAGGGAAATAAATATTTGACCCCTCTGCAAAACATGACTTAGTACTTGGTGGCAAAACCCTTGTTGGCAATCACAGAGGTCAGACGTTTCTTGTAGTTGGCCACCAGGTTTGCACACATCTCAGGAGGGATTTTGTCCCACTCCTCTTTGCAGATCTTCTCCAAGTCATTAAGGTTTCGAGGCTGACGTTTGGCAACTCGAACCTTCAGCTCCCTCCACAGATTTTCTATGGGATTAAGGTCTGGAGACTGGCTAGGCCACTCCAAGACCTTAATGTGCTTCTTCTTGAGCCACTCCTTTGTTGCCTTGGCCGTGTGTTTTGGGTCATTGTCATGCTGGAATACCCATCCACGACCCATTTTCAATGCCCTGGCTGAGGGAAGGAGGTTCTCACCCAAGATTTGACGGTACATGGCCCCGTCCATCGTCCCTTTGATGCGGTGAAGTTGTCCTGTCCCCTTAGCAGAAAAACACCCCCAAAGCATATGTTTCCACCTCCATGTTTGACGGTGGGGATGGTGTTCTTGGGGTCATAGGCAGCATTCCTCCTCCTCCAAACACGGCGAGTTGAGTTGATGCCAAAGAGCTCCATTTTGGTCTCATCTGACCACAACACTTTCACCCAGTTTTCCTCTGAATCATTCAGATGTTCATTGGCAAACTTCAGACGGGCATGTATATGTGCTTTCTTGAGCAGGGGGACCTTGCGGGCGCTGCAGGATTTCAGTCCTTCACGGCGTAGTGTGTTACCAATTGTTTTCTTGGTGACTATGGTCCCAGCTGCCTTGAGATCATTGACAAGATCCTCCCGTGTAGTTATGGGCTGATTCCTCACCGTTCTCATGATCATTGCAACTCCACGAGGTGAGATCTTGCATTGAGCCCCAGGCCGAGGGAGATTGACAGTTCTTTTGTGTTTCTTCCATTTGCGAATAATCGCACCAACTGTTGTCACCTTCTCACCAAGCTGCTTGACAATGGTCTTGTAGCCCTTTCCAGCCTTGTGTAGGTCGACAATCTTGTCCCTGACATCCTTGGAGAGCTCTTTGGTCTTGGCCATGGTAGAGAGATTGGAATCTGATTGATTGAGTGCTTCTGTGAACAAGTGTATTTTATACAGGTAACAAGCTGAGATTAGGAGCACTCCCTTTAAGAGTGTGCTCCTAATCTCAGCTCGTTAAAAGACACCTGGGAGCCAGAAATCTTTCTGATTGAGAGGGGGTTAAATACTTATTTCCCTCATTAAAATGCAAATCAATTTATAACATTTTTGACTTGCGTTTTTCTGGATTTTTTTGTTGTTATTCTGTCTCTCAATGTTCAAATAAACCTACTATTAAAATTATAGACTGATCATTTCTTTGTCAGTGGGCAAACGTACAATATCAGCAGGGGATCAAATACTTTTTTCCCTCACTGTAGCTCGAAGCCAAGCTCAGCAGCCACCGAGAAGGATTCCGCAGGGCGACTTAAACAGCAAAAAACCGCACTTGCGCGCTCGCGACAGCATTTACACCGCGGCTTCTGTCCAACGCTCTCCCCAGGACACCTGACAATAGAATAATTACATTTGTAAGGCACATTTAATCTCTAGATCCAAATGTGCCCCATGTATGAAAAGCAGGAAATAAACAAAACTAGGTTAAATGCCCAGAACCATTTGAAAGAGGTGCGTTTTAAAGACAGACTTAAATAGCTCTAACGAATGATTGTCTTATTACCAAAGGCAAAGCGTTCCATAGTACTGGGAGGTGCACTGGCAAAAGTCCAATCACCCCAGGAACAGAGCCTTGACCTCGGAGTACTTAGAAGAATGCCATTCAAAGATCTCAGGGACATCGTTGGAGCTTAAGAATGGCTCAGTTCGTACAAATATTGTGGAGCTAACCCAATGAGAGCAGAATCTTATAATCCACTCGATACTTGACTGGTAGCCAATGCAAAGTCAAGAGGGCAGGTGTGATGTGCTTGCGACACGATGTATACCTAGCAGCTGCATTCTGAACAAGCTGGAGACTACTACTAGCACCTTACTTGGAATCCTGAACACTAATACGTTGCTATAATAAAGTTTGGGAGAACACAAAAGCATGAGCCAGTCTCTCTCAGTCATTAGGAGACACAAATCGACGCAGCCTGGCAATATTTGTAAGGTGAAATAACAAAGTTCTAACCACCCTAGATACATGCGCCTCAAAGGACACGGACTGGTCAAATTCATCACCAAGATTTCTGATCTCCTGTCATGACCATCTATTAACAAATGTGAACTGATTTTAGATAAATGCAGAGGGGAGCTAATTAAATACAGCCTCAGTCTTGTTCGCATTTAGTAAAATACAATTTTACTGCCACCAAGTTTTGTTCGCATTTAGTAAAATACAATTTTACTGCCACCAAGGTTTTACGAATGTTTATGAGGCACACAGCGCAGAAGCTGTCCTTCACACTTGGGAGGGTGATACATCGATATTAACAGTACGGGGCTGGGCACGAGGTCTCCAGTCCCATGCTACGTGCTCAAATGACTGAAATGTTGGTAAAGGCAAAGGACAAAGGATTGCCGTATGGGTGTGAATAATTTCCAGATCTCCCCCTCACCGGCCAAATAACCGGGGCTTCTTATGAAAATAGAAACCTAATGGGGTCGCCTCATTCAATGAAAAGTAGTCAAGAGGACGATGCCAGGTCTCAGTCAAACACAGGAAGTCAAGACGGTGACACGAGATTATTAATTACACGGAAACCACTAATCACTGATTCATCTTCCCATAAGCTGTGTCCAATTTGAAAGCCGAGAGCTGCGTTTTGAGGGCAGATAACGCCAGAAACACAAGGCCGTGTCTGAAGTTGCGAGAAAAAAGAGGGTTCCGCACAACAGAGGCGTTGCTGAGCCATGCAAGCCGTCTCTGCACAATAGTTTCAGGTACTAACCTGGCCCGTTTGGTAATGCCTGGCGAACTGAGACACCACGCGGTAGTCACTGGCAAAATACTCCATGAGAATGGACGGAACTTCAGCAAAGTCTGTAGGACACCTTGTGCCTGTTAAATACACGTGGGGCAACAAACGTTCAGTTCTACTTCTGTTCATTGTTGATGACACGACATATTTGTCTCGTCAGTTCAGTGACAAAACTGCACAGCAAAGTCTCAAAAGGTTAAGGAAAACAGACTTCATCATAAAAAATGCATTAACATGAGCCAGGATAATAATTAAAGCATACTTTTGGAGACCCAGGTCACTCTTCCAAATGACACTATCCTATTTTCTTGAGTTCCCAACTGGGTAAACAAATTAACCTGAACTTGAGTGCTTTCATAGGCCAAGCCAAGCACTGTTGATTTCAATGTCGTATAGCGAGCCACTCGCTCACTCTGCTGGGGCTGCGTCACTGGGACCAATCGGCAAAACAGCAGGACACCGACAACTCTGCTCACTGAACAATATTTTGTGAACGAGATCAAGAAAGAGGAACACATGGCTCGTTTAGAGGAACCGCATTTATGGGGAGCGATGAGGTGGGGAGCGATGAGGTGGGGAGCGGGCGTCACTACCGGTGACGTGCTGGTAGCGCGTGCGCCCCAGCATAGAGTGCATGGCGTGGCCCATCTCGTGGAAGAGGTTCTCCATGGAGCCCGGGGAGAGCAGCGTCGGGGCGCCGCCGCTGCCCTGTGCGAGGCTCGGCAGGCTCAGCATCAGCACCACCACGGGTAGCTGGTAGCCGCCCTCCTCCAGCTGGCGCCCCCCACGGATCGTGAAGTGGCAGTCCTGGTACGACACACGGGACGGCATGTGATGACACACAGAGTTCTAAACAACATCGCTGAGTGCAACACAAGGGCCCGAACCGTTAAGCGATCAGTAACAAACAGCACAATCGAGGTTTTTAATAGCTACAGGTTGATACCTTTTTTTTAATGTGCAAGATTACAAGAGATTTGAAAAAAAGATGGGAGGGAATTCCAAAGTAGAGCGGTATAAGGGAAGAAGCAGAAAGAGAAGCGTTCTGACGTGCAGTGTTGTGAGTGGGTGAGTGCGTGAGTGATTGGGCGAGTGTGTTGTTGTGACCTGCAATATGGTGGTCGAAACGAAACAGTCTGGTAGATCGAGTCATTAACACGGGTGAAGGAATCGAGTGAAATTCACGGGAACAGTAACCATGGAAGTAGCAATAGAAGCGTAAAAAGGAGACTGACCGCTGGCGAGTACCTGGAGTGAATCTGTGAGCGCCGGATCATCAGTCAACCTGACTGCTTTATGACCATCATGCAGAATCAAATCAAATCATGAGCACCTTTGGTATTCAGTGCAAACTCATGAAAATTGCGCACCTCATTTTGGCAGTTGATGTTCAAAGTGGACTGCGACCCTCTAAAGAATGGTGCTGCCCCCGTGGTTGCTCCGTGATATGTGGATCAAACAAATAACTCGAGACACCGGTACTATATGGCAGCAAAAGCAGTTAATTGAATGCTGCTGCAAGAGGTCACATGTTTGGCGCAATGGTCCTTCGCTAACTACGTGTGATGATTTTGGTATTCATGCAATACTTAAAGTGCACGACCACCCCGAAAACGGGCACAGAGTTTTACTTGATCTGCAGTGGTTTCCCAAAAGGGGGCCTTGTCGCAGTCTTCTGTGTCTTCAGACCGTGACGCCAACACACAGCAGCCGGACAAATTGCTGTACACATACTGTACATCACAATGTGCTGTGCACACTTAATCGGGCATTTTGATTTGGGAAGTGAAGCGCATGAACAATGGGTAGTAGCATCGGCAGTGAGGATGAAGCTTTGCATAAGGAATAACAAATGGAATTGTGTGCATTCTGATGTCTATAACTTGGCCATTAAGTGTTTGTATCTCTCTTTGTTGTGAGAAATATGAAACTAAACTACATCTTTTATTTGACTAGTGTAATGAGATAGTGGCATCCACTGGTTGGAAAAGGGAAGCACGGGTACAGGCACCACTATAAGCATTATCCAATCTGGGCCAAAGGTCAAGGGTGGGGCCGGCCGAGAAACTCCAAGGACCGGCTAGAAAGTTCCACGAGAGGGCGTGGCCAGAGCCTAGCCGCGCCTGCGGCAATATAAGCGGAGGCGGACTCGGACTCGGTGTGGGGAGTCTTGGGTCCGGACTGAGTCGCTGCTCGCCGTCATCTCTCTCCGTCGTTCGGCCACGTGGCGGATCTCCTGCGGAGCTCCACCGCCCTCCCCGGCACGCCGTCAGCCAGCGGCGAGACCGGGAGCGGACGGGCGGAACCCACCGTGTGATCAACCGTGTGTAGTCTGTAGAACGTAATAGCTAAGTGTGTACTTGGAGAGGAAGCCGATACTGTTGGCTTGTGCTGTGCCCGTACGTGGAATAAAGAATAGTACCCTCTACACGACGTGTCGCGGAAGTCGCTCATTACACTAGGTAAGGCCCACTGAGCAATCCAGCTATTTTTCAGAATCGACTTAGCCACAAATGATAGCTCAACAAAGTGGCTCACCAGCCAAAATACTCTTGAAATGCACGTTTCTAAATGTGGAGGAAAAACCGGAGAACCCGGAGAAAATTCTATGTGACCAAGGGGAGAACATGCAAACTACAAATATACAGGTGTCGGGGTTGGGATTGAATCCACAACCTCCTGCATACCAGGCGAGGGAGTTAATATCTCGGCACCGCGGCACCTATGTTTTTAGTGGAGCGTAGGCATTCTGCTCACCGGGTAGCAATGTTTGCTTGTTTAGTACCTGCTGAGGCTTTCCTGGGCGGCTGAAGAAATCGCAGTAAATGTATCCCAGTAGCCCCTCCGTTTCATGCACGACTGCCTGTGCCAGGACCGAGATGAGCAAGTGATGAACACGAGTTATTACAGAAACACATGCTACTCAACCGTCACAGCAGTCCTGCTCCCAGACAAGTCCCTGTCATTCGCTTTCAAATTATGGATGTTTTCATTCTGTGGCTTTATGCCACACGTCACCATCGATTGATGCAACCAAGCAGAGCCAGACATACGCACATTTCTAATTTTTAAGGTTCCATGTTCATTGTCTGAGATTCATCAAGACTGGCAGAAGAACAATAATAATCTGTGCATGTTTATGGAGATTGCTTAAATGCCTTGGCACAGGGGTCGGCACCCTGCAGCTCTGGAGCTGCATGCGGCTCTTTAAGGACTATCTATCTATTTAGGACCGCCGTCTCCTATTCACATGCATTGCGGCTCTTGAAATAGTTTTTTTACCTAATTTTTTATAAAATGGCTCTTATTGTTATTTTAGTGCCCAACCCCTGCCTTAGCAACTCAAAGCTCCTTGCACCATATCTTATCTCAACACATTCGAAGGGCACCCCCAGTGGCAGCTGTCCCTGTGCGGTACAAGGTAACTCAGCACCTGCCTGCAAGTGGGCACCAATCTGACATTGGGGTGGAAATGATTGTTGCAATGCGTAACCACAATTGAGTGATTTAGATGTGAGAAGTGCATCGTTAATTATTATAAATGCTGCCATTAGTAGCTGCACAGGTAAATAAATGCAATTTACACCTTGGAACCTTTCCACCAGATTCACAATGCACATTCAACACATACCAATGAGCCAGATTGAGGCAACACACACACATTGTTACATCACAGCATCTCCCCATTCTGGTGATCACTGGGGGTCCGCTCATTTCCACGCTTAACCTTCAGCTAGCGGCTGGAGCTCCACAAATGCATAGCGGGGCCAGTCTCTCCACGCATGACTCCACTCACCAGCTTGCGCACATCCTCGCTCCACAGCTCCCCACTGTTGGGCTGCTCCGCGTAGAGAGACACGCCAAAGAGCTGCGTGAAGAGCTGATTTAGACCCTCCATGCAGGAACCCAACGAGAAGAACGGGCTGTAGAGGCTCGGCTCGATGTTGTACCTGGGCCAGATGTGAACGGCGCCAATGAGAGTATGTGTAGAGTCGTCACCGTAGTGTTAGCGGCTCAATGGACAACTACTCACCACGCCGCACGTATTTATTATTCTTATGTGTGTGACTAGATATGATGCCCACTGTGTAAATGTATAGTACTGTGTAAGTTGTCTAATGTGTTTGTACACACGCATGTCATAACGTGTTTGCCATGTATGCGTGAATCGCCAGGATCGACACCCTTGCAACCGAGACATTCCGTCTTGAGTGACGATCACCCAGGTTACTTATTTTAATAAATAAGGAAATGTACTCAGACATCACATCTCAAAGCAGTGAACTCATCTTATATCTGTAGTGAGTCCAACTGAGTAGCAGACGTTGTTCTTTAGAAGCAACACATTTATTATACCAACACGTAATACACAAAGGGGTAACTGCCCCTTTACCAGACACAGCCTAGGGTGGTGACCACCCAGCTAACTACACTATACGGAGGAGTTACAGCTACGAAGGGTCGGACCCTCACTCGGGTCCTGGCCATGTGTTGATGCCTTGTAGAGCTTCCAGCTTGGAGAACGAAGCGACCCCGGTCCTTCTCAGGGACCCACCTTATATCCTCCCGGGTCGGGGCTGGCTCCGCCCAGGCCCCGCCCGCATTCTCAAGCGTTCTTGCTCCCTCTCGATCCCTCTCGAGAGCTCACCCCGAACACGTGATCACCCCCTAGCCCCCCTCACCTGGCGCCCTCTCTCCGGGTCACGTGTCTACGGGGTCAACTAGAGTGCCATCGCCCGGGGCAACACTGTCCCTGGGCTGACGCTCTCCCGCTCCCCCTTGTGGGAGCCCGCACTACACGCTATGCGTGGTGCCCGCGCAATCCCAGTGCTCACCAAGCCCCGCTAGGGCTGGTACTACACCCATCTACGGGGTGTACGTGATGACGGTGCATCGCACGCCGTGCTATAGTAAAGCCGCCATCACACAGCAACCCACCCAGTGCTGTCCGCGTCATAGGAACATCGCACGCCACGACCCTCCCGGGCTGGCACCATAGAGTGACATCCCCGATGTCACTACATATCTTATATATTCATATAGGCCAGTCCCCGACTTACTAACGGGTTCTGTTCCTGAGACCCATTCGTAAGTCAAACGGTTTGTAAGTAGGAACACAATAATGTACTGTATTTAAATGCACATATGATTAGTGTTATAAAATGTGCTATGGTTCAACAAATATGGGAAGCATTAAACTCGTAAGAAGAAATACTGGACATTTGCATGTGATACTGTAAATAGTTCCATGGTTTGCTTCGCAAGCGCCAGTTCATGTTCACAAGCCAGATGGTTAAAAAATAAATATCTTATGGAAGCTCATTCCTAAGTGTGCATGTGAACACCAGGACAAAAAGGCCTTGTAGCCCACGGAGGCCTCCTACCCCACCCTATTGTAGGTGATGGGTAAACACGCGTTTGTGCGCACAATTTCATCAACACTTCTCTAAGCTTTTCAATTTCCGGTCACTGCATTTTGGTTCCAATATTAACAAAATATAATTCAAAGGTGTAATCAGCTCGTGTGGAAACTTTACCTCTCTGCTCTTAAGACACCGCTGTAGTATGGGTGATCCCACGGCATTAATTCCTAAAGGAAAGGAAATATTTCGTCAAAGAGATCTCCAAACAACCTCGATTTACATCACACAACTTGACATCGCAACTCAGTTTTTGACTTGTGGACGGAAAGTGTACGACAGCATCCAAAAGAGAATATCGGTGCTGAAAACAACGGTGCATGTGAATGGCACAGGGAGGTATATAAATCACATTCAGTCTTGTTGCAAGAGAGACCTAATCACAAGCGACAAGTGTGCATCCTGATGTTGTGTACATTTAAAAAATGAAAGGAGTGTGTGTTCACAAGGTTGCCACTTTTTGTACCACAATCACCAGTCCGTCACCGAGCAGCAGGAATCTTCAAGTATATGTTGTCGATTTTGAATAATACAAAGATGTTTCACGTGATCAGATCATTTAATGTACACAGTGGACACTGGTAAAATACTTTTACCAGTGTCCACTGAGACGCGCAGATCTTATACGAATTGAGAAGAGCCGATTCACTTCGGGTGTGTCTTGCTTTCGAGGACCCCTCTCTCCACGTACGCTCCACTTACGCAGTCCAATGTCTCTCATCCACCCTGCCCTACAACTCCATCAGCTCTCCCTCTCTCCAGCATGTCCGCCCTTTCTGAACGTGTTGTGCCGCCCCCCCCCCGACACCCACCCAATGGGTTCTATGTCCGTCCCTCTCTCCGCAGGCATCTGCCATTCCTTATACTTTCCAATACCAGTGCTATCCTGAGCCAGTCAATAAATGCCTGGCTCTTGGTCTTAAGACTTTTACTTTATCCTCTACTCCACTACCTTGTTAACAAAGGTTGAATGCTGAGATCCCTGGCCTAAACTACCGCTGACAAAAACCCTTTACAATCCTGAGCAACATGTCTCAAAGGCTTACAGGAGCATGATGGCCTAGAATTCAGCATTCAATCCAGCTACCAGGGTAGAGGAGTAGAAAATGAAGGCAATTCTAGCTGTTGTGATTACCAGCGAAATGTCACAGTACTTGAATTGTAAATATTGTCAGTTTACTCTCCAACACACTGGTGTGCTGAACTAGTAACTAATTGGCATGTTTTGTTTACGTAACAAACTTCACTAATTGGCTGTGTCGGGTGGTGGCGGGTTTAAGAACACATTTATATTTACGTGATATAACCCAAAAAAACGATTTTGGCCCACAACTGTTCAGTGTTTCTATACCTGAGAATAAGTGTCAGAAATATGTAACAAAACTGTTTATTATAAAGTGGTGTCAGTCCACTGCTGGATGAAGGCCTCCCTGTGCCATGTCGGTCACAGGATATTTTTTACCGTACTTCACCACGCTGGTCAGTGTGAGTTGGTGAAGGCAGGGGAGGGGGGGGTTAACTTGGTTCACCGCCGGGTTCACAGCACTGCTCCAGCCCCTTCGTAGCACGTCCAACGAGCACAAGAGCACACGGATGTGCAAGAGATTATTAATCTCTTTGATCCCACAAACCCCGCCAGGCTCCTATGCGGGCACCGCAACAGAACCAAACGTTTGATTGCGCTCAATGTTTCACCGGCAGCCCAAGCCGCGATCGTGGTGCATTGTGGCGCGACGCAAGGTGAGACGTGGGTGCCCCGAACGACTTACGCCGCTGCCCGGGTGTAATTTCGCTTGCGTGCCCCTCATCATTTCGTAATCGTTCCGCGTTCTGAGAGGGAAAGTCGGAGCGACGTCAGGACGCGTAGAGCGATGTTCATGTAATGATGATGCTTTACACGTTTAACAGGAATGTCGAACAAAAATAAAAATCCATTTGCAACACAGCATTTTCTGTGATAAGTCTGTGCACTGTAAACATTGCCCCACAGATTATAAGGGACAATACGCTCACTATCCCAATGCTTTTTTTATTAATCCTCCATCATCGCCATCGTTGCCAAATTGTAACAATGAAGTTGGGAACTCACTTGTCTTGAAGTCGCGTGGACAGCTTCCCCAGAAAGTCGGTCACATTTTCTGAAGGACACAAGGAAATGGCTATTTGTAAGAGAGATACCCTGAGGCAATTCATGTCTGACAACACCGAGCGATGCAAATACAGCAACCAAAACAAGCTGGAGGAAAATTAAAACATGGCCACTCATTTGTAATTGCTCAGAAGTAAAACTGCAATGTTTTCAGTGGAAAAGGGGTGGATTTTCAATGTGATTTGATGTTCAGTTTTGCCGAGAGTAAACGAGTGGCATTAGTTTAATGGATAACAACATAAAGATACAGGGCATGTATTAGAAGTGTTACAATTGACGAGTGTAGCTGTTATTAGGTTTTTATTTTCCTCTCGGTGAGAATAGACAAAGTGTTATTGTCATATCCGCTCATCTCGTGCGCACAATACAAAAGCGAGAAACCGAGGTTCTTATCAGGTACTCAGCATTTTCTCTGGATGGGCTCGATCGGTGACGAAGCGGCCAAAATGGCCGTATGAACATGTGCAGCGGAGATACGGCTCACCGGGAACGTCACCATTAATGAGCTTAGTGCTATTTTTGTCTTGACAACACTTAAGGGATTTGTAAACTTAGTGCAGACACTAGGATTTATTTTGTGCTTATGTATAGCACCATACGTAGTGAACCGTGCTAATCAGAGATGATTATATTAGATGGACAACTGCCCAAAGTTGTGATACATTTGGATCATTGCAAATAAAATTGGGGAAACTTTCATCCAGAAGTGAATAGATCATACCTGATGATGATGAATTGGGACTTGCTATTTGATGTGGTGATCATGCTTATTTTTTATATATTTGATTCGTCTTTCATTAACATTGCATCTCAGTATCGCTGAGGGACCACAAAGCTGGAAGGTGCCAATAATTTCCCAACCTCTGTGGTCCTCTATATGTTAAGATATTTTCAGCCAATTAATGAGTGTTAATGTATGTGGGAGAAAAATGTAGCACCTGGAAAATAACCCATGCATGTATGGGGCAACACTCTCTCCTATACAGAAGTAATAGATGATATTAGTCCACACTTTGCTGTACCGCATTCTCCTGGCCCTCGCTGCTGCTCCCTCTACGGCGCTGGATTACAGGCAGCCACGTGCAGCAGAGCACGTAGCTGATTTAACACAATCTCTAGTACACCCAAGCGCAATATTTACATTGTGGGTTTTGGCACTGGCTTTGCGGCAGAGACGTAAATCACAAAACGGCAATGTTGCACCCTCACGGCAGTTCAATTACAACCGCTTCTGCCCTGCCCCGCTGCGTATTTACAAAGGGACGAGTCAGCGCTGAGTGGTGGAGAGAGTGGCGGAAGTCACCGGGCGTGCGCGCCATGGTGCCCCGCAGGGCCCGGTGAGCAAAGCTCTCGTATCCCACCAGCCGGGCCATGCGGTGTCGGCATGAGAGCAGCGCGTCCAGCCTCGCCAGCTGCGCCTCGTTTGGATACAAGAAGATCCGGTATGCGGCCTCTCGCACCTGTGGTGGTGGCACACGTCACTCCCTCTGAAGGTCACATTACACTTTACATTTAAAAAGTATTACGAGAAAATTACAATGACCGTTATCACTAAAACACACATTGCTGGGAAAAAAAATCCAAACATCGAGTAAAATGCACTACATTTAGGCTGCAAGGGACCAAAGAAAATGATTTTTCATGGTCCATGAAGCCATGCATAACGGTATTCAGTATTACTTCACCAATGGCAGAAAAACCTTTTCTAATACCAGTTTTCTCTCACGCTTGATCGCCCTGAAAATCTAAATGTTCCCCATGATCTGCGTAAAATTATGATGTACAGAATCAAACAATACCACTGCCACGTATTCTGCTATATGCTTGCAATGTCAAGCGAGTACATTTTTTTACATTTCATTTACATGTGGGTGCATTTTGAAGAGGCTGCTAAATTATTTCAGATTTACTGTGCTGCTAATAATTTAAGATTTACCAAAAAGTTACACATTCGACGAAAGGTCACATTCGACTAAAGGCATACCAGGTGATCTGGAGAGTCGGAGTACAAGCCGTTGATGTAAACGTAGTTCCCCTGAAGCGAGAAGCACCGATGCAGGTGGGGCGGCAGCGCACGCATGTCCACGCGGTTCGGCGTGTGGGTCCCCGTCAGGAATTCGCTGTTTAAATCCAGGAGGTCGACGTGAAGTCCAACCACCTCTTGGCGCTGCAGGAGAGAGGAATGCAAGACAATGCATTTAGATTAGTTTTAAGCAATGTGAGAAAAAAATCCATCCCCTCAAGCCTTTGTGATTAGAATAATATTAAATGCAATCTATAACGTGCACGTATTTTGTGAATTGGATGCAATGTTCGATCAAGAATTGAAAGGCGTGAAGCCAGAGTTCAAAGTCCTTCATATGCCAGCCTGAACAGGTGGGAACCTTGAGCTTCTGCTTGAATTCCGCTGCGTTTTTGCAGTGCGGAAGAGTTGGTGCAGCTACGGGCAAATGCTGCTCATCCAATAATAGCAATCACAGAAACTACTGCATGAAGGTCTCCCCACACCGTGTTGGTTTATGTAGGGGTTGTGTGTGACTATACTTCACCACTCTGGTCAGCGCAGGCTAGCTGTATTGCAGTTAGATCAGTCATTAAAGACTCGCCTCTAGCTACGCTAATCATCGTATGTGAGATGCCGACATTCTCTACCCTTTGGGCTATGCTACTCCATGTATATGTAGTGAGTCCAACTGAGTCGCAGACGTTGTTCTTAGAGGCAACACATTTATACCAACACGTAATACACAAAGGGGTAACTACCCCTTTGCCAGATACAGCTTAGGGTGGTGACCACCCAGATAACTAATCACGTGTCTGTGGGGTCAACTAGAGTGCCATGGCCCGGGGCAACCCTGTCCCTGGGCTGACACTCTCCCGCTCCCTCTTGTGTGAGCCCGCACTACACGCTATACGTGGTGCCCGCGCTATCCCATCGCTCACCAAGCCCCGCTAGGGCTGATACTACACCGATCTATGGGGTGTACACAATGACGGTGCATCGCACGCCGTGCTATAGTAAAGCTGGCATCACACAGCAACCCACCCAGTGCTGTCCGCGACGTAGGGACATCGCACACCACAACCCTCCCGGGCCGGCACCATACAGTGACATCCCCAATGTCACTACATATAAAACCATCCGCCAACACTAAAATACTTGACAAAAGCCACTCACCTTTTCTTTATCGAGGTGGATTCCACTGATTTCAAAGTCAAAAAGGAAGAGCTCTGCCACTCTTCTGTAAAAGGAAGGTAGACAGAAGTTTGATTGCATCTGTAAATGTTACTTAGCCACTCTATGCGAATTACATAAAAGGGGGTAGCTACTTCCTCCACCGTTTAAGGCTCCACCATGAACGTAGGGGGTCCGCGCCCCCCACCCCCGCACCAAAGTGTTGTTTGGACAGAGAGGTTTTCCCTCTCCCAAAATCTCACGGAAATACTCAGCAAACCTGTAGACCTGACCCCGGGGGGTGACCGATTGGACAGACATTCTTCCACTTCAAGATGGTGGTACTAAGTAATACCCCAGTTTGTGTTGTGGATGCATTCCTAAAGGTGCGAAGACGAATATCGAAATGATACAAAACAATTTACAGGGTAGATGGAGGCGAAAGGCTGAGGCCGCAGATACGAGAAAGGACGAATGCTATCAGCGACATAAGTGTGGATTAAGGCCACACAAATCAGCTAGTGGTATTAATAAAATAATGACGCATTTGGGAAATGGGAGATGTAAATCAGAGCATTACTGTAATAGGAAAGCGTTTCAGTTGAGATAGTCCTGAAACTCAAAAATAATCTTAGTTTACAATCATACAAACGCATTGCTGCTGGCCAAACATCCCAATCCAGGACCCTGTCTTTGGACTCTGTGCGGCTACCCTGGGTAAATAAGTCACGTGTTAATTCAGCATTATATTCAACATATTTCTTGTGATATGTTTTTTACTATTTCATATGGAACTTTAACGAAAGAGGAATGACGAGTGTATGACAAGGAATTGAATTAGACAAGGTAAAGGAGATGGGAAAGTCATTAAAATCACACCGGTAATGCTGGGAGAGGCGAGAGCTAAGACATGGGGAGACAAAGATGCCATAGAGATTGAGGTAGAGGTACAGAGGGAAGAGGAAAGCAGAGATGTGAAAACAGGAGCACCGATGTGTGCATTGCAACAAAGAAAGCTTTATGTATCACTACAAAAGTGAAGGATGACCATTTATGTGTAAACCCCGATGACAAGCTTAATTTTAACCTTGCCTTGTTTCATGATCCAAGGAATTTGCAATATTCCTATCATCCAGAACATTTCGGAGAGACTTGTAAAGATCCACATTCGTGTTCAGCCTACAAATATCGTGTTAAACAACCGTGAAAAGCAACAGAGTGTTAATATTAATGATACTTTACAATATTCATATACGAGTGACCGTAAGTCAGTTTATATTAACCTTGTTATATTTTAGGTTTACATACTAAATAAATGTTTACAAGTGTAACTATCAATGACAACATATTGAGTGGAGCCTCATACACAATGCTCTCACCAATATAAGAATAGGTTTTCCCCTTTCTGGCAATAAAACAGGTCTTAAGATGTTAAAACACCAAACTGAAACCTTCGCAAGGAATCATGTCTGCATTAACCACATATACTTGTGGTGAAAATACAATAAAAACATACTCTTGCATTGTCTTTGAAACTGATTGGTCCACACCAGAAACAGCTTTCTTTAGAGCCTAATCTCAAACAGTTTTAGACCAGCGGACGCCAAAAGACGAACAGCACAAAGACAATGCACTATCAGGACATTGAGAGCTCGGGGTGAGCAGCTACATCATGTGACCTTCATGGGACCTCCTTTGACAGTATCAACATATAATATTCTTCATGACACCTCCTTTGCCAGTATCAACATATCAGAATTTTCTTAAATTTCAAAAGAATATTCTTATATTTCGATATTGGCAAAGGAGGTCCCATGATGCTCTCAACAATGTTTGACACTCGGCGTGTATGTTTATGCCAGGCAAGCATGGAAATGGCTGCATTATGCACAAATGTTAAGGGAGCATTAACACTCTACGGAGCCACATGGCTCAGCGCTAGAGTGAACGGCTCGCAATCAGACGGTTGCTAGTTCAAATCCTAGCTGAGACTTGACTCGCCCCATCAACCCTTTGGGGTCGATAAAATGACTACTACTTTGTGGGGAAGTCCACAGTAGTTTTCCTATACCATAAGTAGAATTTCCACCACTGGCATAGGGCTGTAAACGGAAGATGAAAGCACCAATGCCTCAATGCTGATTTGAGGACATTGCATTGGCTTGACTTTTAAGTGAAGCAACACATGTCGTGTCTTAATCCCAAGCATCGTAACGTTGAGAGAACATCGCTCACTTCTCCACCACAGTGCCTATGGTCATGCAGGCCTCGTCTGCCGCATCTCGGTACTCAGCGCTGGGATGAGCGACACGAACAAAATCGGCCTGAAAAAGGATCACACAAGGTGAATGTTTAGTCAATGTTTGCATGGACAGAGGTGGATGCTTGTCTCTTCACCTGAGTCTCCAAGGCTTTACTTGGCCCATCGCAACTTTGAGGATGATAAAGTGGAAAGTAACAGTGCTTGTCCGATGGAAAGACTTAAGAAACAAAATGCATTGTGTTGGGTAATTAAGGCAGTCACGTGAAAACCAGCCAGGTGGCTCAGCGGCAGAGCGAGCAACTTGCAACAGGAATGTTGCAAGTTAAAATCCTGGTTAGGTGTTGATTCGGCCCATCATCCTCTCCGGGTCAATAAATTAGGTAACCACTTTGTGGGGATTGACTCACACCTACATGTCCAACACTGACTCAGGGCTGTAAAACAGATGAGCGCCGCCTCAATGCTCATTTGAGCGCACATCGACTTGTGAATTCCTCTCACCAGATCAGCGACTTGGCAGAGGCTGTCGGAGAGCTTGTCAAAGATTTGCACAACGCGAGGACCTGGCGGGGCACGGCATGCATCCTCCACCAGCCGCTCGGTGGCCGCCAGTGCTTCCCGCTGGGCAATGCGGAACCCGGAAGGAGAGCTCAGCTCGGGAACCCCAAAGAGACCCTGAAACATAGGAACACGCCACACAACGTATCACATATTCTTAGCTCTTTCGGTAAAGTCACGTTGAAGGGAAACAATAAAATAATACAATATATATAAAACAATAAAAATTCTCACGACGTTTCGACCATAACACAAACGGTCGTCATCAGGTGTGTCGGTTTGCATAAATTTATTTATTTTTAAACGGTGCATTTATTTATTTATAAAAAACGTCAGCGCCACGCGCAGCGATTTGGCAGTTTATTTAGAAGGACTAGTCCATCTATGTTCTGAAAAGAGGAGGGGGGAGACGAAAAATTAATGTATGCTGTCTGAAAGCCACTGTAAGCGTGAACAATCAATTAAGACCTGAAATGGTTTATCAAATCTTTCCAATGATTGCTAAGCCAGAATCCATCTTCTCGGTTGAAATTGTCTCTGTGCTTGTATATGTGGATAGCCTCATGAACGAATCTCTCATGGTAGCCAGATGGCTTACAAAGAACCTCTGTCTTGGAAAAGTCAATGTCATGTGAGCCTACTGAATTATAACAATGATCTGCCACGACCGAGGTGTTGGTCCTACCGTGTTTAAGGTCTGCTTTGTGTTCACAAATGCGGTCCGATAATTTTTATTGTTTTATATATATTTTATTATTTTATTGTTTCCCTTCAACGTGACTTTACCGAAAGAGCTAAGAATATGAATTACTGCAGTCACGAAAGCTTTAAATCAAAATTTACAACGTATCACGTTATGCTTCATCACTAAAATTTTACAAATTTTATTTTACCAGGTAAGGCCCACTGAGCTATACAGCTCTTTTTCCAGAAGTGACCCGGCCACAAATGATAGCTTAACGAAGTGGCTTATGTTGAAATGTATTGCAGCCAAATACGAGACACATTTATAACATAACTGGTGAGAGCTGGGTTAGTTTTAACAGCACACAGACACAGAGCTTTAGCAATTAACCTCCTCAACTTTGATCACTTAGACTAATAACGTGGCTAAACATTCCAATACAGTACAGTATAGGACGACAGAGCTCAGCAAAGTTTTGGTGCCATTTCTGTGGTTTCCTATGCCTGTGTGTGAAAACCGTGTGTCTTATAAACGATGCAGTGTTTTAAGATGCAATTTTCACGATGCAATATGAAATTAAAACTGGTAATATTCGTGCGCCTTCTCAACTCCGATGCCAGTCTTTAAGGAGACGTTAAAACGTATGTGTCAATGTTATAATACAGAGCACAACATTCCAGCATACATACACAGTGGGGAGTTGAGTATGGGGTACCAAAATGTTGTGACAAGATCACGTTATGTCAAAATCAATATAGACTCTGGACAATCACTATGTACCTCTGGGTGAAGCCACACATACCCGGCACGTATGAACCCTGCCATGGCTAGCACATGTGCGCACCCATAGGCTCGGGGTTCACAATTTGCACCTTCACGTGATAACTGCACTTTGATGAAAAGGATGAGCATGTTTGTTTACCACGTAGGCTTTCGCGACCAATATCATCCATAATTTAGGTTTTGTTGGGTTAGATCGCGTAAATATATAAATGTGTCGTTAAACCCGCCTCCACCCGATACAGCCAATTAGTAAGGTTTGTCACGTAAACAGAACATGCCAATTCGTTACTAGTACATTACACCGGTGTGTTGGATAGCAAATCTGGCTGTCGCCTGTAATTACTGGCGAAACGTCGTACTCAGATTGTAAATTTTGTGGCTTTGCTTTCCAACACACTGGTGTGCTGCACTAGTAACAAATTGGCATGTTATGTTTACGTGACAAACCATACTAATTGGCTGTGTCGGGTTGTGGCGGGTTTAATGACACATTTACACGATGTAACCTAAAAAACCTAGATTATGGAAGAGCATGTTTGCATGTTTTGCCACAAGTATGTGTAGTTAATGCAACTTCATGCCTTGCAAAATATACTATTTGGTGTTTAAACATCTTAACATTTGTTTATTGCCATCAAGGGTAAAACCTTTAATTATTTATCATATTTTTTTATCCAGTACTGGCAAAAAGGTCCCATAGATATAACTGCATTTTCCCTCCGAGAATGCGTTGAGAATTCTTCCGACACGGATAACTCACGACGCTCCTCCATCTCCATATTCCATCTGTCGAGGATGTCCGAGCCATCCTCACACACTCGCACCACAGACACTTAAATCTCCGCACTCAACATCGCACACACCAATCACACGCACGGGAATACACGAGACGGGGGTCAAGGGTTAAAGGGCATTGACGTCACACGCACGCGGCGCGCTCGACAGAGATGTGGATTCGGAAGGGTTTAAAGGGCGCGGTGAATCGCGCGTTCGGGGTTGGTTTGAGGAACGAGTTTGGCTGTGCTTGGAAGAATAAATCAGTCTTCGACTCCTCTTCACATCTGATGTCACCCAATCACACAGCCACGCTCCCCAGTCAGTATGATTCTCACTCCAAACATCAGTATTTATTGCAAATCTGTCGACTGAAACGTCAAGGTCTTTACCCTTTGTAAGAAGATACCTATGTTTAACGCATTATTTTTGGAACGCGTTCGCCGCAGATGCGAGACTGCACCTTAAATACCCAGAGTTTGTGAAGTCATCGCTAGAGGTCGTAAGGTCACCGCCAAAGGCCGTCATGAAGTGGGTTCACCGCAGGGGGGAGGGGGATCAACGTTAGTGGGGTTGGTCACCACCAACACCACGGGATCACGGGGTGAGGGCTTTGGGTACCTGGGTCCCCGCTCCCGGCCTCTCCGCGGTCCGCTGCTGCCGCGCGTTGAACGCGGCGCCCACTGGCGACCACGTGGAGACGGCGCGGGCCGCACGCGGGCCCAGCGCGGCCCTGGGCAGTAGCAACAGCAGCAACATCACAGCTCCCCGCCCGCCTCTCCCTTTCTACGCGCCCATGCCCTCTCCACCTGCCGAGACTCTTAAGGCTCTCCCCGCTTCCTCGCGTCGCTGTCCCTTCGTCTCCCTTGGCTAACACAGTGGCACCATCGCAGCTCCCTCTTCGCGTCTCTCAACAGATTCTCGACCGCAGCAGCGTCTTCCCTCGCGAGTCCCAACTATCTTACACGACACAGCCCAAGCTACGCTGACAAAGAGCCCACTGTGAGCGGCACGTGCTGTTAGCGGGCACCTATTAGAGCCGTGCCGGCAACGCACTCCGCCTCAAAACCACGACTCCCTTCCCCTCCGTCTCTAGCAGCTCGCACTGTACTCAGGGCGAGTGAGATTATTCATGGTTCAGGGCAAGTGGGGTAATTCAGAGTTCAGGGCGAGTGGGGTAATTGATACAAGCGGAGTAATTCAGAGTTCAGGGCGAGTGGGGTTATTCATGGTTGAGGGAATGTTGGGTTTATTCATTTATGCATGGTTCAGGGCGAGTGGGGGGGGGGTATTCAGCGTTCAGGGTGCGTAGTGGCTGTTCAGATAGTTCATGGCGAGTGTTGCTCTCATAATACCACGTACTCTAGTAACTTCCGAGATAACTATGCATGCGCACATCTAAAAACTGGTCACTAGAAAGCATCTACTGGACATGTGAAAAAGAGCTTCATTGCTCATCAGATTCCTCCAGTAGAAATATTCTGATTTTTTAAATGTAATTCTCATCAAGCCCTATGGTGGTAAGTTCAGTCTCCAACCCTTAACTCTCACTCCAGCCTATTTCTGCGATGGAGGGCTATTGCCCAAAACTTCGCCGATATTTTTAATCACAGCCGCAGTGCGATCAACACGGAACGCATTGCGTTTTCCACGAACCCAAGCACTCGCTCCGATGTGAGAATACTGCCCCAACTCAATGTGCTCACTCGCTCCAACGCTGAAACGACGTAACAAGCGCTGCAGGCTGCCCCTTCTGGGCCAGGCGTATTGCCATTGTGCTGTACTGTACTCTATGGTCCCCGCATTCAAGCCACACTGACCAGCTGAAAGTATGGTTAAATAATACCCACGTGCAAGTCTCAGCACCAGGGTGACATCTACGATCACGTCAGCAAAGTCCATCTGAACCATTTCGTGCGAGTTTATAGGAGGCACGTCAAATATTTAGTGGGCAAGTGTTCAAACAGGTGACCTTGAAAAAGACTCGTCACGAGTACATAAAAAAAATACTTGATTACAAAGTGCTAGCGGAATTGAGGTTTTGGCCGGAGAACTCTCGCATGTGAACATTACCACTTTGAACGGTTGCCAAAAAGGAAAATGTTTAAAACTTTAAATGTGTTCCAAGACCCAACCAAAGGGCGCCAGAGAACGTACCTGCAGGCAGGCAGCGAGCCCAGCCGCATCACCGGAACTAGCCCACGGCCTGACGTGTGGCTCCAACGCAGCACGCGTCATAGACAACGTACGGAGTAATATTTGGAATAAGTGAAAATCCTACACAGGTTTATTCGCTTCATGTGAATTTAATGAGTAAAGAATAATACAAATATGTTCAAATATTTTAAGAGTCCCAAGACAACATGCGATTTGCTCAGAATATTTGATGGCGGCAAATGTGTAGTGATGCTTCACACAGCAGGTGACGGCTCCAGCTTCTGGCTTTTCCCAAAGAGAGAACGGAACAATTCCGTCCTACACACGCAGCACACATAGCACACGGTACATACAGAAGACGCACAAATTGTAAACACCACGTTTTTTTCCGTGTTATGCACAATGAAAACGCGACGGTTGTGTGCGATGCACAATGGAAACGCCACGGATGTACTGTACCTGGCCTCATCGCTTATGCAGCTGTTGTCGACAGGAGCCATGAAGCTCAGCAGCTTGCTGTGCACGTTGTACCTGCATGAGGGCAGATGCCGCACAAACGTGAAAATTAGCTCAAGGTACGCTACCCATAGTGTTCGATTGCTGGGTTCTAATGCAAAGATTCGGCAAGTTCTGCAGCAGTAGCAACAGCACAAACACCAAGGCAAAGAGCCCATATAGCCTAAACAGACTGTTGCGGCAAGTGCTGTTAGCGAGCGCCTATGAAGGCCGACATGGCACCCGAGGGAGTGGGTGGCCAGTATCACGCCCGGGACGCCTTATCTCCCGTGCCGATGATCACCATAAACAACTTTACGATGATGACTAGGGGGTAAAGAATCCCAAAGGCACAGAGTACAGCCAGAGACCGTCTTTGCTTGAGCTCTTGCCGAGGCATCACGATCCTCAATGTGCCTACCTTTGTAATGCTGCATGAAACGTCACCACACGAAACGTTACCACACGAGCATTCGAAGAAACATTTCTCTCAACCTGATTTTGCGTCCTTTGCTGGCTTTCGTGTCAACCTTCTTCTTAACTTTACTTCTTAATTTTTGTATCTCCAGCCACTGCCTGCAATGAAAACCACCAAAAACTGTTGAAAACTGAAGTGAGCGAGCGCGTGTAGAGAGGCAACGCAATTGCTCTTTTAGATTTGAAGCTTTCGTGACTGCAAGGATTCATACTCTTTGGTTTTTCCGTAAAGTCAGGTAGGTAAAATAAAATAAAACTAAATGAAATCACGACGTTTCGGAGGCAACACAAGTTCTGTCTTCAGGTGGAAGTCACAGCAGAATATCTGTGTCAAGTGGACAGCTCTGAGACAGCCGGGATTATATACAGGTTAAGGGGGGGGGAGGAGCCAGAAGGGAGGTGGGTGGGGGGCAGGGCTGAGTTAAGCCACCTTTTGTTAAACTGCAGGGGGTTCGGGGGGAGGGGTGGTGCACTGCGCGAAAAGCGGGTAAAACCTCCTTTTGTTATGCTGCAGGGGGTTTGGGGGGAGCGATGGTGTGCTGCACGAAAGCAAGTGCAGCACAATTTTTTGTTAGAAAGCAATGGAAATGGCTGTACAATTATAAGGCAGCTAAAGTTTGGCATACAACCCACTGAGAGATGGAAATGGTTGTACAATTATAAGGCAGCTAACGTTTGACTTGATTTATAACATCTTTACAATGGTTGCTCAATTTGAAACCATCCTCTCGGTTGAAGTTGTGTCTATGTTTGTATATCTGGATGGCTTCATGGACAAATCTTTGGTAATAACCGGGAGGTTTGCAGAGAACTTTGGTATCAGAGAAATCAATGTCATGAGAACCCGCTGTATTGAAACAATGATCAGCCACGGCCGAAGAATTCAAAATCATCACGTTACCATACATAGCAGGCGTTACTAAAAAGATTTCCAAAATTCTAAACAAACACAAGATCCAGGTCCGTTTCAATACAGTACACAAAATCCGTGATCTGATCCCATCCGTAAAGGATGTCATTCCTGACTTACAGTACCCCGGTGTTTACAAATTGAGTTGTACCTGCGGTGACTGCTATAATCGGGGAGACAAAACGACATATTTCTGACCGAATCCGCGAGCACAAATCAGATTTGAAACACGGCAGAACGAATTCTTCAGCCGTGGCTGATCATTGTTTCAACACAGCGGGTTCTCATGACATTGTTTTCTCTGATACCAAAGTTCTCTGAAAACCTCCCGGTTATTACCAAAGATTTGTCCATGAAGCCATCCAGATATACAAACAGACAACTTCAACCGAGAGGATGGTTTCAAATTCAGCAACCATTGGAAAGATGTCAAACGTTAGCTGCCTTATAATTGTACAGCCATTTCCATCTCTCAGTGGGTTGTATGCCAAACTTTAGCTGCCTTATAATTGTACAGCCATTTCCATTGCTTTCTAACAAAAATTGGGCTGTACTTGCTTTCGTGCAGCACACCATCGCTCCCCCCGAACCCCCTGCAGCATAACAAAAGGTTTTACCAGCTTTTCGTGCAGTGCACCACCCCTCCTCCCGAACCCCCTGCAGCTTAACAAAAGGCGGCTTAGCTCAGCCCCCCCCCACCCACGTCCCTTTCTGGCTCCCCCCCCCCTTAACCTGTATATAATCCCGGCTGTCTCAGAGCTGTCCACTTGACACAGATATTCTGCTGTGACTATTCCACCTGAAGACGGAAGCTTGTGTTGTCTCCGAAACGTCGCGATTTAATTTAGTTGTTTTCTTTTATTTTACCTACGTGACTTTACCGAAAAACCAGAGTATAATTGCTCTTTTATTCAGCATTGCACCTCCGATTAGCACGGTTGGCTACATACGGTGTGAAAGAAGTTCAACATACATACAGGGTCAACTCATAGTGAGGATGTGCGTACATTCACGTCCCCTGCACTTACGCCTCAACTTATGCGTGCGAGTGGGGGGTTCCAATGGGCATTACCTGCCCCAAGCGAGCTGATCGTTAGAGTCCGTGGCAGCCGTCTTGCACTCGATCAGCTCACGCAGCAGCTGTAAGCGGAAAACGGCACAAGTGTGTGTGTATGCATACGGGGAGCAGTAGTGTAGCGGTTAGCGCGCTGTGCTATGAACCGGCAAAACCGGGTTCAATTCCTGCTCACGGCCAACACCGGTGACGATTATCTGAACCGGTCCTGGGCCTCCCCTAGGTCGGTTCAGCCTAAAATGAGTACCTGGTGTTGTGTTAACATCGCCACTCGGAGAAACAAAGGTGGTCGGGCATTGTGCTTTCCACCCACCCCCTCATGTGCAGTGCCAGCCTTTATAAGTGCTTGCTAACAGCACTTACCCCAACAGTCTGTTAAAGCTATACGGGGGATTTTCATCTATGAGTGTATGATATGAGCATATTTGGTTAATCCATGCGCAGTGTATTCACATGCACGCAGTGTATTCACATGCACGCAGTGTATTCACATGCACGCAGTGTATTCACATGCACGCAGTGTATTCACATGCACGCAGTGTATTCACATGCACGCAGTGTATTCACATGCACGCAGTGTATTCACATGCACGCAGTGTATTCACATGCACGCAGTGTATTCACATGCACGCAGTGTATTCACATGCACGCAGTGTATTCACATGCACCCAGTGTATTCACATGCACCCAGTGTATTCACATGCACGCAGTGTATGCACGCGCACGTGCAGCGTATTCTTGCACAGCGTAATCGGGCGCAGCGTATTCTCACACGCACGGCGTGTATTCACACACTCATTGTACCTGGTGGTAGAAATCCCCATCGTCAAACACCTCCGGGTCAATGTCCTTGAGCTGTGACACAGCCCGTGGTGTGACCTGCAGGTCACAGCAGCTCGTCAGCCAAAAATAACAAGGCTTCTATGAGAGCCGCACTAACATTCACTGAGTCTACACGGGGCGACAGAGTGAGGGTTTCATGCGAGTACATCACAGAGTGTGCATCACACTCAGCGAGTGCATCACAGAGTACACATCACACCTAGACTATGTTTGTACCGCGGGATGTGACTCGTCGGTCCCCATGCTGCTGGTCTCCTCGTTTGGGGTCTTCCCCAGGATGGTGAAGGCAGAGCGCTTGGTTTGCGTGCGCAGGAGCAGGCGCTCGCGCTCCTGCAACACGTGCTCAATTTGCAGCAGCACGGAGCGATCAAACGAGGCGAAGCCCTGCCACCAGATCACACACACAGAAAAACATTACACACACAATAACAGCCGTCATTTTTCACTGAGTGTCGGTGACATCACCACAGCACTTATGCCAAGTTAAGTTCACCTAACCTGGTTATAGCAAGCCATCCACACTTGACGTGACCTTGAGGTCATGTCTATTCCGGAAGGCTTGAGGTCACGTCAAGTGTGGAAAGCTTGCTGGCAGGAGGTTACGAAACAGACCCATGTGCCATTGTTTGACTGAGAGGACTGGGAGATGCACTATCTATGGTTCCCACTGTGCCAACTTGCTGCTTTTTAGCCGCCCAGAGCTCCGTTCATTGTTGTGAACGTTGCTCCTCTGCTCTCTGTTGTTGCTGGAGGGCAACTGCCTTTAACTTGCCAGTAGCATCCTTCGCTGGTACCAGCCATCAACAAGTCCAATTGGCTCCACATCCACCTGTTCCACATCAGTCCATCTCTTCTCTAGCCAATGCCGCAACCGTTTTGCCTCCTTTATCCGGCCAAACAAAAGCTGCTTAGGCATGCAGTGGCTGGGCATGCGGGCTGCATGACCCAGCTAACGCAGCCTCACCTGCCAAAGGAGCTCACCGATGGGACAGTGTCGAAATCTTTCAATAATCTGCGAGCTCCTCACATAAACCAGCCTATAATAATTTACTTGAACCCAGGATGGATCATAGACAGCCCAGCCTGACTTTCTCAAACCGGCATAGATGTTCCTTCGGGGTCCATGTTTCCACATCATCAAAACAGATACACACAAGGATACAAAAATACAAATATCCCCGTATAAGGCTGTTAGGGTAAGTGCTGTTCACGAGCACCTATGAAGGCCGGCACAACACATGAGGAGTTGGGTGGTCAGCATAACACCCGGTAGCCTTTGTTTGCCCAGTGCTAATGTTTACACATTGCACCAGGTGCTCATTTAAGGCCGAGTTGACTTCTGGGAGGCCCACAACCGATTCAAATATTCACAATTCTTATTGGTCGGGAGTCAAACTGGGGCCACCGGGTTTGTAGTGGAGTGCGCTAAACACTGTGCTACTGCTTCCAGACGCAAACGCATCAACAATATGCAATTGTGCGCGCTGCCCTTGCACTCGTTTTAGAAGCGATGCGGTAGGTCTTCACGGAACGGCTGCACAGTAACTGGGGTCAGTGATGGGTTTCATTCAGGTTATGCAATACAGTATTCAGTTTAACACGTAGTCTTTCGCGACCAATATTATTCATAATAAAGGTTTTTGGGTTGGATCGCGTTTATTTATAAATGTGTCGTAACCCTCCACCACCCGACACGGCCAATCAGCAAAAAAAGTGTCACGTTGACAAAAGACAAATAATTCACTACTTTAGCCCACCGGTGTGTTGAAGAGTGAATCCACATTTACAGTTTGAGTACGACGTTTCGCTGGTAAATACATCCAGCATCATCGGGCAATTCGCCAGAATGGTAAAGCCCTCGCTTGCTCCCGGTTTTATATAGAGCAGCAGGGTGACGTCATCACTTAACTCATATCAGGTGTAGTGATTAGAGGCGGAGGGGGGGGGTATTGTAATTATATAATCGATTAGTAATCAGTCATTGGTTATGATTAGTAATGAGTTGTAGATTAGTAATTCTTTAAATCAAAATGTAATGTGTATTATTTAATAATACGCTTCCAGGCCGCACTAAGCCGGTAGCTGTCAGAGCGATTCAAGTTATTCTTGTTCCTCTCAATTTCAATGGATTCTCTAATTAGTCTTTGCCAGTAATAATTAGTTTTACACACCACTGCAACATTGTCAAAATCAATTGAGTGTCCTTGTTGACAAGCATGTTCTGCCACTGCCGACAGTTGTGTTTGAGATAATTTAATATTTCTCTGATGTTCTTTTAGTCTTACGCTGATGTTACGTCCCGTCTGCCCAATGTAGCAGCTGCCACATGAACAATTAATCCGATATACACCATCTGTTGATAGTTTAGGTAATGCGTCTTTAGTGCAAGATACTAGTTTTTGAATTTTGTGTACTGTACCAAATCTTACTGTAATGTTTTGCTTTTGCAAAACACGGGCTAATTTGTCAGTTACTCCTGAGATATATGGAATTTTTATTGTTTTAACAATCTGGTCGCTTTCAGCAGTATTGCTTTGCGATCGTGATTTGGCATTCAGTGCTCTGTTAATTTGAGCATCATTGTAGCCATTCTGTCGTAGTGCGTCTTTAACGTGTTTAATCTCTCTCACTAGACTCTCACCATCTGACACTGTTTAGCCCGATGTACGAGCATCTTGATAAGAGAGGATTTCTGAGCTGGATGATGATGTGATTCTGCATTCAGATAGGCATCAGTGTGCGTTTACTTTCTGTAAACGCTGTGTGTTATTTTACCGTTTAGGCCATGTCCAAGCAAAATATCTAGGAATGGGAGTGTGTTATTCACCTCCATTTCCATGGTGAACTGGATGGCCGGGTTTTGTGCATTGAGATGATTTAGAAAATCATTAAGTGTATCTTTACCATGTGGCCAGACAACCAAAGTGTCATCCACATACCTAAACCAAAAGGATGGTTTTAATGTGCTCGAGGCAAGTGCTCTTATTTCAAAGTTTTCCATGTACAAATTTGCTATAGCAGGGGATAAAGGAGAACCCATTGCTGCTCCTTCCTTTTGTTTAAAGAAATCCCCTCTCCATAATAAGTAAGTGTTATTTAAACAATGGCCAGCAAGTTTCGGAATATCTTTTGGTAAACCGGTATTCTTTACTAGTGTATCAAGTAATTTAAGCGATTCGTCCACTGGAACCTTAGTGAATAGAGAAATCACATCAAAACTTACCAGAATATCATCAGGAGTAAGTTTAATATCTTTAATCACATTCACAAGATGTTCTGAATTTTTTTATGAATGAAGATGTCTTTCCGATGTAGGGCTGTATTTGTTTGGTTATATATTTTGCTAATTGATGTGGCAGAGCCAATTGTACTGACTATGGGTCATAATGGGATGCCGATTTTATGAATCTTTGGTAGCCCATAGAGTCTAGGTGGTTTTGAGGCCCTTGGCTTAATTAGGTATTGCTCATTTTTAGGGATTAATGAATTTGCAATTATTGCAGTGGTCTTACGTTCTAAAGTATTAGTTGGATCTCGTTTAATTTTAATGTAGGTACTTTCCTCTAGTAAATTTCTAATTTTATTATCATAATCGGCTCGTGACATCACTACAGTAGTGCGGCCTTTATCAGCTGCTAGGATTTGGATATCCTTATTTACACGCAGCTCTCTTAAGGCTTTTGCCTCGTTACAGCTAATATTTACTTTTGGAACTTTGCTATTCTCAATTATTTTAGCAACCTCATGTCTAGTCATCTCTGCCTCATTATGTGGAAGGAGTCTAACTGCTGATTCTACCTCAGCAATTATCTCATCCACTGGAATTGTGCGTGGGGTAACGGCAAAGTTAAGGCCTTTAGAAAGGATAGAGACCATGTCACCGGTTAATACAGTGTTAGTCAAGTTCAGTACAGTTTTGTTTTTAAATTTTTGGTTTTCAGTAGGGATTTGTTTATTATGTAGTCTAGAAAATTTATTAATTTGGTTAGTTTTTGTTAGTTTAAACACATTATCAGCCGATTGTTGTGTTATGTTATCGATTATATTCCAATAATGCATAGATACACTATTGCTTATATCTAAATGTAACTGCTTTAGCGATTCCGAAATGTAAGATAATTCACTTCTATTGTGCTGTATTCTCTCTATTAATAATAATTCGCTAGCTTTGTGTAGTATTTGGTTAGCTTTAGAAGACTTTATGTGATGTGTTATTTTAACTGCATTTGGTATTACCTTTGAATCTCTGCACCTTTTGAGGAACGCCAGTGAAGATATCAATTTCATCCGCTTAATGCGAAGCTTCTCCAATTTTCTGGTTTTAAGAAAAGTATCCTCCCCATAGAGGTTAGTCAGTTTAACACGTAGGCTTTCGCGACCAATATTATTCATAATAAAGGTTTTTGGGTTGGATCGCGTTTATTTATAAATGTGTCGTAACCCTCCACCACCCGACACGGCCAATCAGCAAAAAAAGTGTCACGTTGACAAAAGACAAATAATTCACTACTTTAGCCCACCGGTGTGTTGAAGAGTGAATCCACATTTACAGTTTGAGTACGACGTTTCGCTGGTAAATACATCCAGCATCATCGGGCAATTCGCCAGAATGGTAAAGCCCTCGCTTGCTCCCGGTTTTATATAGAGCAGCAGGGTGACGTCATCACTTAACTCATATCAGGTGCAGTGATTAGAGGCGGAGGGAGGGGGTATTGTAATTATATAATCGATTAGTAATCAGTCATTGGTTATGATTAGTAATGAGTTGTAGATTAGTAATTCTTTAAATCAAAATGTAATGTGTATTATTTAATAATACCAATAATACCATTCTGGACGTAACATCAGCGTAAGACTAAAAGAACATCAGAGAAATATTAAATTATCTCAAACACAACTGTCGGCAGTGGCAGAACATGCTTGTCAACAAGGACACTCAATTGATTTTGACAATGTTGCAGTGGTGTGTAAAACTAATTATTACTGGCAAAGACTAATTAGAGAATCCATTGAAATTGAGAGGAACAAGAATAACTTGAATCGCTCTGACAGCTACCGGCTTAGTGCGGCCTGGAAGCGTATTATTAAATAATACACATTACATTTTGATTTAAAGAATTACTAATCTACAACTCATTACTAATCATAACCAATGACTGATTACTAATCGATTATATAATTACAATACCCCCCCCCCCTCCGCCTCTAATCACTGCACCTGATATGAGTTAAGTGATGACGTCACCCTGCTGCTCTATATAAAACCGGGAGCAAGCGAGGGCTTTACCATTCTGGCGAATTGCCCGATGATGCTGGATGTATTTACCAGCGAAACGTCGTACTCAAACTGTAAATGTGGATTCACTCTTCAACACACCGGTGGGCTAAAGTAGTGAATTATTTGTCTTTTGTCAACGTGACACTTTTTTTGCTGATTGGCCGTGTTGGGTGGTGGAGGGTTACGACACATTTATAAATAAACGCGATCCAACCCAAAAACCTTTATTATGAATACAGTATTCCCTCGTTATTTGCGAGGGGTACGTTCCGGAGGTTTGTGAATAGCTAAGTTCGCGCATATTGCTCTATGAATAATCATACGCACAACGTAGACCGCGGCAAGGTAAGGTAAAAACAACGAGCCTACCTTTACCGTATCTTTTACCTTACCACAATACAATCACTCTACCCTTACCTTTAACCCTTTAGCAAGGTAAGGTAAAAGGTCAAAAGCAACAGAGCCTACCCTTACCCTACCTTTTACCCCTTACCCCATACAAATTACCCAATTACAGGGTAATTACTGGGGTACTACACATGAAAGGTTTATAACAGGTAAATGCTAGGTAGAGCGCTTTACTCATATAGCATACTCTCGAATCAGGCGTTGAGGCTGTCGACGACACCGTCCTCCATAACCTCATCCCAGTTGTCTTGGTCGATGATAACCTGATTAAGTTCGTCATTGCCGTCATCCTCGGACGAACGACAGGCAATAAGATCCTGCGCCGCTCCGGCCCAGTTAGACGGGACATTCAGGCAGCCGGCCGCGATCCCCGAGCGCAAGCACATGGACTGGATGAAGAGCGTCGACGACAGCAACTGGCGAACGCATGTGAACTCCCGCCCAGTTCCGCTATTCACGCTGGCGCTCCAAAGTAGTCGCAGGCCATCTTGTAGTGGGCAGGGAGTAGCTCTTTGAGGAGAGACCACCACTGCATTATGTTAATTAAGTCGCTGGCAGTCGTGACGCCCATGCTCAGAAAACGATCGACTTCATCGCCGTCGTCGATGGAGCTGCCGACATTGCTGAATAGGGTGCTGAACAGTGACCCCTCCTCCATATGGGCAGCGACTGCCGTCGGCGGGATCGTGAGCACGTTCGAGTAGCGATGCTGCAGGACAGAGCGGACCGTGGCCTTCAGTGTAGCCAACTCGTCTTGGTTTGTCGTTTTCGGCAGCTGTGGATTCAAGTAGGATGCCACAATGGCGGGTTCCTGAACCAGGAAGTCGCGGTACCGCACCAGCTCGGCCTTCATCCCCGTCGCGATCAAGGACTCATCGATCGCTCAAAGAGCGGCTTCACCGCGATCGCAATGACGGATCAGGTGCTCCATCGTCACCGGCACGAGATCCAATGTCGACTTGCGGTCCGCCGCCAACGAGGTCATGACCTGGCGCGGCATTCGCAGGAATGCTGTCTCGCCCTCGATGTTTGCCCACTGCAGTTCACATTCTGGAAGCACGCCATGATAATGTCCAATGGGACACGCTTTTTGATGGCGTCGTCGTCCATGTCAAACGTCGAATTCCACCTGGTTGGTGAGTCCTGGTGCGTCGGCTCCTTGCTGGCGAGCTTGGCGATCTCGGCCTCGCGATGGTACGACTGCCGGACGACCTTGGTGCGCCTGATATTGACGAGCGCCTTGCGCAGTTCAGCGTTGGTCGACTTTATCAGTTTGAGAACTTGGACAACGCCGATCTAAACCGAATGATCCGCACAGCGAATATGGTGGCAAACCCGTAACTTCTCATATCCGGCGTCCCTGTTGACCAGGGCGAACAACGTTTTGACAGCACTAATCGCATCGGAGCCATTGTCGCTGGTGACAGCGAGCAGCTTAGTCGAGACATTGTGCCTGAGACTTTAGAGGTGCTCAAACAGAGTGGTGCCAAAGCGCTTGCCGACACCCCTTCTGGACTGCACATCAAGGATTGTCAGCAGCATGGATTTCAACGCACCAGATTTGGTGTTGATCCAGTGCACCGTGACCATCCAAAATTCCTTCAGGTTGCAGTTCGACCACCCGTCTATGGTGAGCGAGATGGCGACGTCCAGATTGGAGAAGAACTCCCCGACGTTGGGCAGTATGATGGCGTGATGCTCGACAATCCTGCGAATGATGGTGTGGGTCGATGGGCCCTTGTATCCCTGCATCAACGTGTGAACCAAGGTCTTGAACTTGTCGCTGCCGGCGGCTCGCAAAGAGATTGCACCTTGGATAACAAAATCAACCACCGCGTTTTCAAACTTTACCAGGAGGCGATCTGGGATTGCTGGTCGCCTCAGTGTATGCTGCATTAGACGGCTCGCCGACGTCGATGTCCCGACCTCGCTGCCTGGGGCGAGCACGTTGTGCTTCTTGAGGTGGGCTTTCCACTCCGACGTGTTCGTGTGGGAGGAAAACCACTTGCAGCACGCACTGCCGCATTCCTTGCTGCACATGGGGATCACCATCCATCCAATCGTGCGTGTCCTCCCACGGGAACGCATGCCGCTGCCTCGTTCGATTGCTGCTCGCAGCGATCCCGAAAATGCCGTTATTGGCATCCTCGACCTCATCCTCTACCTCAAGAACGTGGTCCGTCTCCATCTGGTCCGACATCAATGATTCCAATTTAAAATGGAGGCCACGGACTGCGCCACAGAGCTTTTAGCGAGCGGTAAACAGGGTATTTACCGGCTAATACTTCACACTACCTTTACCTTACCAGGTAATTCTTCCGCGCTACCTTTACCCTACCCTTTACCTCACCCCTTGGCATGGCCGACACCTTCACCCGGTAAAAAGGGTAAATAACTTTACCTTGCCGAGGCCTAGTGCAATGTCTGCAAATGCTTCAAAAATTAACGTAGGTACAAAATAAAATAAATCACGACGTTTCGACTACCTCAGCAGTACATAACTCAGCTCACTTGGTCTCTCTAATCAAGGGCATTTCACTGTCCCCAGAAGATTTTCTCGTCAGCTTCGATGTAGTTTCTCTGTTCACCAAGGTTCCTGTGCCTGACACCTTAGCAAAAATTGAAGATTTAGTCCAACATGGACTGAATCCTGATGTTCCTACTCTGGTTAGGCACTGCCTTACCAACACTTACTTCACCTGGAATGGTACTTTCTACAAACAAAATGAAGGTACCCCCATGGGTGAATGTTTTCATGGAGAAATTTGAAACAGATGCCATCCAGACATCCACCCCCTACGTCCTTCCTTGTGGAAGAGATATGTAGATGACACTTTCGTCATTTGGCCACATGGCCTGCCAGCATTGAACCAATTTCTCAACCATATTATTTCCATATACCCATCCATCAAATTCACCATGGAAGTAGAGAAGGATGGTAAGCTACCGTTCCTGGATGTTTTCAGAAGAGACCTGACGGCTCGTTGGGACTGTCTACAGGAAATCCACCCACACAGATTCATATCCGAAACTTGATTCCCACCACCACCCAGTACAGAAGAATTTCCTCATCAAAACACTACACCATAGGGCCCACTGCATTTCTGACCACCATCTAGCCAGTGAACTGGAATATGAACACCAGGCCCTCAAGATGAATGGGTACTCTGACCGCATTATTCGCAAAGCTGTTTCACCAACTATGGAGAAAACCCCCTGAGATGCCACTCAAAACCATCATGTTACCATATATAGCAGGTGTTACCAAACTGTTTTCAAAAATCTTAAACAAACACAAGATCCAGGTCCGATTCAATACAGTACACAAAATCCGTGATCTAATCCCATCTGTGAAGGATGTCATTCTTGACATGCAATATCCTGGAGTACACAAACTAAGTTGCACCTGTGGTGGCTGTTACATTGGGGAAACCAAACGACATATCTCTGACCGTGTTCGTGAACACAAGGCAGATCTGAAACACGGCAGAACCAATTCCTCTGCCGTGGTTGACCATTGTTATAACGCTGCGGGCTCGCATGATATTGTATTTTCTGAGACCAAGGTACTCTGCAAACCTTCGGGCTACTATCAAAGATTTGTTCATGAAGCCATCCAGATATATAAACAGACATAACTTCAACCAAGAAGATGGATACAAATTGAGCAATCATTGGAAGGATGTTATAAACCAGGTAAAACCCTAACTGCTTTGTATTGGTTGTTGTCTATCATATCTGACGGATACTACTACACCACGCAGAGCTCGCCCTCCCCCTACCCCACACCCCCACCCTTCCCTCTCCCCCCTTTCTTGCCTGTATAACCTCTTACCACAGCAACTCTCTCCCACTTCATCAAAAAATTTTCTTGCTGTGGTTTTCCCACCTGATGATGATTGCTTGTGTTGCAATCGAAACGTCATGATTTAATTTATTTTATACCTACGTGACTTTACCGAACCAAAGAGTAAGCATCCCTGCAGTCACGAAAACTTCAAATCTAGATCTTCAAAAAGTTATCTTTTTCATCACTTTATCTCATCGTTTTCTCTCATTCCATTCTCTCATCACTTTATGTATCTCTCAATACAGTCATGTAGAGTTCCAGATGCAATTAATGGCTTGCCAAAATCGCAGATAGCAAGTTCATGAATACCACGGGAATGCTGTACACACAGCTGTAATTTCTGTAACACGTAGCCCTGCTAGGTGGCGAGGCCGCAATACACGTAGCACGGGGCTGCCGCAAGGTGGCATCAACGAACGCTCCACCATCAATCTCTATTCACGTTTGGCCTCGCATCTCCCCGGGGAGCATTCCCCACTCATTCTACAATTACCTTCATCTTGCCTCCGCCGAGTTTAGTTTTGTCGTGCCACTTTTGGATGACGGCATTGCGATGATGCTTGTAGGCAGTGAATCTCTTGGCGGAGAAGTCGGGGTATTCGTCCATGAGCAGCGAGCGCTTGCTGGGCGCCCGGCCCCCCTGAGGGAGAGCAGCGCAGCCTGGCTTCTCCTCCCAACTGCCAAAGCAAGACGGATGGTGGCAGCACTGAGCTCTAGCTGCACTTGCACAACATCCCTGCTGCACCAGAGCCCAACCATTCCAAATCAACAAAATCACCCAATCACACACACATGCTCTCCGACACCACCCAGACACTACCAACACACCGAAGCAGAGACACGGTGCACACACAGACAAAAGATGAAGACAGAAATACCCTTAACAGACTTTTGGGGCAAGTGCTGTTAGCGAGCACCTATTAAGGCACGGCACTTGAGAGGATGGATGCGCAACACCATGCCTGGTCACCTTCATCTCCCTCATGGTGATGTTTACACACCGCATAAGGTACTCATTTGAGGCTGAGTCGATCTCGGGGACACCCAGCACCGGTTCAGATAATCATCACTGGTGTTCGCCATGAGTGTGAAACAAACTCGGGTCACCGAGTTCATAGCGCAGCATGCCAACCACTGTGCCACCGCTCCTCACGGCACATACAAAGAGATTCCTCATATAGCCTTAACAGACTGTTCGGGCAAGTTCTGTTAGAGAGCACCTACGAAGGTCGGAACAGCACACGAGGGGGTGGGTAGCCAACACCACGCCCGGCCGCCTTTGTCTCCCTAGTGGCGATGTTTATACATCGCACAGGTACCCATTTGAGGCTGAGTCGACCTAAGGGAGGCCCAGCACCGTTTCAATAATTGTCACTGGTGTTGGCCGTGAGCGGAAATCGAACATGGGCTGCCAGGTTCGTAGCGCAGCATGCTAACTGCTATACTACCGCTCCCCACGGCACATACACACTCATACACGCACTCAACGGTACCGCCCAGACACCAGCAACACACAGAAGCAGACATCGAGACAAAGACACGCACTTGTGCAGGCTGCTCCTGTCCACCATGTGCTGTGTGTCTGCATTTGAGTGCAGTAGGTGGTTCTGCAAGTCGGTCAGTAGCCTCATTTGCTCCAGGAGCACCGAGCGACCTAAACGGCAGACAAGCACAGTATACATTACATGGATCAGCGATGCCCGTTAGTAATAGTCTGTAATTACAATTTAATTTGAGTTTGCGCAGCATCTCCATGCAACAGCATCTGAAGCAGCTTCACAGCAGAGGACGTGTATGGAAAACAGTCAAGGCCATATCGGAGAATGTCAACTCCAGTCCTGATGACAACCCACGCTCCTTCGCCTTTTTATGATCGCCATTCTCTTGCATTCAGAAGCAAAGCAAGGCACTGCATAAGCCTGAGGTTGGGTAATCATGCCAAGCAAGCTCTTGTATTGTGAACTAGGAGCCATCTCTAACAGAGAGAGTCCTTGCCTATAAACATCAAGTGGTTGACCAGTATTGGCTCAAGCGAAGCACGATTGCTGACGAGACACTGAATGTTGTAACCGACGTCTCGTATGTGCATTTGTTTAGCTGCTCGAGGGCAGCTGACTCACTCTCGCCGAGTGTGCGCGACAGGGCGTCGCCAGCGCGTGCCTTGAAGCCGGGCAGCGTGTCGGGCTGTGGGAGGCGGTTGCAGATCTCCAGTGCCCGCTGCATCTTGATCCGAGCTTCCAGCAGATGATCCCAAAGGCCTGCACATCCAAACACGGGCAGCTGCACTAGCGCCTCCGACAAGCCCACTCTGGGCACAACATATCGATATACCAGGGACGCACAGCCAACACACTGCCACAAGCAGCATAGGATATATTATGCAATGCAGTCCAATGACTAATTTTCATAAACACTCCTTGCACAATTTATTATGGTCATCACCAGCCACTTTACAACAAATATGCCCCTCGCAGCCAAACTTGGAAGTCCTGACCTTTTCCTATTTACCCTTCACATGCGGGCCTTTGAAGTGGCCAAGTCGGAGCACCGGGCCAATGGCAGCATCAGACAAATGCCGACATGGGCTGGCTCCCACAGAGCAATTCAGCACAGGCGGCGGGCCCACAAGGCGGACAGCATCTTCGTTCTATCGTGACGCAGTGGAACCAATACAAGTACTGGCGAGAAGTTACACATGCGTACCAATTTGTCGTTTGATGGCCTGACCCTTGCCCACCTCTTCATCAATCTCTTCTGACTGAAATGTCGCCACTCCTCCATTCTCAGGTTTGTGCAGTCCGCCCTGTAACAGGCCTTCCCTGTGGAACGTCAAGTTAAGAAAAAAAAATACAATGTGACATATCAGGGTCAATGGTGAAATCAGTAATATCTTTACAATGTCGTTCAACACGCATACATACATACATAGACATTAGTTTGGCAAAAAAAATACTGATGCACATGTCACATTTCAGTCATTTTAAATCAAATGCTGAATCAAAGTTTCTAATAACACCAATTAAATTGCTTTCTATAAATAGAGTTCCCTCTAATGCTCCCGTGTGTGAATATCACTGTGTGTACAGGCCCAATCACCAGTGAAGTGGACGTGGCAACAAATTTTATTTTGAAGCAACAGCTTCAAACGTCAGACAGGAATCCCACTCTCCCTGGCTTGGCGAGCTCAAGCTGTCACCAGTCATCCATCACTCTTCTGCTACTGCTGCGAGTCATTAGAGAGTCAAGGCCCCGGTGGCAGGGTGTTTTGGTCTGCAAGAGCGGCACTACTGGCTCAGCTCGCACCAACCCACATGCATCTCACCTTCCTTCTTCGGTTAACAAGTAAACCTCTTAACCAGGTGATACAACACAGGTGTTAAGATATTTAAACACCAAATAGACACCAATTATAAGACATCAAAAGTCTGCATTGACCACACATAATTGTGGTAAAACATGAAAACAAATGTCATGGTAATGTATTTAATTACTGCCTTGAAATAGCTGTATATTTCGTGTTTCAACACCTAACATTTCAAACACATCTTTCGTCACTTTCTTAGAAATGCACTTATATTTCCCCTTATAGAGATGTCTTTAAATTTGTCTCATTTGACACAAACCCAATTAACTGTGACCATGCTAGTGGAAGAAACTCAAGGATTGTGAACTCTAAGATGTGCACCCTTACTCTTCAGAAGTCACCTCCTCCTCTTCATCCATGATGTTTCCATCAGCGTCATCATCATTGTCATCATCATCACCAGGGCTATCATTTTCGTCATCGTCTTCCTGAAGTTGCTGCTCTCCAGGGTGCGTGTGTTCCCACGTCACGCTCGTGATCGCTGCAGCTCCTTCCTCCTGCTCCTCCGCCTCCACTTGCGCTTCGCTCGCAGCTCCTACCGAACTCTCTGCAACGACAGATGGGTCCAAGGTGAACGCGTTTCACGGTCTATCCTCCGCTAGAGTGCGTGCCCTTCTGGAAACACATGGTACGTGTTCTAAATTGAAAACGCATTTCTTTCTAACTGCTTTTTGTGTTTAATTTGTTTTCCTTCCCCCAGCACCTGATTAGCAAGGTTGGCTACATACGGTGCGAAATCGGTTCAACATACATATGTTGCACCATACCAAAGCGCTGTAGGTCGCTTTACCTGCCACCACGCTCACGGCCGACAGGAGGCAGAGAACGAGGTGTGTAGGGGTTGACCAAAGGTGGCCCGTGACTGGAGGTTGACACCCCAGACCCCCAAGGGCTGGGGGGGGATAGGGGCCACAGGCTGATTTTAAGACCCTTTAAGATTGAAGACCCTTTAAGACCTTTCCAGAACCTTCCAGAAATGTCTGGAAGGTTCTGGAGAAGGGGTGATGAGGGGAATGGTAAGCCCGATCTGTGGATAACAGCCGGCCTTCTGAACGGGTCCGGGAGTGTTCGCCAACTCAAGCCTGAAGACGTCCGAAGACCTGAAGACTGGATCAGCACCCTGGGACCCTCAACCGAGGCTCTTGTCAGAGCCTGGTTGTAGCGGACCAGTGGTGGGACCAGCACCCTGGGACCCTCAACCGTGGCTCTTGTCAGAGCCGGATTGTAGTGCACCAGTGGTGGGACCCGTACCCTGGCTGGGTCGGGTCGGTTTCGCCTCCCTTAGCGGCCGTAGCCAGGGAGTGTGTGGAGCGTAGCCGGGGTGTGTAGGACACGCCAGAAGGGAGGCTGTACCTCCCTTAGGCTATCGGGTTGAAGGGGCCGTACCCCTTCGTGTTACAGTCGCTGTCAGTTGAGTCTGTTGCTTAATAAACGCGTTGCCTTCAGAAGCCGTCCCCATGTAGTTAGACACACAACACATACATAAGATCATGACATATTCTGGTTTAAAATTTTGAGCCAAGCAATGCAAGATACTTTCTGAAAGCCCATAGGGGACACAGGAATCATCTTCCCTCCGGTTACGTGCGGTGACCGGTTCACAGATGAACACTTACAAGAGTGCTTGCTCCCACACCATTAGGCATTACCCGCAGTCCGCGCCACCGAAGCCCCGGTGTTACACGGTGCAATCCTCTCTTGATTGGATATTGCAGATTCCTTTGACGGGGGTTAGTTTATCCATAGGAAAACTACTGTTGACTTCCCCCAAATAATGGTACTTATTTTATCAACCGAGGAGGGATGATGGGCTGAGTCAATGCTCAATCAGGATTTAAACTCGCAATCTCCAATTGCGATCCGCTCGCTGCACCACTGAGCCACCTGGCCCGAGTTACAATCCAGGGAACGGTTAACAGCACTCACCATCATCGCTTCCATCATCATCCTCATCGTCGCGGTGGTCTCCGAGGTGGTGGAGGTCCCGGCGCGTCGCGATGAGGCCGCTATACCGCGCGTCGTTCTCTGCGAGCGCGGCGCGGCGCCTCAGTACGCTGGGCCCAACATCATCCTCCTCTTCCTCGTTCTGCGCAAAGCGCTCAGCAAGCCGAGCCCTGCAGCAGCCTGTACATAGAGAGACACCCTGTAGGAAAATCTCCCTCCACACACACATGCGCGCACTTGCGATCGCACCACGCGGACTGGCGACCCATTTTACCATTATGACCGCCGTGTTACCACGATCCCCGTGTTAGGACCCCTGTGTTATCATTATTAGGAAGCCACTTGAGCAAATCTAGATTGAAAACTAATTTCTTTATAACTGCGTTGTGTTTAGTTTGTTGTCCTGCCCCCGTACCTCTCGATTAACACGGTTGGCTACGTACGATGCGAAAAAAGTTCAAAATACGGCACATACATCATGGCCCCCGTGTTACAATGACCCTGTGCGAGACACGCCGTGTACCTGTGTCCGCGTCTTCGGGGTCCACGGCGCGAGGAGTCGGGTTGAGCAGCGCCGAGAGACTCTCCGAGAGAGACATGGTCTTCACCCTCGCACTCACTCACTATCACCCTCGCACCCACCCCCTGATTCACCCACCCCCTCACTCACCCCTTCACCCACTCGCTCGCTCACTCCTGCACCCACTCCCTTACTCACCAAATCACTCACCCCCGCAACCACTCACTTAATCACGCATCCACTCAATCGCCCCTCTCCAAAAGGAGCCTCTCTCCTCCACAGCCGCACGAATCCTCCGTGTCTCCACAGCTCCACGCACTGTACTCTGCCTCCTCCACGTGCTCTCTGTATAACTTTATTGCTACCCTCGCTCTGTATAACTTTATTGGTACTCTCGCACAGTGTAGCTTTATTGGTACCCTTGCAGTGTCGCCCTGAGGTATGGTTGTGTAACTTTATTGGTACCTCGCTTCGTGTAACTTTATTACTACCCTCGCTGTGTATAACTTTATTGGTACTCAGTTTCGTAGGCTTTCGCGACCAATATTATTCATTTATAAATCGCGTTATTTATAAATGTGTCGTAACCCTCCACCACCCGACACGGCCAATCAGCAAAAAAGTGTCACGTTGACAAAAGACAAATAGTTCACTACTTTAGCCCACCGCTGTGTTGAAGAGTGAATCCACAACATTTACAGTTTTTGAGTACTGTGACGTTTCGCTGGTAATTACATCCAGCATCATCGGGCAATTCGCCAGAATAGTAAGGCCCTCACTTGCTCCCGGTCTTAAATAGAGCAGCAGGAGGGTTACGACACATTTATAAATAACGCGAGCGAACGTAAACACCTTTATGAATTTATTGGTACTCTTGCTTTGTATAATTTTATTGGTATCTCGTTCTGTGTAACTTGATTGGTACTCTCGCTCTGTATAACTTTATTGGTACCTCGTTCGGTGTAACTTTATCGGTACCCTCGCTCTGTGTAACTTTATTGCCCCCCCCTCCACTGCGGAACTTTATCGATACTCCCGCTTTGTGTAACTTTATTGGTACCACTTCTCTGTACTGTACAGTATACAGTATCTTTATTGTGCTGCCAGGCGCAGTGTCGCCCTGTGGATCGCCATGGATCGGCTAAGCGCGGGTAACGCTGCTTTTGTGTCTCTCCTCCTCTACCCGTCTCTGCCTCTCTGCGGCCCCCGTCCAGCGTCAGCTGCGTTCGAGTTGCGCCGGGCCTCGTGTAGCAGTAGCGGTTGTTTACGATTGGCAATCACCACGACGGCTCTCGTCGCCCGGTTGCTGGGTAGCGATTCTCCCCTACGGTGGGCGATGAGCCTGGAGGGTTGCAGGCTGCTCTGTGTGTATCACTATCCCCCACCCACCCCACGACTCCCCTCCAGCGTGTGTGTGTGCCTGCGCCTCACCCTCCAGTTGATCCGTTTGCACGGCCCCCGTGCCCCGGCTGCTCCTCGTACCTCGTGGAGCCGTACATCAAGTGCAGTCAGTGCGGACCCCCTCCGCTTCTGCTTTGCCTGCAGGTAATAGCACGGCACACCCCCCTCATTCCCCACAGCTAGCAGTAGTAACAGAGTGTGTGGCGTGGGGGGCACCTCGCCGCGGTCGTCATTGCTGTGAATCCAAACAGATTTGTGAATAAAATAAAATCCTACAAACACTAACGCAATAACGGTAACATCAGAAGCACTTCAGCCCACACCGTTCACACTCTTATGAGGGGGAGCACTTGTAAAGATGTGTGGGACCACTGGTTTCGCTGTTAATCCCATGCAACAACAAAAACATCATATAATAAACTCCTTTTAAAAGTTTTTTTAAACAACGGTTTATTAACAACTTCGTTTAACTCACGGTCGAGGAGTCCGTCAATGACGCCTGAGACACGCGGCGCCTGCTTTTTCTGCGAGCCGATTCCACAGTTTAGGGACTGCGGCGTTTTTGACCTACACAAATATATAAAAAATATATAAGGCGTCCATACAAAATGTAAATTGCTTGAAAGTAGCGAATTAATTGATTAATTGATGCCGATTTTGATACAGGCATGCATTGTCACCGGATCTGAGTACGTGTGCAAAATGTGGAATTGATTGGACAACGGGAAGTAGACACAATTTTGATTACAAGATTTGACCACGACAAACAGGAATCAAGTTAAGTAAAACCGTTTAACAAACACTTATAAAGACATAAAGCTTTCGTGACTGCAGGAATTCATATTCTTTGGGTCTTTCGGTAAAGCCACGTAAGAAGAAAAATTTAAAAAAAAATATATAAAAATATCACGACGTTTCGATCGCAACACAAGCAATCGTCATCAGGTGAAAAAATATAGCGGGAGAGCTACTGCGGCAGGAAAAAATATAGTGGGAGAGATGCTGAGGCAGGATGTTTATAAAGGTTTGAGATGGGTGTAGCCCAAGGGTCATAAGCGAAGTGGGCTGGGCTAGAGATGAAATTTGCATGTAAATGTAAGATCTGAGAGCTGGGCAACCTCCACGACTACGAAGCTCTGTAGATGGCCATTGTATTGTGAGAGATTATCATGTCAATGTAGGAAAACAGAAAACCAACAACACATCGAGGCCAATGGGAAACGCTGGCTGTGTTAGACAGTGAGATATTTAGCCTGTTAATGTAAAGACATTTAACTCAGAGACTCGAAAATAACTGTTAACATCGGCAGGTGGGAAGGAAACATCACAGCCAGTTATGACTTAAACTGGTTCATAATGTCCTTCCGGTAAAGCCATGTAGGTTTAAAATAAAATAAATTAAATCACGACGTTTCGATCGCAACACAAGCGACCGTCAAATCTAGATTGAACGTCCTTCCAATGATTGCTCAGTTTGTACCCATCTTCTCGGTTGAAATTGTGTCTGTGTTTATATATCTGGATGGCTTCATGAACAAATCTTTGCTGATAGCCAGTGGGTTTGCAGAGTACCTTCATCTTGGAAAAATCAATTTCGTGTGTGCCCACAGCGTTAAAACAATGATCAGCCACAGCTGAGGTATTGGTCCCTACCGTGTTTCAGATCTGCCTTATGTTCACGAACACGGTCCAAGACATGTCGCTTAGTTTCCCTAATGTAACTACTGCCGCAGACACAGCTTAGTTTGTAGACACCGGGATATTGCATGTCAGGGATCACATCCTGCACAGATGGGATCAGATCACAAATTTTATGTACTGTGTTGAATCGAACCTGGATCTTGTGTTTGCTCATGATTTTGGAAATATTTTTGGTAACCCCTGCTATTATGGCAAGGTGATGGTTTTGATTGGGTCCTCAAATCATGAGAAAACACAAGATCCAGGTTTTTTCCTACATTGACATGCTAATCTCTCACAATACAATGGCCATCTGCACAGCTTTGTAGTCGTGGAGGTAGCCCAGCTCTTCGATCTTACATTTACATGAAAATTTCATCTCTAGCCCCACCCACTTCACTTATGACGCTTGGGCTACACCCAACTCAAACCTTTATAAACATCCTGCCTCAGCATCTCCCCTGCTATATTTTTTCCTGCCTCAGTAGCTCTCCCGCTATATTTTTTCACCTGATGACGGTTGCTTGTGTTGCGATCGAAACGTTGTGATTTTATTATTTTTTTCTTCTTTCTTCTTCTATCTACGTAGCTTTACCTAAAGACCCAAATAATTTCCACTTATAAAGCTTTTAATCACATTCAAAGAAAATACTAAAACAGTTTCAGAGAACCGCGCCAATCGCTGCCAGGCAGATTTCATGCAGATTTTCTGTACTCAGACCTCGGGTTGAAAGTGCACGAATATAAACATTGACACACCAAGTTTGCCGCTCACAGACTTAGTAAAGTGCACTTGACATTGGAGTGACTGAATAGGCAGCCTCTATGTGTGGGTTGTGTTTACATTGCTTGTACTCAACGTGCGTGTGGGACATGTGCGGCAGTGTTTTGCACAGGGCCTGGAGTTAAGGAGCCATCGCAGTGAACACAGCTATGAGATCGTGGTGAGTGCTGCAAGTCGTCACCTTTGCCCAGTCTTCACCTTTGCCCAAGCGCTTATGAAGGCCAGCACGGCACACGATGGGGGTGGGTGGCCAGCACCATGCCCGGCCGCCTTTGTATCCCCAGTGGCGATGTTTACACACTGCACCAGGTACTCATTTTGAGGCCGAGTCGACCTAGGGGAGGCCCAGCACCGGTTCAGATAATCGTTACTGGTGTTGGTGGCCCTGAGCGGGAATTCAGCCCGGGTAGTCGGGTTCGTAGCGCAGCGCGCTAACCGCTACACAACCGCTCCTCACACACACACACTGTGTGCGGATCTTTGAAAAGGGCTCGGCGACACATCCCCAGTCCATTGAGATGCATTTTCATAATTTACGGGGGGATTCAAGATTCAGTAATTTATTTCTGTGCAAGGAATGTCAGTTTACGTTTATTAGCCGACTTACGTGGAGCCGTGAAATGCACAATTACCTATTTTCCCGCATATAACCCGCGGGGTATACTACTTTTTACAAACAAAACAAGACCCTGCGGGGTATATGGAGGTGCGGGATATCCCAAAAATATTTTACACGTGTGACATGTCATGATTCGTTAAATGTTTTCATGGTAGGACTATCCACTATGCAACACTTACCTTTGACTAGAGCACTGCTGAATGAACCACTCACGCTAAAATTGCACATGTTATCACGTTTTAAATGAATTGTTTGTACAATTAAACGACTGTTTGAAGTGGGAGCATTGTTTACCGGCAACGTGAGAGTTTGGGGGGGAGAGAGGTGGGGGTTGGGGGGTGGGGCAGCTGGCGGGAGAGAGAGGTGGGGCAGCTGGGGGAGAGAGAGGTGGGGGGGGCGAGGCGAGGCGACGGCGTTACCGTAGTGCCGCTATTATCTGCGCAGTGGGCGATATACCAGTGCTCAAACTGTATTTATCTACCAGTTGCGTGTTATTTATTGGATATTTACTTTTGTTACTTATTTACTGTTTTAAGTTCATTTGTTTCCGGTTAGTCTGTTGTATTTGTGCACGTTATGTTTTATTGTTAACCATTGATAGTGGAATGTATTACAAATGTAAACTTCGTATGAATATGATGGAATTAAGCTGCAGTAACGACGTAAAATATATGAATGCATGTGGGGTATATGGAGGTGCGGGCTCTCTGAAATTTGTTTTACACAAAACGCAATTTTTGCGGGGTATATGCGTCTGCGGGTTATATGCGTATGCGGGCTATATGCGTAAAATACGGTAATCGAAACATTTTGATTATTACCCCTGTGATTCTGTGCATATATCGTACGGTTAAGAGTTCATATTTATCAAGCAATGCCTCGTGACATCCATAAACTTTAAGATGAAAGCGGCGACCGGAAATGTTAATAGCTCCCTAAGCTGTGCGAGCAGCAGCTCAACAATCAACAGGAACCGCATCTGTTTGATTTTGACTGTCATTCATCATTAGTTGGGCCGTTTGCTGCATTGTCTCCACCAACACGACAGGCATTAGGTCCACAAGGTAACACTAGTGTGTGCTATTGCAGTCCAGTCGTCTCACTCAGAGCAGTGGGCGCACTGAGCACCACCTCGCCCCTCTTGTGCCCCCTCTGCAGACGACAGATTTCCCGGTGCTCGACATCGGCTGGACGGCACAGGAAGAGATGACGCTGCTGGAAGCTGTTCTGGACTGTGGGTTGGGAAATTGGTGAGATTCCTTATCCTTCGCAGTGTCCATCACGCGTTCTCAAAGAGCGTGAATAAGAACCAGCACCACGCCGCACTGACCGTCTCCCCATGATCCCTGTACCTATAGATCCGTCTATAGCACTACACCTACGGCACTACACCTGTCGTTCCAATTTGTATTTGTGAATTATTTGGGTGTTTCGCTGTCTAGGGTATAATTGAATAATGACAGTAACCCATTCATACAAGATCTGTTTGATATCATCGCATACAATGCAATGGTTGAACACACTGGTAAACCACACACGTGGAAACAAGACTTTAATGCAAGCAAGTCTTTTCTTTATTTAAAGCCAGGATATCTGTCATTAATGTGCAACCGGTGTTTGGTAAAACTTATAATACTGTTACGAAGGTTTTGAATTTGAATCAAAAAGCACATCAAGTAGGCAGTGCTCTGTATATATATAAAAGCAATCAACATAAAACAATCCAATATCAAAAGTAGTACATATTTATGCACGACTAAAACATTATGAGGCCTTGATACCACAGACCCGAAGTAGTTGTGATACTTATTGATGAATGAACTTTGAGTATAGTCCGTTTTCCTTAGTCACAGTCAATGAACATGCGTCTTCTGCTTGTCAGAGTTGTTGCACACGATGCCTCCTCCGGTGCAGTCCGGATGTTAACAGTGTGATGCCACAGCGACAATGCCACACGCTAGCAGTGGCAGCTGTCAGCTTGATGAACAATGACACCGTCACAGTGATGATGCAGTCTTGGGCTGTTAATGAGAGCACAACGGCAGTGCAATCAGCGCTGAACTCTAACAGAGTGCATACATGATCTTCTTGTAGATTTAGACCAGGGGTGGGGAATGTCCAGCCCGCGGGCCGTATAAGACCCGCGAAATCATTTAGTCTGTTCCAGTCATCACATTAAAATGTTTGACCAAATATAACAGGCTAATTTTTAAGTTGATAATTTTGTATGGCCTGCGAATGATGTTATAAATATCTAAATGGCCCTTGGCAGAAAAAAGGTTCCCCACCCCTGATTTAGACAGTGACCACACTCTCTGCCAGGTGACAGATGGACAGATTTCTTCACCATGATGATAATCCACAGACTCATGTTGATTACAGCTTGTGACTTGATTAGTAGAGTGCAGTCGGTGTTCTCTCCTCTTTGTGGATTTTCTCCTCACGAACCACTCTTGACATTTTAACTCTTCAACAATAGCAAATCTTCGGATCTTCTTTAAACAGCTCCAGTGTTCTATTATTTCAGTTACTCCACTCCTGAAGCGTCTCAATAGCATATTGCTATTAACTCATTACAGCTGTGTTACAGCTTCTCCTCTTTTGCTTCTCCACTGCCTTCCTCGTGGTGGCTTTTTATCTTGACAGTGTACAGCCGGGTCTCGTGATGGGGTGGCTTTCCAAGCTATTGCGCTCAGCCAATGTGAACCACACAAACAGTGTCCTAGCCACTGCTGGTCTGCCCACATTTCAGTGGTGGCATGTGTAGATATACTGAAATCATGAATTGACAAATGTGTAGTGACATAGCGCTGACTGTTGGGCAGCAGCAGCAACTGCAGGTGGGCACTTAGTGCACACGCCACTGAGCATAATGGCGGGTGTGCCGGCTGGGCGGAGGAACTGGGGTAAGGGTCATGATAGACCTCATGTGGAAGCCATCTGATGGGTTCGAGAAGAGAGGCACGGCTAGGGCGGAGCCAAGCCGCGCTGAGGGGAATATAAGCAGTGGAGAGCTAGAGCTCTGGGCTGCCGGTTCTGGGGTTGGACTCATCTCGTCTCGTCATCGGTGTCGTCCTCGTTGCCCTCGTCGCTGCTGCCTTCGCCCGATCATTGCGCGGCCGGACAGTCGTTGGCTGTTCCGGTCAACGCCGTCGGTGCAACGCAGACAGGGTCATGTCTGGGACAGGGCGTGCGGCAACGGGGTCATGTGTGAGAGAGAGGGCCCGAGTGGTGGCGTGAGCTCGGCAACAACAACGAATAAAGAGGGCAGAGTGGTGCCTCCTGCAACCACCTCGTCTCCGGATGACTGTGTGTGCGTCGCACACCACCCGCATGCACAGACGACACTACAAGTTTATTTCATTTTTTATACGATCTTTCCTAGGAAAAAGAGCTGCCTCTTTCCAATTACTATAAGTCCTCGTTTAACGCGATAGATGCGTTCCTGAAAAGTACCGCATTAAGCGACAAACAATTTACCCATAAATCATGTATCGATAAAGTTTGGCGCGATACGATATACTACGCACACAGTAAGATGGCGGGAGTAAAATAACTGAGGGTACGCCGCCACATTACCTTATCATTCCGTGTACTGTATTATACCACTCACCCCCTCAGCACAAGAAATAGTTTGTCGTCAACTGCTCAGAAACTGCATTATAACGAGTGCATTCCACGTTGTGCGAAAAGTGTTCCCTAATTGAAGAACTACGTTTTACTGATAATGCGTTTTGTGAACATGCGTTAAGCGAGGGCTTATCATAATGCAAGCTTTTAAAGTATTGTGCCTCCCTTTTTCGAGGTAGAGAGTGTATGTTTAGCTTGATACAGCTGCGAGCCATTAATTTCGTGGTCGGCAAAGGAGAGCACTTATCTATCCCTCTCTGTGCCCAAGTCGGCTCTCAATGCTGTTTTGTGTTGTGACTCTTAGGTAAGTTTGACTCCGGTTTGTGGCCTCAAGTTCGCTGAATTAAACCACTTACAGGAAAAGCTGTGTTATCTGGCACTTTACCATCCGGAATGCTCTATTAACCGGAATTTGTTATATACGGCAATATAAATCTTCCTTTACGTATCCGGAAAAAATCCGATAGCCATTTGGCATCTTGCCATGTGCTTCTAATATATCTGTTGTTTACAGAAGCTTCAGGACGTTGCTGAGTGGTGTCACTAGCGGCAGTGTCAATTGTAAACATCTGCCATTGTGATGCGTTAACTTTGTATCCTGTACTCTAAACTGCCGCACTGCTTCTCTACAATCAACTTAGAATGCTCTATAACTGACTGTTGAGTACCTTTGTAAAAGAGTATATTATTTCTTATATCATAGTTAAAATGTAGGTTTAATTTCTTTCTCAAAAGTTTTATGTTCTTGGAACATTTGGTGAGCCATAAGTCTCACTTTCAAATAACCGGCATATTTGATTAACCGGCACCCTCCATTCCTCATGGATGTCGGATAACAGCTTTTCCTGTATATATAAACTTTGTGCAACCAGAGCAACTAATGGATTATTATACTCCTCTAATTTGTTCAATGGTATAACCATGACACACTCATATCACCACACTTGTAGCACATCGCCTATTGCACACCACTTATAGCATCACACAGCACTGCACCTAGAGCACTACACCTGTAGCACCACATCTATAGCACCGCACCTGCACTCAACCTACAACACTGCACCTAGCAGCTGTGTGTCTTCACACTCCCGTGTTGTGCTGTGGCCTAGGCAAGATGTGGCCAATCAGATGCGAAGGAAGAGCAAGGAGGAGTGCGAGTGGCACTACATGGAGCGCTATATCAACAACCCCCATTTTGCGTCTCCTGCAGCCGGCACGGGGCCCAGCGACAGGGCGGAGGCCACCGCCGTTGCTGCCCCCGTTGCTTTTCAGGGTACGCAACACCACAAGGGCTCGGCCCAGGGCTATGCAGCTTCCGCCATCTCCTTGAAGAGCGAAACGGCTTTAAAATCTCTCTGAACAGATGCATCATTGATCTGTGTGTGAGGGGCATCTCGGTTATTGTGCAATAATCTTAACGCGTGGGGTTGGTAATTCGGGTCAGCCTGGAGGTCATCTCTTGACCACTGTCTCGATGCGTATTTCTTCCTGTTGACAGAGGGAACTGCTCCTAAAGAGTCTATAATAGTGATTGACACAGTCGTTCTCTTGCGGGACACGGCGTGAAGCTGTATGGGAACCCTGCTTCAGGCTTCCGACGCCATGACACACGTTCGCCTGATGTCGCTACGTATCTGTGATTTTCATTGGTAGTGGAGGGCAGGCGTTTGCAAGCAACGATTTGCCTTCCCCGCTCATTTGTATGAAATGTCACGGTTTGGGGTACTGATTTAAATTAAGGATCAATTTTGTCTTACAGTATTTAAAAAAAAATGTAAATGAAAATGTATTTAGCCAGACAATGGTAGCGCACGCCTTTAATCCACCACTGTGGAGGCAAGGCTTGGCAGAACACACTAATGTCAAGGTGCCATACCGTGGCTTGCCAGAAGGCGGTACAGCTAAAATGTGGACTCCACCTCTTCCGTTTGTATGGTATAGAGCAGTGGTTCTCAACCGGGGGTACACGAACCCCTTGGGGTACATGAGGCGATTTATAAATGTGTGAAATTATATCATACATGAGTCATTGGTGAATAATCATGGACAAATTTGCCAATATAAAATAACTACAATACATTTTTTACCCATATGGTAACCTAGATCTACATTAAAGATTTTTCTAAACTCATTGACCGTAAACAATTTGGTTTTGAAGAGTAACCGGTGAGGGCGGACCAATTTTATGTCATGCATGCAGAGTGCCCTTGGAATGTTTTCTTATTCACTTGCAGTTACTAGCTAGCTAGGATACCTCACGAAATGGATAAATGGTTAAACATTGATGTTTATTATTAATATATTTAATTTTTTTGAACAATGTTGAGTCAGGAAGGGAGGTATAGTAGCCAAAAAAAGGTAAGAACCACTGGTATAGTGTATCCCCCTCGGGCGTGTGGGTTTCTCCTGGTTTCTTACCACGTGTAGAAACACTTAATTGGCCCATAGCACCTGAATACAGAAGACCGCAGAGCCTCGGCAATTGTTAGCGCCGACTCTCTGCGTGCCTGCTGCCTTTCCCGCAGTGTCTGTTGTTCCTCCTCGCACCTCTGAGTCATTATCTCTTTGCGAGAGTGAGCGAATGCTGTGTGCGTTACAAGTTGAAAGTATCTAATGGAGTTTGTGACATCTTCAACAACATATGATTGACGAAAGTCTTCATGGTTGAATGAAGGAGACGCGTGTGTGTGTGTCTGTGCGTGTGTGTGTGTGCGTAAAGCTTGCGAAGATCCTCCGAGGCCGGGACTTGACTCGGCAGTGGCAAGGGAGATGGCCGGGTACATGCCGGCCCGATCTGACTTCTGCCAGGCAAGATGGGGACCCCATGGCGCAGACACATGGGGGGCACGCCGCCGGTCTTGGCGTCCCGTTGAGATGGCCCCCAACGCTCACTTGCGCAGCACCTGCGATTCTTACACCTAGGGGGCATTCCATGTGACCCGGCAGTGTGCGCCGTGTAATTGCACACGGTTTTATTTATTGTCTGCGTGGTTGGGCGCGATAGTCATTGTGTAAGTGCGTACTAAATTTCGATTTAAAGCTTTCGTGACTGCAGGGATTCATCTTCTTGGTTCTTTCGGTAAAGTCACGTAGAATGGAAATAAAATAATAAAAATAAAACATAAAATTCTCACAATGTTTCGGCCAGAAGACAGACCTGTTTTCTGGACAGACCTGTTTCTTCACCTGAAGAAGGCTACTTGTGTTGTGGCCGAAACGTCGTGAGAATTTTATTTTATTATGTTTTATTTTTATTATTTTATTTCCATTCTACGTGACTTTACCGAAAGAACCAAAGAAAATAAGTGCGTACTGTATAGTAATAGGCCTAATGTATTATGTTGGACCTTTTTCGCACCATATGTAGCCAACTGTAGTAATCGGAGGTGCAGGGGAAGGACAACAAATGTGTTAATGTGTTTGTCTACACGTGTCATGACGTGTTTGCAATGTGTGTGTCATCTGATGCCCTGGATACCTGTGCATACGAGACGTTGCGTCTCAAGGGATTATCCCATGTCAAATATTTGAAAAATAAAGATCAGGCCATGGGTCATCACAGTTGACTCAGGGCGGATAGCATCTGTAATATCATAGAAGTACACCTTGTTTAAGTTACGTAATATCATACGTTTCTCATGATTTGATGTGTGGTTGGTTTTATTTCAGGAGTTTGATAACTATGCTGAATGGGACTTGAGGGACATAGATTTTGTGGAAGATGACTCTGATGTCTTGCGTGGTGAGTAAGGTGGCTCTGACGTGGTGCGTAGTGAGAAAGGTGGCTCTGATGTGTAGTATGGTGAGTAAGGTGGCTCTGATGCGTAGCATGGTGAGAAAGGTGGTTCTGATGTGTAGTGCGCAACCAATGCAGGTTCCGTGACATGTCACAATGTGTTAAATCGAAATTTAATGTGTTCGTTTGTTTTGTACATTCAAACATGTCACATTTGTAGCATGCTCTGCACTCGCCGACGCTGCAGAGAGCCGCTGCAGAGAGCCCTTGCAGGGAATGCATGGAAGCTTTGGGCAGTGCAGGCCACTCCTGCATTCAGAACGATTCTACTCTGCAGGCAATGCAGCAGACGTGAGGCGAGTCGAGGTTTTCAATTAAAACATAGGACCAGAATAGGTAGGCATGCTCCAAGGAGAATGGACCACAATGAATGGGTTCTTCTTGGTACTTTGTTTGCCAAAGCATTTGCAAGAAACGAAATGAGTATTTATCTTGCCAACAGGAATGCTGTTTCTGTAGCGCCAATTATTTGTAGCTAATGCAGATAAATGTGCTTATTGTAACAATCGCCTAGGGTTCCAACCGATTTTGGCGCAGTTTGCATTGCTCATGGGTGTAATTTAGAGCCTCAATGGTAAAGCATATATCCTTGATTACCAATCATCAGGTACGTGCAGTGTGATTTTGCAAAATACACATCAAAATTGGTCATCACAAGAGTTGGAACTGTGGGGGGCACTGAGCCCCTCCTTAGTGGACACTGCTTGATCTTCTCTTGCAGCCCTGAAGATGGCCGTGGTGGAGATCTATCACTCTCGCCTCAAGGAGCGGCAAAGACGCAAAAAGCACGTAGCATACTCTATACGAACTGCTCTACATGAATTGCTGTACACAGACTGCTCTATTCATACATTTGTTTCTTTGTATAAAAGTAAAAGGGATCATTTGTTTTTCAGAATTGTTCGTGACTATGGACTCATTAACCTTCGCAAATTCCAAGGTACGCTTTTTTGCCAAAGGGAATACTTTTTTTAATAGAGGGAGTTGGTGATTGTGGGAATCTTGGTCAGGAGTTCCTATCCGGGGGAGGTGGCACATTCCTTCTCTATGCTCTACATTCTTCCACGCTTTTTCAGATGCAGAGAAAAGTCATTCGCGTGGAAGATTCCGCTCCACATCGCATGGAATACGTGGGCAGTTTTACTGTCGTTGCCACTCTTCTAGTTACTTTATTCGATAGCTGAACTACTTCAATAACATGTGTTCAAGGAAATTACTTCTTTTTGTGCATGTTAAAAGTGGCGCAGTATATAACTTATTATGATTTCGATTAAGATTGAACATGTGCAACGAACGTTGTTTACAAACGGCTGCTTGGTTCTGTGCTTGGGCTGCGTCTCTGCAGTCCTGGAGCGACAAAACAGCAAAGAGGTGCGGGATTTGAGCGAGGCCATTCGTCCCTTTGCTAAGACGATGAAGCCCTTGGAGATGGACATGCTGATCGAGAGCTATGCACGTGAGTTTTAGTATTCCACCGGAACCAGAAACATCATTGGAAATGATTGATGGTCGCTCTCATTGAGACGCATCCACAAAGGCGCTAGAGACAGCAGGCAAAGAAAGGAAACCACAGTTGAATATTTATGTCATGATTAAGTTGAAGCAAGTGAAACTATGCAGGGACAGCTAATCGTGAAGAACAGCAGAAGATGCCCTTGAAAGAGCAATAAATTAGAGACTGGCCCAAGATGGAACCAGTTATCGGAATAAACGTGTGGAGACCATGGGGCATGCTGATGATAAAAGCACACCAGAAAACTGAACACAAATCCGAGAACATGAATTTAATCTGCCAAGTTTGTGTGAAAAAGTACCTCTTCCAGCAAAGAATGAGGGTATGCGTGCACATCACAGACTAAGTTTGCTACATGGTGCATGTTTACGAGTGTAAGAGGTGGATTGCAGGGCCGAGTGTTGATGTGTGGAGCGTCGGGTGATGCTGCTTCCCTTGTCTCGTTTGCAGTAGAGTGTGAATTGCGCAAGGACGTCCAACGGCTACAGGATTACCGCGTCTGTGGAGTCACCACCTTCAGAGGTACGCACCGCATTTTCCAGTGCCAGCTGCCCTTCCCTCAATGCGTCACATGCACACGATATTGTAGGCCGAGTGAAACTCTTTAATCTCAACAGGCTGACGAGTGAGGAGCGTGATGCAATAGCAGTGAAACGCATCGGCTGCTGAGCGCCGTGCTTGTTGTGATAGGCCTTGGTGCAATCAGACTTGACTGGGTTATGGAAACCATGGAGAGGTTTTTCAGAAAGGTGGGAGAAGATGCCCCTTTCAGGGACTTTGCAAGCGAAGGAAGGGTTTAGATGGGACGGAGTCTGTAGCAATGTTTGGGTCCATTGCTGGTTTCTTTATTACAATGGAGGCATTCAAGAAGCTGATAATGTAGAGACCAGCATATAATAGCCAATGAGTGATTGGTGGGCAGAAGATCCCTGATGGATTAAGACTGCTTATGGTGGGGGTATGGTGTTGAGGGGAGGTGGTGGAATGATGAGTAGACAAGGCAACTGGAGAGGGAAAGTTGGATGCCAATGCACAATCCTGAGTGTCTCAACCTTTGTTAAGTAGGAAATGAGTTGATCACACTTGGCAGCTGACAGGGTAGTGGAGGAAGTTATGGTGGCCTTAACTCGTCACCCTGTATCGTTTCACCCATTACAAAATACAGTCTGAAACAATGTCAAGAGGAACTGTAGTTGTCACACCATCCTTGAGACATCACAGGCAATGGTGCTCTTCAACCAGTATGCCACATTGGCAGATTGTAACAGATCATCACCAATGTTATGGCAATAGTTTGATCTGCACACGAAAGTCTCTTTGTCGATGCCAATCGCATTGCGCCCTCTCCCTTGTTGATGCCTATTGCTCGATGCATAGGAGCGCGAGTGTATGAGCGGCTGCTCGTGCGCCGTGAGGAGGAGAAGCTGCGGCGCACTGTACTGCAGGATGTGATGCAATACGTGCAGGACCCCAACGCCTGCCAACAGTGGCTGCAGCGGCAAGCAGCTCTGTGAGACGCTTGCGCACATACCTACATTGTGCATTACACACACACACGCTACACACCGTGTGTATGTTATACATTACACTACCGTCGCCGTGTTTACACGTTGCTTGCATTAACATGGTACAGGTTCACAATGCAAAGAACTCATTCTTGGTTTTTTTGGTAAAGTCACGTAGAAGGGAAATAATAAAATAATAAAAATATAAAACAAAAAAATTACCACGACATTTTGACTGCAACACAAGCAATCATCATCAGGTGTGAAAACCACAACAAGAAAAAATTGAAAAAAGTGGCGTTTTTTTTAAACGTTAGCACCACGGAGAGCGATTTGGCAGTTATTCAGATGGACGAGTCCATCTATGTTCGGAAAAGAGGAGGGGGGAGACGAAAATAATGGATGCGGTCTGAAAGCCACCGTAAGCGTGAACAATCAATTAAGACCCAAAATGGTTGATCAAATCCTTCCAATGATTGCTAATCCAGAATCCATCTTCTCTGTTGAAATTGTCTCTGTGTTTGTATATGTGGATAGCCTCATGAACGAATCTCTCATGGTAGCCAGATGTCTTGCAGAGAACCTCTGTCTTGGAGAAGTCAATGTCATGTGAGCCTACTGAATTATAACAGTGATCTGCCACGGCCGAGGTATTGGTCCTACCGTGTTTTAGGTCTGCTTTGTGTTCACGGATGCGGTCCGAGACATGTCGTTTGGTTTCTCCAATGTAACTACTACCACAGAGGCAACTTAGTTTGTAGACGCCAGGGTACTGTATGTCCGGAATCACATCTTTTACAGACGGAACCAGATCACGGATTTTATGTAATGTGTTGAATCGGACCTGGATCTTGTGTTTATTCAAGATTTTGGAGATCTTTTTAGTGATCCCCGCAATGTAGGGTAAAGTGGTGGTTTTGAATGGCTCCTCAAGAGGGTTCTTCTTCATGGTTGGAGTGATAGCTTTGCGGATTGTGTAGTCTGAGTAACCATTAGCCTAAAGAGCTTGGTGTACGTGCTTGAGTTCACTGGCTATGTGTTCCTGGTCGGATATGCATGGGGCTCTATGGTGCAGAGTCTTGATGAGGGAATTCTTCTGGGATGGATGGTGGTGGGAATCCGGTTTCAGGTAAGCATCCGTATGGGTAGCTTTCCTGTCGACAGAGTGGCTCATTGAACCATCAGGTCTCTTTTTTATTAGGACATCCAAAAAAGGTAGCTTGCCATCTTTTTCGACTTCCATGGTAAATCTGATGGCTGGGTATATGGAATTGATGTAGTCGAGGAATTGGTCTAGAGCAGGCTGGCCATGTGGCCAGATAACAAAAGTGTCATCCACGTACCTCTTCCATAAGGTTTACCATGGAAGTCGAAAAAGATGGCAAGCTACCTTTTTTGGATGTCCGAATAAAAAAGAGACCTGATGGTTCAATGAGCCACTCTGTCTATAGCAAAACTACCCATACGGATGCTTAACTGAAACCGGATTCCCACCACCATCCATCCCAGAAGAATTCCCTCATCAAGACTCTGCACCATAGAGCCCAATACATATCCGACTAGGAACACATAGCCAGTGAACTCAAGCACGTACACCAAGCTGTTAAGGATAATGGTTACTCTGACTACACAATCGGCAAAGCTATCACTCCAACCATGAAGAAGGACCCTCTTGAGGAGCCATTTAAAACCATCACTTTACCCTACATTGCGGGGATCACAAAAAAGATCTCCACAATCTTGAATAAACACAAGATCCAGGTCCGATTCAACACATTACATAAAATCCGTGATCTGGTTCCATCTGTAAGAGATGTGGTTCCAGACATACGGTACCCTGGCGTCTACAAACTAAGTTGCCTCTGTGGTTGTGGTTACATTGGAGAAACCAAACGACATGTCTCGGACCGCATCCATGAACACAAAGCAGACCTCAAATACGGTAGGACCAATACCTCGGCCGTGGCAGATCACTGTTATAATTCAGTAGGCTCACATAACATTGACTTCTCTGCAAGACATCTGGGTACCATGAGAGATTCATTCATGAGGCTATCCACATATACAAACACAGAGACAATTTCAACCGAGAAGATGGATTCTGGCTTAGCAATCATTGGAAGGGTTTGATCAACCATTTCGGGTCTTAATTGATTGTTTACGCTTACGGTGGCTTTCAGACCGCATCCATTACTTTCGTCTCCCCCCTCTTTTCCGAACATAGATGGACTCATATATTTAGCTCTTTCGGTAACGTGACTTTACCGAAAGAGCTAAGAATATGAATTACTGCAGTCACGAAAGCTTTAAATAAAAAAATAGATGGACTCGTCCATCTGAATAACTGCCAAATCGCTCTCCGTGGTGCTAACGTTAAAAAAAGCCACTTTTTTCAAATTTTTCTTGCTGTGGTTTTTACACCTGATGATGATTGCTTGTGTTGCAGTCGAAACGTCGTGGTAATTTTATTGTTTAATATTTTTATTATTTTATTGTTTCCCTTCTACGTGACTTTACCGACAGAACCAAGAATATGAATCCCTGCAGTCACAAAGGCTTTAAATCAAAATTTAATGCAAAAGACCTTTGAGTTTTTTGTTGTTAGTGATGGCTGAGCGAGACCTTCATCCAATGGCGGATTGATCATGGCTCGTGATGATTATACTTTTTTTTGTTATGCAGAGGAAGATGGATGTAAGATTGGAGTTGATATACAGCTGTATTTACCAAAACATGTGTATTGGCTGCAAAGTGAAACTGCTTGCATAACTGATGTTCAGCCTCGTGTTTCCTGGGGCTTTACTCACTCTTTGTTTTAATGCTCTTGCTGTGTTTTGCTTTTCGTCGTTTTTTCGTGTTTAGGGATGCTGGCCGTAACCCAGGTGGACCAATCATCCCCTCTCTTGGTAAAGTTATCATGCTGGCGTTCGCAACCACTGTGAAGCACACATACACAGCAACCACTGTGTGTGCACTTCACGACATGAGTCTGTTGCAACATGTAGAGCAAAGTTAGTTGTGTGTATGTATATACAGGCAGACCTTACTCGGCGCGAACCTGTAGAACACCGATTCGTTATTGTGCTCTTTGTCCTGGTGAAACATCTTACGAAACAAAATTCAGAAAAAAAAATCTACAAAGTGCTTACTAGTGAACACGCAGTAGCGGCTGGTCGAGAAAATGTAGCGGCCCCCAATGAGAGTGACGAATGCTCTCAGCCATCCAGACCCCACACCCTGCGATTCAATTATTGATAGTTATCACTGTTTGTGGTCACGATTACATTTAAACAAAAAAATTCGATTTGTTTAGCTACTCATGAGACCAGGAACTCACGAGACCAGGATAGTCTCTTCTACACCTGAAAGAAACCTCATTACATCTATTTAGACTGAGCGCATCACTAAGATCACAGAGGTCCTGGAGCTCTTCTCCGAGTGACCCGGACTGGGAGCGCAGCAGCTCCGACAACCTCGTCTCCGACCTCTGCCATATAGGAGTACAGTAGAATGCACTTGTCAGGACAGTACATAATACTGATGTTATTAAGAATATATATATGAAATCAAGTTTACCCTCATTATTAGCACTTATGGATACCCCAATGAAGCTCTCATATAATGCTGATACGAAAGAAATTACACTGTTGGGAACAGATCCCCATATGTACAATGTTCTAATTACCCCTTTTAGCGCTGATTATATTCGTGCTCATCTTGAGCACCAAACGAGATCTCCCTTTTTATGTACACTCACGGGAAGTAACCGGCGTTGCCTGGGAGAAAAAGAGACACATACACATCGAACCACACACAAACACATTGACTTGCACACACATATGGACTTACACACACAGACATTCACTTTAGATACACACGCAAATTGAAGTACACACATACAGCGACTCACACACACACACATACGTAGACTCTCACACACACATCGACCTAACACACATATGCACTTACACACACACATATTGACTAAGACACACACACATACATAGACTCACACACACATTGGCCTACACACACACATACACATATGAACTCACACATACAGACATGGACTTTAGAAACACACATGGAGTTACACACACATATCGACTGACACACACACCGACTTCCACACACACATATGTACTTACAAACACATATGGACTAACACAACAACCGCCATTCGCCACTAAGTGGCGGTGACGTCACCACGACGCTTGTGCCAGGCCATGTGCACCTTGAGGCCAAGTGAAGTGTTGAACACCCGCGGACAGGAGGTCACGGGGCAGACCCAAGTGCCATGGGTCGACTGACTGAGATGACTGGCTGATGCACCACCTGTGCCCCCTACTGTGCCAACCTGCTGTGCTTTAGCCACCCGGCGCTCCGCTCGTTGTTGTGAGCGTCGCTCCTCCGCCCTCCGTTGTTGGAGGGCGACTACCTCCAATTGCCCAGTAGAGTCCTTCACAAGCCTCCTCTACAGAGGCCGATCTTGACACCGCTGGTACCAGTCATTGGCAAGTCCACTCAGCTCCACGTCCTCCTGTACCACATCACTCCATCTCTTCTCTAGCCCGTGCCGCGCCCGTTTAGCCCCCTCGATCCGGCCATACAAAAGCTGTTTCGGCATGCGGTGGCTGGGCATGCGGGCTACATGACCCAGCCAACGCAGCCTTGCCTGCCGGAGGTGCTCACCGATGGGACCTTGCCCAGATCTTTCAAAGATTTGTGAGCTCCTCACACAATCCAGCCTGGTTAAACCCAGTATGGATCGTAGGCAGGCCAGCCTAAATGTTTCCAACCGGCGAAAATGCTCCATTAAGGGGGTCCACGTTTCGCAAGCGTAGAGAAGGGAGGGAATGACCGTGGCCGAGAAGACCTGAAGCTTAGTGCGGAGCGACAGACCAGGTGGCTTCCACACAGCGTTACGCAACCGATGAAAAGATATTGCCGCTCGACTAATTCGGAGTGAGACCTCTGCTGTTAAACTGGAGCCAGTCATAAGCACACTGCCCAGGTATGGGAAACTCTCCACTCTCTCCACAACTGCCCCATCACCGATTGGGAGTTGTGGGGGTGGGTGTCCGATGGTGCAAAATATCCAGGCAGGTGCTTAGTTTTGGTGGGGCTGATGGTAAGGCCCCATCTCTTAGTGGCACGCTCCAGTCTCAGCAGCAGCGTCTCCAACTCCTCCTCTGAATGAGCAGCTATTACCAAATCATCGGCATACATAACGTGGTTGAGCAATAGGGAGCCATCCCTTGACCGCACCCGGGCATCGATGAGCCTCCCATTATATCTGTACAAAATGGAGATTCCCCCGATACAGCTATTGAAGGCTTCACGAACTACGTGGTCAAAATAGATGTTAAATAATGTGGGAGCCAGAGGACATCCCTGTCACACCCCAAGGTGTACAGGGAATGGCTCTGACTCCTGGCCACGTAGTTTTACCCGGGCCCGCTCACCATCATGAAGGTCCTTAATGATCGTGAGCAAAGGGTCAGGGACTCCAAAAGCACGAAGAACAACCCAGAGCCCAGGCCTACTGATGGTATCATAGGCCTTGACCAGGTCAATAAAGCAGAGATGTAGGTCTTGTTGGAATTCCCTACACCTCTGCTGTAGCAGACGGACAGAAAATATGGCATCTGTGCAGGACCGCCCTTTCCTGAAACCGCATTGGAGCTCCGCAAGCCTCTCCTCAGCGTGCCTGGCAAGGCGATGTTGAATAATCCTTGCCAGGACCATTCTCGGCACACTGAGGAGTGAGATGCCCCTGTAGTTGTTACAGTCTGTGCGGTCCCCCTTTTTAAAAAGAGGGACCACCAGGACATCCTTCCAATCCTGCGGAACCCGTCCAGTGGTCCAGACTGTTGTTATTATGTCATATAGGGCAGTCTGTGCACAAACGCCACCCTTCCTCAGCATTTCGCTTGGGAGATCATCTCTGCCCGCTGCCTTTCCTGGTCGCAGACTCCGGACATGGACTTTAGATACACACACATGGAGTTACACACACATATCGACACACACACACATTGACTTACACACACACATATGGACTTACACACACATTTGGACTAACACACACACATATGGACTCACATACACATCGACTAACACACACCTCGACTAACAAACACACAGCGACTAACACACAGCGACTGACACACACACATGGACTGACACGCACACTTGGACTTACACATACACATCGACGTACACACACACATCTGGTGTCGCCCGGGCAAAAAAGACACAGACACACATGGACTTACACACACACATATGGACTCAACACACACACACACATCGACTCACACACACACATCGACTTACACAGCAATCCCTGATGATGCCACAGCTAGAGCTGGACAGAACTGGCCACATGGGCCATGGACCATTTGGTTGCAGACCACATAGAAAAAAAGGGCAGGGTCTTGATAGGGGTGAGGTAGCTCAGCACTGATAAATGTGTCGGTGTCACTTGCATGAATTGTTTCCCTCATCCATAGCGATATGTGAGCATGAGGAAGACGACGTTTTTGCCACCCAATGGTATGCAAGTTACTGCTTGTCTATCCAAAGACGCCGCCTTTGTTGGTCGTAATGAGCATCATGAGGTCATAAACTTTGAGTTTTAAGACCCTCGCTAAGATGTCATGTCTCTTGATGGCTTTTGGTTTGCATAAAGGTAAACCTGGATCTCCTTTCATTTGGGATTGCAAGTGAAGGTGATGAAGAGATAGGGCGTGGCATATTGGTTGATGTACGTCATGGCATCCTGCATCTTCTCATGCATGTATCTTGGTGGAGCTGTGAAGGATGAAGGCAAAACAACGAATCTGCCCACATTGTGAGCGTTTGCTTCTCCTTCGGCATTGATGGCGTCCCAGAGATGAGCATACTGTTCACACGCAGACAGTTTTGATTCATTTGATTGTAAAGAAGGCGCTCACTCTCAATGTTGGCATACTCATCGACAACATACTGGTGAAAGAGGTTGGTGCACCATAATATGCGGTTTCCTCCTCTGTCCATGATCACGAAGGAATAGAAGTTTTTTTAAAGGAGACAGTTTTGTGAGGATGTCTTTGTCCTGCAGCTTTGTAATTGGAGGAATGTTGACGTGGTACCCATCTTGGCCTTGCGACAGGAAAATGTGTTATTGTAGGGCATCGTATGCTCTGTTGGTGTCAGGAAATTGTGCGATGGTGTTTTCTTGATATGGAAGAACAATGTCTCTCACAATGTCCCTCACCCACGGTAAGAAAGCAAGGTCAACAATATTTGGGGCATTGAACCTCCCTGCTTGCTCCCCGTTTTAGTGGAAAGTAAAGGTGCGGTATGGCAAAATATAAATGGGTGATGTTCCGACGAATGTAACAAAACGATAGAAATGCAATGGGCTGTAGCTAAGAAAGTCCAACGTATTTAGCAGTATAACATATTAATCAGCATCGCAGTACTACGTATCAGGAAAAAGCGTGACGTGAGCAATCAGCAATATAAATGCATTGAAGAAATAAGCTGAAATAAGTCTACATTATAGAGCAGCCATACGCACAGGTAAGTTGAGAAGCAGGCTACAGTCTAGATTATAGACTGCCAGTACGCCGACTTAATGACATAAGCATTGCTACAGTCGACATAAAAATCTGGCAATACGGTCAGCAGCTGACAAAGCAGGATACAGTCAACACGAAAAGCTGGCAATACACTGAGTGAGGTAAAGAAGCAGGCAACAGATGATAGACTGGTATACACTCATAATGGCCAAAAACAAAATTAGCAGTGTAGGTAATAAAGTGCCAGTGCACTGACATTAATTTATCAGCAGGCAGCAGGTCACAGCACAGACTGGCAGTACACCGTCTCAGCGTCCTAAAACAGCTAAAAAAGGAAATATTTAGCAACCTAATAATGAAAATTTAGTTTTGTGCACACAAACATTATTATTGTAGTATCTCCCAACTTATTTTTTTCATAATAGTAAACAATGAACCTGAGTTCTTATCTGCACACACACATTATTATTCTAATATCTGCCAACTTATTTGTTTCATAATAGTAACAATGAACCTGAGTTCTTAACGAAAGATTAAATAAAATTGTACTTTACATTGCCGTGGTGAGGCCTAGTCCCATAGCAGAGCCCGCAGCCTCGCCTAGATTGCCCAGCCGGAGCAGGTGACACATTGCCAGGCTGGGGGCTTGGCCGCTACCCCCACCATCCCCCAGCCCGAGCTACAATAATACCATTTAAGCGCTAGAATATTAGACTCCTTCCACATAATGAGGCAGAGATGACTAGACACGAGGTTGCCAAAATAATTGAGAATAGCAAAGTTCCAAAAGTAAATATTAGCTCCAACGAAGCAAAAGCCTTAAGAGAGCTCCGTGTAAATAAAGATATCCAAATTCTAGAAGCTGATAAAGGCCGCACTACTGTAGTGATGTCACGAGCCGATTATGATAATAAAATTAGAAATTTACTAGAGGAAAGTACCTACATTAAAATTAAACGAGATCCAACTAATACTTTAGAACGTAAGACTACTGCAATAATTGCAAATTCATTAGTCCCTAAGAATGAGCAACACCAAATTAAGCCAAGGGCCTCAAAACCACCTAGACTGTATGGGCTACCAAAGATTAATAAAATCGGCATCCCATTACGACCTATAGTCAGTACAATTGGCTCTGCCACTTATAAATTAGCAAAATATATAACTAAACAAATACAGCCCTACATCGGTAGGACATCTTCATTCATAAGAAATTCAGAACATGTTATGAATGTGATTAAAGATATTAAACTTAATCCTAATCTGGTAAGTTTTGATGTGATTTCTCTATTCACTAAGGTTCCAGTGAACGAATCGCTTAAATTACTTGATACACTTGTAAAGAATACAGGTTTACCAAAATATATTCTGAAACTTGCTGACCATTGTTTAAATAACACTTCTTATGGAGAGGGGATTTCTTTAAACAAAAGGAAGGAGCAGCAATGGGCTCTCCTTTATCTCCTGCTATAGCAAATCTGTACATGGAAAACTTTGAAATAAGCACTTGCCTCGAGCACATTAAAACCATCTTTTTGGTTTAGATATGTGGATGACACTTTGGTTGTCTGGCCACATGGTAAAGATACACTTAATGATTTTCTAAATCATCTCAATACACAAAACCCAGCCATCCAGTTCACCATTGAAATGGAGGTGCTTGGACATGCCCTAAACGGTAAAATAACACACTGCGTTTACAGAAAGCAAACGCACACTGATGCCTATCTGAATGCAGATTCGCATCATCATCCAGCTCAGAAATCCTCTCTTATCAAGATGCTCATACATCGGGCTAAAACAGTGTCAGATGGTGAAAGTCTAGTGAGAGAGATTAAACACGTTAAAGACGCACTACGACAGAATGGCTACAATAATACTCAAATTGACAGCACTGAATGCCAAATCACGATCGCAAAGCAACACTGCTGAAAGCGATCAGATTGTTAAAACAATTAAAATTCCATATATCTCAGGAGTAACTGACAAATTAGCCTGTGTTTTACAAAAGCAAAACATTACAGTAAGATTTGGTACAGCACACAAAATTCAAAAACTAGTATCTTGCACTAAAGACGAATTACCTAAATTATCAACAGAAGGTGTATATCGGATTAATTGTTTATGTGGCAGATGCTATATTGGACAGATGGGACGTAACATCAGCATAAGACTAAAAGAACGCCAAAGAAATATTAAATTATCTCAAACACAACTGTCGGCAGTGGCAGAACATGCTTGTCAACAAGGACACTCAATTGATTTTGATAACATATTCTTAGTTTTTTCGGTAAAGTCACGTTGAAGAGAAACAACAAAATAACAAAATATATATAAAACAATAAAAATTCTCACGACGTTTCGACCATAACTCAAACGGTCATCATGATGAATTACTGCAGTCACGAAAGCTTTAAATCAAAATTTGATTTTGATAACGTTAAAGTGTTGTGTAAAACTAATTATTACTGGCAAAGACTAATTAGAGAATCCATTGAAATTGAGAGAAACAGAAATAACTTTAATCGTTCTGATAGCTATAGGCTTAGTGCGGCTTGGAAGTGTATTATTAAATAATACATATTACAATTCGTTATGGGGAAACACATACTAATTAACGGATTACTAATGTAGCATATAATCACAATAACACATTACAACTAATTACTAATCTACAACTCATTACTAATCATAACCATTTACTGATCACCAATCGATTATATAATTACTGCATCTGAAATGAGTTAAATGATGACGTCACCCAGCTGCTCTATTTAAGACCGTGAGCAAGTGAGGGCTTTACCATTCTGGCGAATTGCCCGATGATGCTGGAAGTAATTACCAGCGAAACGTCGTACTCAAACTGTTAATGTTGTAGATTCACTCTTCAACACAGCGGTGGGCTAAAGTAGTGAACTAATTGTCCTTTGTCAACGTGACACTTTTTTTGCTGATTGGCCATGTCGGGTGGTGGATGGTTACGACACATTTATAAATGATGCGATCTAACCCAAAAACCTTTATCATGAATACAATAATACTATTTAAGCGCCAGAATATTAGTATCTACCGACTCTATAGTAGTAAGTGCACACATTGGGGTGGGGGGGGGAGAGAAGAGGACATGACATTTTGAATTTACCTCAGCATTGCGTGTATTTTTTTCCATTTTGAACGCGAATGAGAAATCCCCCCCACCCTCCGCCGATGACGCGCGTGCATTGCCAGGGGCAACCCCCGTGCAGCTTGAGCGGGGAAATAAATAAATAAAGTGGAATCACACAAAAACGCTATTTTTACTACTTTACAGTTTACGGATGGGAAAACAGCATAGGGCTTGCCCACCGCGGGGCTTAGGATGTGCTGCCTGGCAAAAAAAAGTATACGTAAACCCCACGGTTCGAGAGCCAAATCCCTCGCAAGCGTGCGCGGACGGACAGACAGACGGACAGACAGACGGACAGGCAGACGGACAGACAAAAAAATACTTTTATAGGTTAGAAGATACTGTATACATATGCCCTGCTGTATACATGTGTATGCCATCTTGCCGATTGGCTGAAACGAGGTCACAACTCTTTTTTCAGCCAATCACATCGCAGCGGTGCACCTCACGTTGGTAGTGGTTGTCCCGGGTAATGGCAGCCTAGTGGGGGCGCTAGCTCAGTGATGTGTGAGGGTCTCAATCACACGACAGTGATGGGAGGAGATGGGACAAGACATCGCCGAGGGATTAAAGAAAACGCGAGACAGCCATTGGAGGCAGCATCCAGAGGGCAGAGGCCGAGGGGAAGACCGGGGACCAGGAGGTGGGGGATGTTCGCAGGAAGGACCTGTGTTGAATGTTCAACAGTTGTGGAATCTGGGAAAAGGAAGGAGGTGATGGCGACTGTGGTGGCATCAGGCATTGAGCATGAAGACCATTTTTACGATGGATTGAAAACTGGTGTGATTGTTAAAAGTAAGGTGCGACTTGCCTGGTCCTCTTACGTGATGCATGTCTTCTCAAGGCACGGTTCTTTCTGGAATTATGCAGAGTTAAGAGGCTCTGCCGCTGTACTAACAAGACAATGCTGCTGTGTGTGGTGTAGGCCGAAGAAATGCACCGCCTTTGGATCTCACCGGACTGCCTGGCACTGAGAGGCTTAATGAGCAGGAGAAGGAGGTATAATCGATTTGTTTTATTTTGACCCTTCAGTAGCAGGACGTGTAACCACTGGTGTCTGCATGAGAACGTATCGATTGTCACTGCCACGAGTCACTTGGCAAAGTGTCTATCGAGGCCACCAGGAGCAGATCCCACAGCTGTTGCATAGCCGACATGCAGCAGCGGGGTCTCACTGCCTCTCATTCGTGTCTCCCCCTTGATTTTTGACCTCTCTCTCCATGTCAGGGCTTTCTCAGTTGCCTGGCTCCCTGCATGCTCCGCACAAACCCAAGCCATTGCACCCTCCTCTTCGTCCGTCTCTTCTTGCTGAATAGAACCACAGTGGAAATCTCCACAGCCTGTAAAGAACACGATCGTTCCTCCCCACACTGTGTTCCCCAGCTCACGAGCAGTAGCAGGAGCAGCAGCAGTAGCAGCAGTAGCAGCAGCAGCAGCCGAATCACAGCATACTTCCTGGCGGCGTTCCATGCATACATTCAATCATTCACCCCTTAGAGCCTGGATCTGCTCTTCCTCATCCAGTCTGCTCAGCACCATCATTCTCACTGAGCGAATCCTCTAGCGCCACCACACTTCCCTTTCATCTCCAACCTCATGGATTATATTAAAATAGCCTCTGTCAAGTTTAACTGGAACTGTTGCAATACAATTTGGGCTTGTGTAGCATCTGAGCATGGAACATGTGCATCATGGAGGTGAAGTCGAGTGTGTTAGATGTCACTTGAGAAATGGGGACAGTCACTTAAGAGATGGGATTAATCATTTAAAAGATGGGGTTAGGCAGTTACTTGAGATATGGTATTAGCCACTTGTGAAGTTAGTCACCTGAGTGATGGGAATAGTCACTTGAGAGATGGGTGCAGCGATCCTCGGCAGAGAAGGTCTTGATTCTGGAGATAAACGGGTAGGGAATCGGCAGCACGGGCTACTGGAGGAGGCAGTTCCAGTCAATGATTAGGAGCTGGAAATATTTGTTCAAATTCAAGTGAAAACCCAACTAATTTCACACTAAATTTTGATTTAAAGCTTTCGTGACTGCAGTAATTCATATTCTCAGCTCTTTCGGTAAAGTCACGTTGAAGGGAAACAATAAAATAATATAATACATATAAAACAATAAAAATTCTCACGACGTTTCGACCATAACACAAACGGTCGTCATCAGGTGCGTCGGTTCGCATTAATTAATTTATTTTTAAACGGTGTATTTATTTATATATTTATGCTATGTATATTTATGTTATATATAAATACACCGTTTAACAATAAATTAATGCAAACCGACACACCTGATGACGACCGTTTGTGTCATGGTCGAAACGTCGTGAGAATTTTTATTGTTTTATATATATTTTATTATTTTGTTTCCCTTCAACGTGACTTTACCGAAAGAGCTAAGAATATGAATATAATTTGACACTGTTCTTGTGAAGTCATTTGTGGCTGGCGCTGAGACTGTCAGCTCACGACACCAGAGATTGCGGCCACTTTTGAATTTCACGGTTTCCATGGATTCTGCTTTACATCGTTTGTTTCTTTGCTTTTGCGCTAACTTCATGTGCTCTGCTGTTTTATCCTGGGTCTTAGCTAAGTTATAACATAACTCCGGACACTGCCACCCGGTAACATGGGTTTTAATCACTGATGACTGGGGGTGCTGCCACAGCGGTGTAATGGTTAGCGCACCAGACTTGCGAACCAGAGGTCACTGTTTCCATCTCCTGGCAGGGCAGTTGAAACATTGGGGCCAAGTTTCTGTAATCCTCCCCACCTCTGTCCACCCAGTGGCATAATGGGTACACCAGTCGAACGGCAGGTTGTGTGTGGTGGGGTGAAGTGTGGGTATTCCCACTTGCAAGACATCTGGCCAGCCTTGAAAAGTAGGCCAAATACCTTAATGTAATGACCGCAGGATGGGGAATTGTCTCTGTGCCTCGAGAACTGTTGGTGATGTATCTAACTGTGCGTTGGTGAATTTTGTTTTGAGGGGAATTTCGGTGAGTGTCTCTAGCAGCAGCAGGACCACACAGCGGAGCCCCTTTGCCGCACGTGCGAGCGTCGCACTCAGCTCCCGCGTTACTGTGTGCCGTGCGCATACCCCACAGCTGTGCCAGGCTGTGCGCCTCGTCCCAGAGGCGTACTTGGAATATCGCGGAGCTCTGGCAGCCGAAAGCCGCAAGCTGGGTGGGTTGCGTCTTGCCCAAGCCCGGGCTCTCATAAAGATTGATGTCAACAAAACTCGGAAGCTGTACGACTTCCTTCTGCGAGAGGGTTACATATCCAAAGGTTAAGTAATGGTGTGCCCATCAGCCTGTTGCATGAACCATTTCTTCTGTTTACACGTCACTGATTTCCCTTCTAGAAATACAGACATGTAGGTGATGTGAACATCCACATGCATAATCTGCACAATATGGAAGCTGAGTGGATATATGCCTTACAAGTGTTTGATGCTGAGATGTGTTTTTTTTACTGAGCCCCTTGCTGCTAAGAGATGCTTCTGTTGCTGCATGTCGCTGGCATCGCAGTAGCAACTGCCGGGCGCTAGTGGCACACGCCTGTAATCCAATTATGTGGAGGCAGCGGCGGCGAGTGAATCACACATGTTGTGAAAGTCCCTGCCCATAGGCGCCAAGGTGCAATTATAAGTATGTTGAACTTCTTTTGCACTGTATGAAAACAACTGTGCCAATTGGCGGTGCGGTGGAAGGACAAGAAACGAAACAAAGCAGTTTTAAAGAAATTAGTTTTCAATCTAGAATTTAAAGTGCATAGCTCCAGTGGCTTCCTAATACCCTGGCTTGCCAGGAGAATGCAGTAAAAATGTGGACTTCACTTGTTCTGTCTTTTCGGGATTGAGTGTTTCCCCCTTGCACAGGTGGGTTTTTTCTCCGAGTGTTCTGGTTTCCTCCCACATATAACCACTAACTAATTGGCCGATAATACCTTAATATATAGTGGTCCGCAGAGCTTGGGGAATTGTGGCTGTTTTCCCACTTGTCTGTGTGGTTCCTCTAACCTTTAAGTCATTCTATAAGTGATCAGATATTGTGCAGCCCGTTCATAGTTCGAATTATTAAGCGCCTCGAAAATACATGTATCTTGGTTTCAATGTAAAATGGGCAAAATATATTATATTCTTAGCTCTTTCGGTAAAGTCACGTTGAAGGGAAACAATAAAATAATAAAATATATATAAAACAATAAAAATGCTCACGACGTTTCGACCATAACACAAACCTGATGACGACCTTTTTTGTTCTGGTCGAAATGTGAGAATTTTTATTGTTTTATATATATTTTATTATTTTATTGTTTTTCTTCAACGTGACTTTACCGAAAGAGCTAAGAATATGAATTACTGCAGTCACGAAAGCTTTAAATCAAAATGGGCGAAATAATCAAATTCAAGAATGCTCCCAAGACTAAGATGAGTGTGAGCTCCTGTTGTCATTTAGGTGCTTGGGAAGAATAGAATCCGATAGGTTTTCGGTTCTCACCACTTCACCTTCGGTGGCCACGTGGGTGGATGATGATCCCGATGAGTGAGCAGTCTTTTTTTGTTGTAGGTGTCGGTCTTGTCTTGCACCCTTTGAGTTGGCCTCATTCGTGCAATACTGCATGCATTTCCTTGTGTAATTTCACATTCTGCTCACTTTCTCAAGGTTGGCACGGCTCCCATTCAGTGATGGTCCAAAAGAATGGGGCTCTTCATATTAGTGCGGCAGTAGCTGTTTAATATTGACAGTGCTGTGTGTTCATAGAGACTGGTTGAATCAGTTTAACATGTAGGCTTTCACGACCAATATCATCCATAATAGGTTTTTTGGATTAGATCGTGTAAATTTACGTGATCTAACCTGAAAAAAATATCTTATGGTTGAATCAGCTTGGATATGGCTACATGCCGGTATACCACCTGGGCAAGGGGGGGGTGTTTTGTCTGAAGGCGTGGGCGGGACGGGTTGTCTATTGTGAGGACATATGCAGTGGCCCGATGAGGCAGCTTTGAAATTACTACAAAAATGATTAATCTTTTTATTTTACCAGGTAAGGCCCACTGAGCTATACAGCTCTTTTTCAGAAGTGACCTGGCCACAAATGGTAGCTCAACTAAGTGGCTTATGTGGAAATTTCTAGCAGGCAAATACTCCAAACGCATGTTTCTAAATGTGGAGGGGAAAACCGGAGGACCCAGAAAAAAATCCACACCACCATGGGGTTAACATGCAAACCCCAAATATACAGGTGTCGAGATCAAACCCATCACCTGTATACCTGGCGAGGTAGTTAACATCTCACCACTGTGCTGTCCAACCTGGACCTTGAGTGCATGCATGCGTCTCATCAGTAAAGAGCCACCTATCTCTCGCAGGTGTCAGTGGTACAGCTCTCACTGGGAACAGCATGGCCTGCATGGAATGTGACCATCGCATCCCACAAGCTTCTTCAAGACAAGATTGGTCTTCCTCGTCAATATTACTGTTATCTGTAAATGTCTCAGCAGGCCAGAACAAAATGTAAAAAGAAAGGCCCAGTCGAACAATTTAATGGACTTCGAAATAAAACGTTGTGTAAATGTTGACACCCCAATCATTATCGCCCCCTACCGAATTGTGTGGATGCAGTTGTGTGACCCTGCAGGGCCAATCATGCGAGCCGGCCCTGCGCATTTTGTTTTGGCTCCGTGTGAGCATCGTGGAGGACGCGAGACACAGAGGACGCGAGAAAGACACCAAGGGTGTGAGGGAGACTCCAAGGACAAGAGAGACACACCGATGATGTGAGGGAGACACCAAGGACGTCAGCCCATTGCTGTGGTTTGTTTATATTCACGTGGAGAAATTGTGGAGACGTTGCTTTCTCCAGGAAATTCCTGGTATTGACTTAGACCTGTTCAGCATTCAGTCGCTTAAGCTTTCCACCCTTGCATTTAGTAAATTACTAAACTGGTACAGCTATGTGAACTCAACCTCATGTGCAGCTCGAGCGAGTCATTTGTGCTTGGCTCCATGAACATGCATTGGGCCTCTCGGTTCGCCTGGCTGCAGCCAGTCCAAGCTATTTTATCTTTTACCAGCTTAGGCCCAACTAAGCTATATAGCTCTTTTTCAGAAGCGACCTGGGCACAAATGATAGCTGAACGAAGTGGCTTGTGGAAATTTATAGTAGCCAAATACTCTAAACGCATGTTTCTAAATGTGGAGGGAAAAATCGGACCTGGAGAAAAATTCACGCAGCCACGGGGAAAACATGCAAACTCCAAATATACAGGTGTCGGGATCGTTCCCACCTCTTGTATAACAGGCGAGGTAGTTAACATTTCACCACCGTGTATACTGCGTTTGGATTGAACTCACCTGGTACTTTTGCTCTGCTTGCGCATTTATACACAACTATCAAACCCGTCTCTTCCATGTTGATGGAAAGTGGGGCAACTAAATGTGAGAAATTGATCTTACATCTGCATCCACGCCAAGTCATGGGCAAGAGACATGGCACTTGTGGTCTTGTTACTGTAATTTACTGTGATGCGAAATGATAATTGGAACCCCGATGGAGGGAATGCCATCCAGTTTATTGTGATAAATAAAAGCGTAATATGCCACCTGTAAAGTGTGAACTTTATACACGCACATTTACTGGAAAACTCGTTTTACAAGTAAAACAGCAATTACTTCACCATTAGCATCTTGCACTTTCTTCAAAGACATACATCTCTTTCAATGCACATGTTTCTTAGGTGATCCGTATTTCCTTTCACCTTAGAAACATTTGCCCACTTGCATCGCATTGTCACCAATCTGGAACCACTATTGCAATGCTCTGTTACTTGGGGTTCTGGTCTTGGGACTATAGCTGGTCCAGAACGCGACCTCCGGGATGCTCATGCGAGCCTTATCCCTTGAACAATCCTATAAACAAAAGCTATTCGGATTACATTTCGGGTCCAATTTTAAGTATTGCTGCTAACATACAAGGGTTTAAATTGCCGCGCAGCACTCTATATTCAACAGCTGATACACCCCTACACACGTTCATGATTTCTTGGATACGCCAATTTACATGTGCTCCATGTGCCAAGAACTGGACTGCACCTGGAGTGACTGAACCTTTGCATGTGCTACGCCAATACTCTGGACCGCCCTGTTACTCATGGTTAGACATGACCTCACTCGCCCTGTTGAGGTCTTCTCTAAAAGACTCGACCTGTTTCACCTGGCCTACACTTCCCATGTATGACCAGTGGACTCCTGGATCTTGTATTTATATTTCTTAACTTCTTGCATGGCGCACTGTGATCCCTGGATGAATTGTGCCTAATGTGTAGTGACATCGGATGTCACTGTATGATGCCGGCCTGAGAGCCGTGGCATGCGATGCACTGTCATCGCGTACACCCCGTAGGCGGGTGTAGTACCAGCCCTAGCGGGGCTTGGGGAGCGCTGGGTGTAGTGTGGGCTCCCACAAAGGGGAGTGGGAGTGTCAGCCCAGGGGCAGGGTTGCCCTGGGCCATGGCACTCTGGTTGAGCCTGTCGACACGTGATCTGGAGTGTCCACAGAGAGGGCCCCAGGTGGGGGGGGGGGGGGGTAGGGGGTGATCACGTGTCCGGGGAGAGCTCTTGAGGGAGCTAGAACGCTCGAGAAAGTGGGCGGGGCCAAGGGCGGAGCGGCCCCGACCCAGAGGGATATAAGGTGGGTCCCTGGGAGGGACCGGGGTTCTTCGTTCTACAAGCTGGAAGCTCTACGAGGCATCAACACGTGGTCGTGGACCCAAGTGAGGGCTGCCCTTGGTAGCTGTAACTCCTACGTATAGAGTAGTTAGCTGGGTGGCCACCACCCCAGGCTGTATCTGGTGAAGGGGCAGTTACCCTTTTGTGTTAACGAGTTGATACAATAAAAGTGTTGCCTCTAAAGAACGTCTGTGGCTCAGTTGAACTCACTACAAATGTATATTGTCCTCCACCAGTGAGCAGTTGAGATTTGAAGCACAGGTAATTAACTTGCACACCAATTGTGCCACATGTGCAGTGACATGGAATGGGTTACTATGGAGCATAGCACTGGTTGCTGGCAGAGTTCTGCAGTTGCAGCAGCCCTGTCAGCAGGTCACGTGATAAGCAGAGGGATGTAAGGCAAAGGTGATAGAGAGGGGACTTGAGGTAAGCCCGGGAACCCACTCGTGGGTTCTAGAAGGGGTGTGGCCTGGGGCGGAGCAAGGGTACGCGAGGATAAAAGGGGACCCCAAGCGAAGGCTCAGGGCTGTTGCTTGGAGTGGAATCCCGACGGGCTGCTGGGGTCAACAAAACTCCACCTTCTTGGAATTGTCAGTCTGGCAGTCTGATAGCTCTCCTGACTGAAAGTGTAGTTACGCTTTCTATCCTGTGAAGGATATAATAGTGCCTCCGACTCCTAGTGTCTCCATGTACAAAAGTATCAGTACTTGGGAGACAATGTCAGGCAAGATGCCAAAATGAATGTGCTAACAAAAGTAACATCTGACTAAAATTAGGGATCTTTCATTTTAAGTATTACTTTTTTTATGTAGGGACCGGTGGTGCAGTGATTGGCGCATTGAGCTATGAACCCACGACTCAAGTTAAGATTCCAGTTCATGACCAACATCGGTGACGAATAGCTGAACCGGTTCTGGGCCTCCCCTAGGTTAAGCCTTAAATGAGTGCCTGGTGTGGTGGGTAACCATCAGCACTGGGAAGACCAAGGTGACCAGGCAATGTTTTGGGGCCACTACCCCTCTGGAGTGTCATGCCCGTCTTCATAGGTGCCTTCCTGACAGCACTTGCCAACAGTGAAGGCTATTCAGGGATCTTTGTCTTTTTTGTGAAAGTGTGCATGTCTATGTACTTCACGTATACTTGTGCCACTGTTCGTCTGTCTCGTTTGCTCAGCTTGCACCATCCTCTGCAAGAGTAGTGTAGGTAATAGCACTGCGCCAAGTTGCACAGCGCTTCATTTTGGCCAATTGCTTTTGATAAGTAGGGAGCCACTGGTGCAATCCAGTCACTACCCTATTGATTGTGCTGAAATTGCATTGTGTGTAGAACGATTTTATTTCCAAAAAATGGACAACTTGTGAATTTAAAAGACACCCCATCCCATTACATGAAACAGAATTCCGAAGTTCACATGCGAAGAGAGCGTGGGACACACCCCAAGCTGTTATCAGGGGCACTCGGTGCATGGGTGGTTGGCAACACTGGCATTGGGTAAGATACAAAAACAAGAGTTTAACACAACCGTGCCAATACAAATCTAACCTGGGCAAGCAAAGAAGCAAGAGGGGGTTTAGATAAAGACATCCACATAGGAGAGGGCTTGGTGGCTACTGTTGCATGCTGAAACTACTACGCCGCCACCACCCTACAGCGTGGTACACTCGGGCACTGCTCAGTTCTGCCCAACGATCGCCTGCAGCATGCGCTTGTAGTCTCCGCTGGTGTCACCCTCGATCATCTTGTACAGGGTCTTGTTGTACTTCTCCAGGAAGGCATGCTTCACGTTCACCAGGTCGATCTGAAACGGCAGTGAATGAGCAACGTGAGGCGGCGAGGATCGCCAGATGCCTGGGCTAAATTGCGTTGATAAAGATATCGCGAAATGCATGTAGCCACTGCAGTGAGACACATGATTCTCTATTGTGTCAAACTATACCGCGCGTGCGTTCGTGCGTCTGCACCTCGCTGCGTGATGTCACGATGCGGATGAGCGTCGAGTCGTCGGTCCCCCCGCCCTTCATGGCCTCGTACAACCTCTCGGCAAAGAACACGGGGCGGTTCTTGGCGCATTGCACTGCAGCACAAACCGCACGGCGCTCGTCAGCATCACCACATGCAGCAAAAGCAGGAGCGCTAAACCCCTCCTCCCCCGCCGCTTCTTCACGGACTGCAGCGGTACTACATTAATACGGTTTAGATTAATGTCTCAATAAACTCTGTAAAAATGTGCCGAGGTATTTGCAAAGGGTATCGGTTAGTTGAGAGGATGAAGGGTGAAAGGCTATAAAGCAGAGGAGACAGGCCACGAGTGTGGAGAAGGTACGAAGTGATATTTGTAGCGAGACGCAGATATTGATCAGGGTTTGGTAGAAGCACTGATATCTGCAAGCTCAGGCAGAGCTGTCGTTGCTCGGGTACATGTTGTGAATGGATCCATGCCTGCTGCTGGGTGCTACTAACCGATTGCCTTAAGTCCGTCCTTCACGTTTCCAGAAAACTCTCTGTCAATTGTGTTGATGATGTCTCGTTGAGACAGCTGTAAAGAAAGAAACACCCCACCCATTACACGTGCAGCTTAACAGGACAGCCTGAAAACACAGCGTTGCCTCACAAATGAATTTCCCCTGATATTCATGGCAGAATGCATTTAAGTTCACGCACAACCACACATCACAATTATGTCAAGATGCTATAGCTGGTGATCACTTCCATTGCACAGTGTATTGCTATCCAGCCTATGCTGATCGATTAGGTTACTAATCGGAGCAACCCTGGTAGCAAATTAACTCATGAGTACGTTTTATACGACCGAGGTTCGTGTTTTAGCCACTAGTTTAACCCTTTGCAAACCACAACCTGACATTGCCAATTTAGCTGCTGGTTGCACATGGAGGCTGTGGGGAAGAGAAGTCAATCACGTAGAACACAAAATAATCCTTATCGTCGGTGTGGAGAATATAAAAAGAAAAAGTAGCCAACATATCTCCACATATCTGTGCCTCCATATAATAGAATTAATAAAAATATTTTTTTACATGTGTAGTGAGTCCAACTGAGTTGCAGACGTTGTCTTGGGAGCAACACTATTCAATAATCAATATAACAACACAACCTACACTTGGGTGTTGAATGCTCATTTAGCCACGCTATGGCAGAACTAGACATGGTTCACTATCCCGGCCCGGACCACAAGTTGGGTCCCGGACCACGTGGCTAGAGGCTTCTTTTACCCGACGTGGATCTTCATCACCAGCAACATATAGAACCTCGAGCCCCTCACGGGGCCCCCGTTATATCGGCTGGGGCTGGGGCTGGCTCCGCCCCTCGAGCTCTTTCCCGAAGGCTCCCGAGAGCTCCTTTATACCACGTGACCGCCCAGCGGCCCCCGTCCACCGGTGGCCCCCCTCCAATATCATCCAGTCATGTGTCGGCAGGTCAACCAGCATTTCATGCTCCAACGTAACCCTGGCTGGCTGATATTCCCTCTCGCTCCCTCACCGGGAGCCCGCACCGCACACTGCACCTGGTGATTTCGCTCTGACCAGCGCTCACCCAAGCCCCGCTAGGGCTGGTAAGCAGGCTACACATAATCCCAATACATTATCCGCTGTGGCTTCGTAAGCCCGGCACCACACAGTGGCAATCACAGTCACTACATATGTAGTGATATGAATAGTCACTACTGTAATTACTGTCTACGCTCCGGAAGTACTACCGAGCGCCGGAAGCTGGAGGGACATGTGATTGTGAGCCGGGGACTCCTGATTGGCGGAGGTGTGGGTGTGGCCGCTGGGAGGGGGAGGCGACGGCCAGGGGATAATTGTGGGGGGGCAGACAGGGTTCGAGGTTCTCGTCTGATGGGATTTGCTCGGGGTCCCGCATCTCTCCGGCTTCGCGCTTCACTTGTCGGGTTAGAGTAGTTGATG